TTTATTGGGGCCTTTGTAAAAAAAGGTTTTGGTTATAGATTTGTTGTTGGCAAAACTCTATTTAGATTTGTCTGCATATCTGGACACCTGAGTCAGGGAAAGTGGGAGAAGTTGCAGTACCACTTTTGGCCAGATTTACACACTGCTCCTTTAATGCTCATTATTGAAATTTGTTTGACTCATTCAAACTGTTCGCAGCCTACGTGTTACACCCCTGAAATAAAAAAAGAAAAGAGTGATGTGGATGTGTTTCTCTCTTGCAGGAGTTTATTACAATGAGGAAAACAGCGCTAACTTCCCCATCTGCCGGTGCAGACAAAACCAATCGCTCAATCCATGTTCAGGCTTTACTTCAGTGGTTACTCGATTACAGAATCTTAAATCATCTTTATGAAACATTTGAATACCATTTAAAACCTTATTTATCTTGTTTTTAATATCCTGTAAATTATTATTTGTGACTATTTATTCTTGTATTTTTATCTGTTACTCTTTTAACTACTACAGACGCTGCATTGAAAATAGTTTTCACTGAAAATAAGAGTGATACTAAGCCGCAAAAAGCTCCTCTGTGCGTTTTCCCGCATCGCTCATTCCAACTAAAATGAAATACATTCTGAAAATAGAGAAATATATTCAGTATATACAATCTTTTATCATCTCAGATTTAAAAAAAAAACACACTGATATTGGCAAATATTGGCCATAACAGAAAAAATAATATTTGATATCAATATTGGCCAAAGTTTTCATATCGGTGCACCCCTAGAAATGATCAATATTGTTAAAAGCAGTGCTGTGTTTGCTGGGCACTTAAAGGACAACTCACCCTCAAATCCACTTTGTTTTGCTGATAAACGGTATAAATGAGTGTCCAATAGTGTTGTCTACATATCCTGGTCATAATCTTGTCACTTTGGTGCAAATTAGTTGAAAGTTAAACTTTCTGCCTAAAACCGTCTGTGAGGCGCCATCTGCTGGCGACCTGTATTACTACATTTGAATTTTGAATCTGGCGCCAACACTGGCGCGGCAGCTAGGGATGTAAAAAACTATGCATTTTCATGACCGACCACCGAGCCTCATTAACCGGTTGAAACCGGTTAACCGCGTAGTTTAAAATATTCCACGTTCTTTGAAATAGCAGCCATTTCGAGCCGCATACTTTTCATAAGTTTATCTATGCGTTCTACTAGATCAGAGCTGAGACAGCGGCGCCAAAACCCGCTACAGCTTCGGCACCTTTGCGCACAGAGAACTGCTTTTTTAATCTTCCCATACTGTGCTGCGGGTTAAAGCATTTTTAAGCAAAAGACAGCTTGTTCACATGGTCAGAGCAGCGAGTTACACGCCGCATCTCGCAGGTCTCCGCTAAAGTTTAAAAGTGATGTGTGTGGATCTGATCTAATGACAAGGACCATAAACAAACATGTTTCATGTGTTTGACTGGGGCCGCGTATTTGCGAGGATTCTTTGGGCTGCGAGACATAGAGGTGCGCGACAGACCGGTATGTGTGTGTGTACAATACATGTATGTATGTGTGTGTAAATATAAGCTCCAATGTAGTTCTGACCTGCACTAGTGTGGAACTTTGGCGGTAACAGAGGGGAGAGATGATGCGTGTGGATGTTACGTATGGAGGGGGGGAAAGTGTTTGTGTGTGTGTGTGCGCGCGTGCGTGTGCGTGGCTGCGTGCATATGTGGAGCGTGCGCCATGAAAGTCACCCGTAGTCTACTAATGCATTGGCGCACACAGCTAGATACGGACCCGCTCGTCACATCGTACAAATAGGGCTTATTAATAGCCTTATTAAGAGACCTCCCCTCTCCGCTTTTTCTTATTTTTAACCGACAGCTTTGACCGGTTAACGCTGTGACGGTCAACCACCGGTTAAACGGTCACCGATTTACATCCCTAGCGGCAGCAAGACCTGACGTCTGAAGCAAGACCTGACGTCAGCAGCCCCCCGCCCAGAGCAATGTAAACGGCCCAGTCTCGTTCACACCCCCTTTAGTCCTCCAGGCTACGCCCATTTAGAGGAAGATTTGAACAGGAAATGTGAGTGACGTAAGCTCCGAGGAGCGGGGGTGAGAACCACTTTAAAGGTGCAGTAAGCGATTATGTTAGCTTAGACGTAGCACCAACTCGAAACCACTCCCCTCGCCTCTCCCTCAAACCAAACATCCTGCGTTTTCATTTCATTGTCACAACAGGGAGAGTGGGTGGTTTTACGTGATATTGGCATTTTCTGTTCAGCCATTTTAGGTTTTAGAAAACGTCCCGTTTTCCCACAATATTTGAAAAAAAATGCGTCTGGAAAAAATCACTGACTGCATCTTTAAGCTGCAATGATGTCAATGTTACAAGCAAGTAGGAGTGTGACAATATATCAATATCGTGAAGTATCGTGATACTTTCTCACGCGATCGATTATTGATATGCTTTTGCCAAGTATCTTTTTTTTTTTTTTAATAGTATCAATACTAAATACATGGCTACATTGCGCATCTCCATTCCATTTATCATGAAATAAAGTGTATTTTTTCAACATTTTTCTTTTATTTATGCCATAAATAATCGTAGGTATTGTTGTGGAATTTCTGCACAGACCGAGAGCAAAAATAATGTAAACAACCAAGAGCTGTAATACAATCAAAGTGTGAGTTTATTCATTGAAAATGTGACATATACAATGAATATTAGAACCGACACCAATACCACCGGGCAGCCGTCTGAAACCGTCCGGAAATGACGGACATTAAATAGACCAGAGTAAACAAAGACCAATCTACTCTAGATATTACACAAATAAAGTCAGTATTGATATGTGTCGCTCAAGGCTCCTCTGTACGCTTCCTTACTCTGATACTACTCTGATAATCTTCTTTGGTCTGAACATATTGTTTTATGACCCAGATATTGCCAAAGAAACACATCTCCATCTATCAGCTGACCTGCTCCCAACAGACCATATGTGCTGTATTTGAATCCAGAGATGAGAATTAGTTAATAACTTACACTTATAACTATTTTGTGTTTATTCAGATTGCTTTACTAAAATATTTCTATAACAGTGTATTTCTGACCAATAAATCGATAATCGTCATATCGTGATATAATTATCGCGAGCTTTGTATTGTGAGGTACCCTGAGGTTCCCACCCCGACAAGCAAGTATGAGCTAGCTCAGAGGCTCTGACATATTTGAAACAATATGGCAAAGAAAGCCTTGATGTTTACCGGGGCTTCATCTGCCCGTCACTTCTATTTGATATTCCCTGCATTAGTTCATTGAAATTTAAGATGGATTTGTTTATTCTGGTCATTTTCTCTGCTGCTAAAGTACAACATACACAGCTGTAAATAATGCAATTATAACCAAATGCAATTAGTTTTATTTTAATTTACCATCTTATTACTTATTATTGTATTATAATTGTATTATCTTAAATAGTAGACCCTGTTTGATGTGTGCAATCTGAGTGCTGTTGTTTTCTCTCTGCTGTAAGGTGCGCAACAATGACATTGAAATTTCTCCACTGGGACGAACAAAGAAATATCTTCAGGATGTCCCTCAGGAGAGTCTTTTAGAGTGAGAATAAAAGTGACTTGTTCAATTCCACCATAATAACACACAACGTTCCTAATTATAATGTCTTATGTAAATGGTCATTGTACGATTACTGTGACCCCTGAGGGGGTGTTTTTGTGTGTGTGTGTGTGTGTGTGTGTGTGTGTGTGTGTGTGTGTGTGTGTGTGTGTGTGTGTGTGTGTGTGTGTGTGTGTGTGTGTGTGTGTGTGTGTGTGTGTGTGCAGAAATGTGATCCGAGCTGCTCTGACAGTTGTCTCAAACAGTTGTACCTCCTGATTACAAGAAAACGATGGTCAATAAGACTAGTACCCCCCCAGAGGGCTGGGATGTACCATCTGCTCTCCCTGGTCTCGTCTTTCACACACATGGTCCTGGACTGAGGGGCTGGACGGCTCATTTCATACAGAACACTGAAGATGCAGGCGAAAACTCCCCAGAACTCGTTTGGACACATTTGGATTTTCCATCATGGTTTTAAGAAAATTTAGATGTTTTTTACAGATTTACTTTATTTTTATTGATACAATTCTAAAAAGTCCGGCCTGTTCTAAAAAGAGAAAATATGGAAGATCTATATAAATTAGATAATTTATTCTATACAAGAATAAATTGTATTGTATTGTATTGTATTGTATTGTATTTAAAGACCTTTACCATATAGTTTGTTGGATTATCGTTTTTCAAAGGATGTATTGGGAGCTCTGGCTTAGCCAAGTCACTGCCAGTGCTGCTATGCAGTGCATGCTGCTGCAGAACAAAGGTGAGAATGCTGTTTGTGTTCACCCATCTGTATGGGCAGGCCTTTGAAGCATCTAAACATCCTCACAAAACTATGTTTATATTTAATGTTTGGCTAAATCCAACACTTTGTTGCTGATTTTGGTCTTATACGAAGTGTTTGCCCTCTACAATCAATGTCTTGTTTTCTTTTGCTATTGCTTCCCACTCATCTACAGTTGTTTGGACAGGCAGGCTTTGGCGCCTTGGAAACATCTGAATTATTTTCATTGTGTTGGTGTGTATGTGCAAGTGTGTCTGGGTGTGTGGGTAGTTACTACAATGTTTGGATAGTTTTTGTCATTGATGTCATAATCCAACCCCTCCTTCTTTTTAGCTGTCGGTCTATAAATTTGCTGCTCTTCACTTCCACAACACATTGACCTAAAGTTTTGGCACAGTTAGTGTAGATGCGCTGCTAACTACATTAGATCTGGGAAGTAATGCTTTTAAGGTGCTTACAAGCAAACAGCAGTTTTGATGAAGAATGGGCTGCTTTGAGTGGCCATAATCTAAAAACTGGATTCGGTTTGGACAATGTAGCTGGACAATTGGGTATACAGGATCAAATTGACCTTCACTTTACAGTCAAAAGACTGTTTTTAATCCTTATGTTTTCTTTCTGTCCAGAAGTGCTCCGACCGTTTGGCCTTGATTCTGCGGCATTGACTGAAGCAGTGCGATGGAGCTCCAAGGAGAACCTTCTGGGGGCGGCTGAGAGTGACCCCAATCTCTTTGTAGCTCTTTATGACTTTGTAGCCAGCGGAGACAACACACTAAGCATCACTAAAGGTTTGTAATGTTTTGTCTTACAGCACTCATTTGAAATTGTATAGGCTACGTTGAAAAAATGTTTCTGTTTGCTTTATGGTGAGATTCTTTGACATCTTTATCTCATTACTGTATATTAATTTACGTATTCAGTAATTTTGCTTTGCATTCTGCCCTTTTTATGTGATTCCAGCAAAAACATGCTCATGTCAAAGGAGACAATCCGCTAAATGCATTTTCTATCCCTTTGAGAAAATGGAGGAAGACCACTTGACTGAATTCATTTTTGTCTGTTTTGTCTCTTTCAACAGAGGGTTCTGAGATTTCCATACATATGTTGCTGAAAAATATATATTTAATCTGCTTTAAACTTCTTTTTAATGTCTGCACTGACGTCAGATGTAGCCAAATTACCTGTCTCTACATGTCTGCGTTGGCCCTGCTACTGATACAGTCCACGTCACCCATCTGTCATTGTTGAGATGCTTTTCATGTAGTTTCATCAGGTCATGTCTAAACCCGTGTGACACCAAGCTAACCTGAGAGTTTCTGTGTAATAAAATGAGACCATGTAATGCTTGCCACGCTGTTCATGTGTGAACTGCAGAAGCACCGACCGTCTTTTACAACAAATGTGACACAAAGCACTTGATCTTGTGCTCAGGTGAGAAGCTGCGGGTGCTGGGATACAACCAGAATGGCGAATGGAGTGAGGTGCGCTCCAAGAATGGCCAAGGCTGGGTGCCATCCAACTACATCACCCCCGTCAACAGTTTGGAGAAACACAGCTGGTACCATGGGCCTGTGTCTCGCAGCGCCGCGGAGTATCTCTTATCATCCCTAATCAACGGAAGTTTCCTTGTTCGAGAGAGTGAGAGCAGTCCAGGGCAGCTCTCCATCTCTCTTCGCTATGAGGGGAGAGTCTACCACTACCGCATCAACACTTCATCTGATGGAAAGGTGAAAATCTCACTCAAAAAAAGAAAATTTGACTGACACGTTCACTAAACTTTATTTGTACACTTAACTTGTAGGTGTATGTCACATCTGAGAGCCGGTTTGCAACGCTGGCTGAGCTTGTCCATCATCACTCCACTGTAGCGGACGGCCTAGTCACCACACTACACTACCCTGCGCCAAAATGTAACAAGCCCACAGTGTACGGAGTGTCTCCCATCCATGACAAGTGGGAGATGGAGCGGACAGACATCACCATGAAGCACAAGCTGGGCGGAGGCCAGTATGGAGAGGTCTATGTCGGAGTGTGGAAGAAGTACAACCTAACAGTGGCAGTCAAGACACTAAAGGTTAGTTTAGTTAGTTTTATGGTATTATATTGCCACCTACTGGCAGACGATGCACTTACAGTCTATAGGGCTCATACAAGCTCCTCAAATATTTTACAATTTATGTTCTACAACAGGAGGACACTATGGAGGTTGAAGAGTTTCTCAAAGAGGCTGCTGTAATGAAGGAGGTTAAACACCCAAACCTTGTTCAGCTTCTCGGTCAGTTGCCAAAGAGAATACTGTTTTACATTAATCATTTATCAATAAGTGGTTCCTTATTGTTGAAACCTTTGTGTTTTGAGCAGGTGTTTGTACTTTGGAGCCTCCATTCTACATAGTCACAGAGTACATGCCTCATGGAAATCTGTTGGACTACTTAAGAGAATGTGACAAGGATGAAGTAAATGCTGTTGTACTTCTATACATGGCTACACAAATCTCATCTGCCATGGAGTACCTAGAAAAGAAGAATTTTATCCACAGGTAAAACAGTTTGACCTGTTTGTAATAAGGAATATATTTATACATTATTTTGTGAATGAATAAAGTGAATGATTTTTCAGAGATCTTGCTGCAAGGAACTGTCTGGTGGGTGAAAATCACATAGTAAAGGTTGCTGACTTTGGCTTGAGTCGATTAATGACTGGTGACACCTACACTGCTCATGCTGGGGCAAAGTTTCCAATTAAATGGACTGCACCGGAAAGTTTGGCCTATAACACATTCTCCATCAAATCAGATGTCTGGGGTGAGGTTTTGAAGTGCAAAAAAAATGCAACTTATATGCAGTTTTTTGTATTCACACGTTTATGATGTTCCTTGTACAGCTTTTGGTGTTCTACTTTGGGAAATTGCTACTTACGGCATGTCACCATATCCAGGAATTGATCTTTCCCAGGTTTATGACCTCCTTGAGAAAGGTTATCGCATGGAACAGCCTGAAGGCTGCCCGCCTAAGGTCTATGAACTGATGCGAGCTTGTGAGTTCATTCTTTGTTTTGTAGAAGAAAAAAAGGGATGTGGTTGTTTTGTGCAAGTGGTTGGCTAATAGAACAACTCTCATTTAGGTTGGCAGTGGAGTCCATTGGACAGGCCCTCTTTTGCAGAAACCCACCAAGCTTTTGAAACAATGTTCCATGATTCTAGTATCTCTGAAGGTACAGTTTTTTGTGCCATTGTCGTCTTATATGCATTTTTACTCTGCTTTGAGTGACCATAATATAGTAACATTGACGTGACTCTGTTTTAGAAGTTGCAGAGGAGCTCTGTAAGACTGCCTCCTCAAGTCATTGCGGGCCGCTGCAAACGTTTGGTCACAACATGCCATTGCTCCCATCCAAATCTCGTACATTGCTCAAGCATGTGGAAAACAAAGAAAACATAGAGAGTGGACTGGATGGCCGACCTGACCACAGCCTCCAAGGCCACTCAGGTAAACATATGGTCATCCTTAGACAGTCATTCTACGCTTCATCCCCTACACCGATAACAGAGGTAACCCTGCAGCGTCGGCAAGCTCGCCGCTTGAAAAGAAGAGCAGTCATTCTCCCATTGTAGTTTTGACATGACATTATAAATATAAGTGAGAAATGTTTGTTTTTATCACATGTTATTGTTATTTTTTACCATAAAATCTGTCTGTTTGCCCATGGAAATAACACCAAGCATACCATTAAATGTTGAACTGTGTTCTGTTGATTTTTTAAAAATGCTTTTTTATTCTACTTGACTACATTCATATGAAAACCAATTTACGTGTATGTAATGTGCGCAACAATGACACTGAAATTTCTCCACTGTGAGACTAATAAAGGTTTATCTTATCTTAAATGGTCATCAAAATATTTTGAAATGTGATATAAAAGTAATACAAATCCTTGACTGTGAAAGTGGGACGGGTGAGGACTATTCTTTCTGAATCATGGTCAATAAGATAAAAACAACAAACATCTAGTTGTGCTATGCCTCTTGCGGTAGTCTATGTACCTTGGAATAAACTATCAAATGATAAAATTATGAATACCATACAAACGAATGTCAAATTTAGGATTTACTTCAAGTATAATGAAACGCTATGCTCTGGAAACAGATTCATTCTTCTATATTGTGATGTATATATGTGTGTGTGTGTGTGTGTGTGTAAATGTGTATATATAATGTATTATATATAATGATAAATTGTTGTAATTAAAGGTGTGTTTTGAGGAGCCCTCCTGTAACCCTAAATGACTGGGTTTTTTTTTTACAGGCTGGGCTTCTGTTTTGGGCGGTGACGGTAGAAGCAGCTCTCCAGCATTACCAAGAAAGCAACAGAGTAGAGAGAAGTGCCCCAACAACCTCTTGGAGGATGGACCAGAAATTGGCACATTTACCCGGGATCGGAAAGGAGGATTTTTCAGTTCATTTATTAGGAAAAAAACGGCCTCCTCTTCGCCATCATCTCAGCTACAGCAGAATCTTCCCACTCCACCGAAAAGGAGTAGTTCTTTCAGAGAAATGGAGACTCAGCCTCATAAAAAATATGAGCCCACGGCTGACTTTTGTGCTCCTCCTCCCTCGCCCCAGTCGGACAGTCTCAGTGGCTTCTCTGCTTCCCCTTCTCACTCTCATGTTGAACCAACCCAGTCCCGCTGTTGTGGCGCTACCTTTGGACAGAAATCCTCGGGAGCAGGGCTTAATTCCCACATTTCCAGTGTTAGCAGTTGGAGTGGTTTAGCAGGATTTTTTACTCCTAGACTCATCAAAAAGACCCTTGGTTTACGGACAGGGAAGCCCACATCAGAAGAGGGAACAAGTCTTGTAGGTGGGCCTAAACCTTTTCCTAGATCCAATTCAACTTCATCTATGTCAACCGGGTTACCTGATTTGGAGCGAATGGCTTTAACTTTACCTAGGAACCGTTGTGCCAAACCACCTCTTGAAAGAACTGCTTCAACAACTTCTCAACCAGAAAATGGTGCCACACAACCCACAGAAACTTTATTAAAGAGACTGGATGAAGGGACCGCTCAAATCAGAGATAGGCCCAAAGCAAAGCTACTACCGAGGAATACAGCAATTGGACAAAGAGCACCCACAGGTGGAGGGGAGTTTGGGGACTCTGAAACTTTGTCCAGGGTTAGTGAGGGTAGAGAGGACAGTGGAGCAGGTTTAGAGCGGCAGCAGAGTTGGTCATCTCCTTCTAAGACTTCTATCTCAAGTTCTTTATTAAACTCAAGTGCACCTACTCACAATCACAAAGTTCCAGTGTTAATATCCCCCACACTAAAGCACAGCCCAGCGGATGTGCACCTTGTCGGTCTAGACTCTCAGGGGAACCGATTTAAACTGCTCTCTGAGCAAGCAGAAAGGGACCGGCCGCGACTGGTTAAACCCAAGTGTGCTCCCCCTCCGCCTCCCACGCTGCGCAATCTTCAGCACTCCAACAGCACAGAGGGAGAGGAGCCGGCTGGTACAGGTCTTGTCGAGATGAACGGAGATACATTAAAAGGTCATCGATCAGTGCGGACTTCTGGAGGGGCAAGACCGTCAGTGCCACCACCACAAGTGCCTCTGGCTTCTGGAGCTCTTGCCACAAACACTACCCCTGCCAAAATGGCAAATGGTGCTACCACTGCTTCATCCAAAGTGGCACTGCGACGAACCAGGCAACAAGCTGAAAGAGTGCCACCAGAGCGGGTCAGCCGCGTGGCTCTGCTCGAATGTGTGGAGTGTCTCAGCAGTGCCCTCAATGTCAGCTCTGAAAGTTCCTCCAGCGGTCATGTGCTGGATGCTGGCCACCAGCTGCTAGACTACTGCTCAGGGTATGTAGACTGCATTCCTCAGATGAGAAACAAATTTGCCTTTCGGGAGGCAGTGGGCAAGCTCGAGATTACCCTGCAAGAACTGAGGGCCTCGTCATCTGGAAGTGGAGGTTTGAACAATGTAGGACCTAACACTGTACTGGACAACCTGCACAGTTGTATTAAAGAGATTAGCGATGTGGTACAAAGGTAGTCACAATGACCGTCACAGTGAATCTGCTCATACAAACCAACAATGTTAGAAAAAAAAACACAATGTACCTCTGAGATAAAAGTATTTGTTTTGGTTTACAGTTATCTGTTAAATTCCAGTAAATACACTTTGTTTGTACATAGTACAGTGATACATTGTCCCACCACCATGATTAATTGCCAACCTTTGCTTGAAATTTCACATATAGAGTACAGAATCTTACCCAGGTTATGAAAACTGGTATGCTTATATTTTGTTTTTGAGCAGACTACATTTAAAGCTGTTCAGTGTTTTTGCACGCATACCTGGACACATTTTATCTAATTGTTGATAGAGGATTGAGTACAACATGCAGAATAGGAAATTGCCCTGTGACACATTAGCGGTAGCCTAGCCTTAGCCATTCGTAAACTACGGTCAATTATTTCCCTACATGTACAACATGAAATTTGTACGATGGTGTGGTAAGACCAGGCTACATTAGCGGGTAATATTCTGCACTTTTTTTGTAAACCTGTTCATTCACTGATGCTTGCACACAGTATTTCTTTTGTATAATGGGACCTACGGTAATTTTAGGGCAAGCACAGGGTGATGTTGGTGGTGTTCTATTAAGTGTCCTTTTTAATATGGACAGCATTTGTCTGTGGCCTTGTTATGGCCTCTGTGCCTCAAATTCTTTTAAGTAGAAGCACGGACCCAGAGATTATTCTCAGTACTGTTTTTCTCCACAAATTAACTGCAGTATGTCTTCAGCACATGAGCAAAATTAATATTCTTGTGGTTCCAAGGAAATCTTGGAGAATGTTGTCTGTCTGAACTTGAACTTTAAATTATTATTTTGAATAACAAATCATTTGAAAGACATTTGTTTCATATTATTATGTATGGTTATACCATCAAGAGCTTAGAGTAGTACAAGACTAAGGCCCATCTTTCCAGATCTCAATAATCTGAATATATTTTATGAATGTATTTTCCAGGTCAGTTTTTCATTTGCATGTGTCTTTTTAATATATATTGCATTTTATTTATTATTTTATTGGCCTAATGTCACATTTCATAACTCCACAATTGTCAATGCATTAAACAAAATGCACATGATGCATGCAGACGGCACATCTCATCAAATTTCATCTAAATTTTGTGTACACTGGATGAGGCTTAAATTAGATTGTGAAAGATGTTGCAGCAACAATGCAGGTTCACACCTTGTCTTCAAATGTCAGTATTCTGCTTGTGTTCACTGTGATGGTCCTTTACAGTTGGATTCATGGTGCCTTTTGAAATGTATCATTTATGTAAAGATTTGAACACAATCATTGCAACAAATGAAACGTCCCCAAGACCAAGAACATTTCTGTACAGCTGCCAACTTGAAATCCATTGGTGCACTTTTATTGTGGCCTTCATTGTTGTTTTTTGTTAATTCACTAAATCAAAGCTGCTCTTTTACCACCAGAAACTGTACTTGTTTAAAGTATAGTTTGATCATTTATTAAATTACTCAAAATAAATATATTTCAAAATCACGTCAAGAAGACCAAGATACTATGTAGTAGAAGGTATACTCTTTAACTTTGCATTGTATTTCAAAGGTTTTGTACATGCCTTTTCTCTGAAGGTAAACAGGAGAATGTGTGTACACATCATTATACCAAAGGCCACTTCTACAGAATTTTGAGTGCAATGTATCCTAAACACGTGTTGTGACAAATGAATCTCAACAGGGATAATAACAATAGCAAGAGTTCACAAATTTTGTAATGTAAAAATTATATTTTTATTGTTTGTGTTTTATTTAAAGCTCACATCACTGTGAAGTTCTGTTTATAAGTGTGATGCTTATTGTAAATAAAAGTATTGATTATGATAATGAGATTTTTTTTTAAAATTACTATTATTTAGGATTTACTGAACGCAAATGTTTTAAAGATCAGCAGTGTTATCGAAGAAAAATCACCATTTTACCGAGTGTTTCTACCATAGACAAAATTTGAAGTTGGTGGATGACGTAGACCAGACCATATCCGGCTCCTCCCATTCGTAGTTGTGGTAAAGATGGCGTCCATCATGGAGGGGCCGCTTAGCAAGTGGACCAACGTAATGAAAGGCTGGCAGTATCGTTGGTTTGTTTTAGATTACAATGCTGGACTGCTGTCTTACTATACGGTATGTTGTCATCTCTTTTGTCGATAGTAAAGCACAAAGCTGGAGCGGGCTGTACTTGTCCCAGCGCAGATAGGATTGGCCTTGTATGTGTCAGGAGTTGAGCTCAGCTGGTACAGGGGTGTGTCTTCGGGCGAATGCTCCACCGCTCCACCAATGACAGCCGCCCATGGAGACAGACCAGCCAATCAGATGTCCTCTGTTAGGTGTACTTCCGCTTTATTAGCTTGTTAGCTATGGATAGTCAATACGGATAACACTGTGGCGATATTATGAAAACAAGAAACATTAAAGCATATGTTGTTGTATATTGGCATGAACTGTATCGGAACAATAAAATGATCGAACCCCTCCCTCCACTCTCATAAAGATAGTCTGTTAAATATAAAATTGTGCATGTGTGTTGAACGTATCGTTCGTTAATGGGTAGAAACATTGTAATGCAATCTGTGTTTTATAACGTATTATTTATTACGTCGTGTGACTGAAGTTCTGATGATAATGGTCATGAGCGATCCTAAATGCAGAGCCTGGTATTTTTGGCAGAGATCGGACCTTATAGTTCACCTTTGTGTCCTATATAACTTTTCTGCTTGTGTTAGGTTAGGATTAAATGGGTTGGAGGGTCCATCACTGCTTGAATGTTCCACAGGGTTTAAACTGAACATGTATACTGTACTGCACTTATATGAAACATCTTGAAACTTGTATTTTTAAACGCTAAAATCATTTCTGAAATGCGTCGGATTCTCATTGTTCAGATATCGCACTTATATCTAGCACACAATAGGTCTGTTGCTTTCCTTTTTTGTCAGTCTCAAAGGAAAGGAAAGCAGAAATAAATCACTCTTTTTTCGCCCTTACGCAAAAAATCATTACATTATTGACATACTCCATGTGTACCACGGAACACTTATTAAAATCTTTGACAAATGTGATTTTTATGTATATAATATTTCATTTTAAGGCGTTTTTTTAACTGTATATTTTTTATTTATTTAATACACACCGTTCCAAGACAAATATTGACACGGATGAAATGCATCTGCATGATCTGCACAACTCAATAAAAATAAAAGTTTGGGTACTGTTCCACTGATTAATGGTACGTTTTTTTGCTTCGTGCATGTGTACTTTGGACAGTTACAAATCAACACTGTTAAAAAATAAATCACGCACTGGCATTGAAGACACTGAATGTGGGGGCTTCCATCTCGTTACCATCGGAGGGTTCTGGTCCAAGCTGAGAAAAGTCATTGAGGAGTAGGATCATTGGAGAACAGGGAATGACAAATTGAATTCTTATACACAGCAAGCTCTGATCTGTTGTGTGTAAAATTACTCACTTAACACATGTAATGGGGGACCTTGTGATATATCCTATTTGGCACAAACAACATTTTAGACCAATAATTAATAGATGGATAATCACTTTCAGTTGTTGTCAACTATCTTTGTAATTGAATAGTTATTAACTGCTATAAAGTGCTGTGTGCACTTGAGACTGATGTCAGTCTTTTATTTCAAATAATTATACACATGGAGAACAATACAATCATATGATACTAGTTCATGATTATAATCATTATCAATAAAATAGTAATGAATAAATGCAGCATTAATTCATTTTATTTTTGATATATGTGGTTGAGTGTGTGCACATCCTTTGCAAACCAAAGGTAACCACTGAATTACACAAGAAAATTAACTGATTTATCATTTTGATGATGAAACTTCTTTTCTGGAAATATCTGTCAGAAGGTCCCCGTTTACATCCCGGCCTTCACTTCCCGTCTAAGTTTTTAAATAACTAATTGTTTAATGGCTAAAATAATCCTAGATTATTTAATTATCAAAATAATCATTGTTACTTGCCCTAATAGATACAGATAGAGATTGTGGATTAAGTAGACTGAAGTAAATGTCCATTGACGGAAGGGTGTAACCAATTTGGATATGAATGTCACTGACATGTTGCTGTTGATTTTTCAGTCCAAGGATAAAATGATGCGTGGATCCAGAAGAGGTTGTGTGAGGCTCCGGGTAAGGTTAATTAACTCTTCTCTTGATTTTAATGTGAACTCTTAAGGAAAACAACAATCTCTTGTTGTATTCTAACGCTATTTTTGTATAGCTTAATTACATGGATATACATTTAGGGGTGTTGGAAAATATGTATTTGGCAATATAATCCTGTGATAAATCCTTTATAATTCTAATAAAAGAAGAAATACATTGAATGTACATTTCGCTATTTTTTTGGGCTAAAATGCTCAATGCAGTGTCGTATTTGTCCTCTACGGCTCTCAAGTGAGAAGCAAGATAAACTGCATAAGAGCTTCTTCATTTTTAGTCTTTGTTAAGTCATATACAAAATTGCAATAATCACCTTATAATGTAGTATTGCATGTATCATATAGTGACCTATGTTTTGTGATGGGTATAATTTGAGCAGATACAAGGCAATGCTGACGCCTTACATTATTGCATGTCATTGCAACTCATTACACTATGCCTCCAGTTTGCTGTTATGATCACTAGATGGCACCATTATAGTCTTTTCCTAATATCAGCCTTTAACTATATTCACACATCACTTTTTTGACATCCATATAGATTTTTTATGTTCATCCATTTGTTGACCATTTTGTACATGCATTAATAAATAAAAATATACAGATTTTTTGCTTAAATATTTATAACAATAATAAAAAATCTATTTCTCTCTTGTATGCATATCCACTCATCCAGTTTTTTTCTTCCTCCTTTCCCCCAAACCCCACCCCTGTCCCTGCTTGTGCCGTCCCTGCGCTCCAAAAGCATGTACATGAACCAAATGTGAGTGAGCGAGTCTGCTGCCAGAATATCTTTACTGAAGGAGCTTTTGAGAGAATGAATGTGTGGCTGAGATAAGCTTTATCACTGGTGTTTGTGATGGTGCGAAGAGTGTGTTGGGCACAGTACAGTGACGCTATCTCATCGCCTCGTCTCTCCTCTGCTCCCCAGGGTGCAGTCATTGGGATCGATGATGAGGATGACAGCACATTCACTATCACTGTGGACCAGAAGACCTTCCATTTTCAAGGTACATTGTCCTGTGTTTTATTTTCCTGGTTGGCTTCTTGCTGCAGGCTGTTCTCTGCCATCCCTCTTTCCTCCTCTCTCCCCCTCCCTCCTTCCATCCAACTCTTCCTGCCACCTTTTAAGTCCCGGATTGGTCTGCTCAGAAGCCAGGAAGCGTCGGACATTTACACAATAGCGTAGCATGCTGTATTGCCAAGTGTTTTCACCCTTCCTCTCAACCATTTTGACAGGGATGTTTTTGATAAACTTGGTTTGGCTGTTTTTAAAAGGAGTGTGTCAGATTTCACCCTGGCTGTGACTGTGCAGGAAGATTGCTGCTGTTTGTGTGTGTCTGCCTTGGAGCCCCTGGGAATAATAAAGAAATAGTGCTGAGCTGGAGGCTGAGCTCAGGTCTCTTTGGCCCCAGCCATTCATCTTTGGTACACGCTGCTGCTTCCTCAACCTCTCACTTTGTGCGGACTGGTTGTTCCATGGCTTCTACATCCAGCATCACCCCCCGCTCGTCCCGCCTACCCTTAGTTGGCAAGAAGCTGCTCTCCGCTGACATCCTTTTTTAATTCTTTCACTACCTCAGGTCTTGACTCCGAGTCTGTTTGTCATCACTCCATGTCTGTCCTCGCGTTTGTGTCCATTTCCCCCTAATACCATCTCGTTTTACCCCATTCTCGGGGAGGTCACCAACCACAGTCCATGGGCCACTGGCCCTTCTCACCTCTTCCATGCCTTGTCCCATGTCTGTGTTCCGAAGCTGTATGCTGTGGTTCTACAAACGCAAGGGTAAGAAGGCAGCGCATGTCTAGCTCTCTGCAGGGTTTGTCTTCTGGGATGTTTGGTTTGGGTGGAGCTGATGCATTGTGCAAATCGCAGATGGAGTGGCTCATTCAGGGTCATTGACAGTTGACATTTGTGATACGAAGGATGTGCCGATGGATTACTTCCCTCAGATTAGTATGGTCTTCATATATCCTCTTTTTAATATGCTGTACATTTAAAGTTTACTTTTATTGTTGTTTGAAACCGTGTATAGTAGTAGCAGGATTATGTCAGTGTTGATCCTACAAATGTGTCATTTTTCGAGTGACTTGCATTTTCAGCCGCAGTATATGAGTGCTAATTTGTGTTGACCAAGATATTTGAGCTACTGCAGCTGTTTTCTTGGGTTTCAGATGATGCATAGGATGTTGATCCACAGATTTTCATGTTACTGTAAAATGATCCTTAGCATTATCCCGTTACGTGACTTGTCTCTAACAAATTAGATGGATGTCGGAACCAGAGTCTGACTTCGCTCTGTTATGTTGTTGCTAGGTTTAGCATAGTTTTCTGTAGTCCTTTTCTTCTTGTTGCTTTTTGGAAGTACAAAAACCTGTTGTGAGATTGTATATAAATAATCCAAGTCTGTTGGTGGATAGTCTGACAGTCTCCTGAACTATACTTTAAAGCTGGTCACTGTGTCCTGTACCGTTTTGTGCTTTCTATTCTATTTAGAGAGGCATCCATTATTCATCATCGGCTCTGCACTGGTGCACCAGAGCAGCCTGATGGCTCTTTAGCTTCCTCTTCGCCTTGCTCCTTCCACTGCCCTCCGTCAGTGTTTTGACTCCTGCCTTTCGCTCAGCAGCCACAGATCCTGCTGCTTTCTCCTGCATCATCATTTGTATGTTTCCAATTTAAGCTTTTTTGGAAATCTCACAGATATATTTCTTGTTGATGTTTCAATATTGAGTTCTATGCACACTTACTTTCCTTTTCTGTTTTTTTGGCACACGCATTGATGACATTTATAGTGGAACAGTAAACCGTGTATTTTTCTTAACCTTTTTGCAACCCTCAGGACAAAATACCCTACATTAGGGTCTAAAAGGCTCAGGGCTGGTCAAGTTAGGGAAAATCTAAAAAATCAATCAGCTCAATAATATACAGGTATATATTTCGGGTATTGTTTAATCACTGTGGCGGGCCAATTTGATGGGTTAAGTTTATGTCAATAATTAGTGGCAGACAATTATGAAGTGAAAGCAGACAATTATGAAGTGAAAGCAAAATAATTCACAACTAATTTGTGTGGCTTGTAAAAGTATTCAGCCCCCTTTTCTCTGAATGCAACCAAGAAGTTTCCTGAAGAGTTTGGACAGATACAAAAGACATGCAGTAGTCTGATTCATGCATCCTGGTGCTTTTAACCAAAAAACTTACAGCATTAAAGCTGTTATTTTGTTTTTGATTCTTAAAGTAGCAATATGTAAGATTTTCATTTCAAGTCATCATTAAATGGCCCTAATCTGTCAAAAGGCTTTAATAAACCATGCTCTATTCCAATACTTTTTTAAAGCTGCACTAACTTACTTTGTGAAATCTTCGAATGTAAGCGCTGGGCTCGCTCTTTCTGCTCGCCCTCCCCGCACGGAGCTTTCGCCCCCAATTACCCCCTCCCCCTCAGCCTGTGCTCATGTGCTAATTGTATACGGAGCTCATGTCTCACAATATGGATCGCACATTGGAACGTGGATGCCGTGACCATTGAATGATAGAACCGGGAAGCGCGGAGGAACGAGACTTTCTTTTGGATTGCTGTTTTGCTGCGTAAGCAGTGACCGGTAACAAAGACACGGGAAGTTTCAGGTTAGCCTCCGCCGCTTGTTTACCTCAGCTGTCTGTGCTAACAAGAGACCTGTGGCTTTTCTCAAGAAAGTGGGGGCCAGTGGTCCGCTGTGATTGATCACAATCTGGTCCCAAAACAAATTCTCTTCCTTGTTTCACGAAAACTCGATCTAAAAAAAAAAATTACACGCCAGCACAAATCTGCGCAACTTTTTCTTCAAAAGGACGTATATCCCAATGCACTGCATGGATATGGATTGAATTTTTGTAATGTATACAAAAATAAAGTGAGGTAATGCAGCTTTAACTGATAACAGTAGTTCAGCCGAGATATTTGAATTACTAGTTATTACTAATAATTAGTTTTACAGCCCATAAATCTTATCATTGTTTCCTAGGGTGGGCGTTAAAACGATAACGATATATATTGCGATAGACACGTGTTCGATATCAATAGAAAACGGGGTCGATAGAACTTTCCATAGTTTAACTTCACTCCGTTCGAAAAAACAGGAACGAAACACAGGAAGTAAAGCCGAGTCAGAAGCGCGCTGCATTCTGGGGGATGTAGGCAGAGACTTCTCGATCTATCACAGCCGACTACAAACCGCAAAACTTTCTGGGAAAGCAAAAACAACAACCGCACCATGCGTAGCGTCCATGGATCATGGATCTATTATAATAGCCATGGATCTAAAGAAGGTGTTTCAGTGCCGTGTCAAAGGTTAAACACGTCCGTGCGAGGAACATCATGTGCGGCGCGGGAGAGGCAGAGACTCGATGCATTCGGCAAAAGCAAGAGATTAACTTTCCGCGGAACTAAATAAGGTCTTGTTATGATTCTCAATTCGTTAATGATAAAACGAGGATTTCTATCAGGGCCTTTCTGAAAAAGTTGTTGGTTATAGATTTGTTGTTGACAAAACTCTTTATCGAGATATTATGGTTCCAGCTGGATTTGTCTTAATATCTGGCAACTTGAGTCAGGGAGCGTGGTAGAGGTTGCAGTACCACTTTTGGACAGATTTTTACATACTGCTCCTTTAAGTTTTTTCCTTTTATGTTTTTCCCAGCAGAAAAAAAAACTTAGAGTAACATTTTGAGAATAAATTAGATGATTGGCTGAGGATCATCTAATGATGTAGAAGGAACTAGATTCATGGATTTTATTACACATATATTATATTTTAGTATATTTTCTATGTCGCAAATATTTTTGTAGTTTCAAAGTTGGGTACACCAGCTTTAAGTATCATCCAGAGGGTAATCTAATCTCTGTATGATTACAGCCATAATATTAACAGTCACGTATCATTTTGCGTTTACTTGTCAGTTGTCTAACTGAAATTTCAATGCGGTTTTAACAAGAATAGATGTAGAAAAATGCATAGGGTATGTACTAAACGCATCATCATTTAGGAAGACAGTCTAACAGAATGACACACACAGGTGCAAAAAATAACTCACCTCAAACTAAAACAAAACTGTCTCTGAATATTCTTGTACAGTGCATCTGGAAATAATTTTTTTGAGATTCATGCAAATTCATTCAAAATAAAAAAAACGAAGTAACCACATGTACATAAGTATTCACAGCCTTTGCTTAATACTTTGTTAATGCACCTTTGGCAGCAATTACAGCCTCAAGTCTTTTTGACTATGATGCCACAAGCTTGGCACACCTGTCTTTGGGCAGTTTTAGCCCATTCCTCTTTGCAGCACCTCTCAAGCTCCATCAAGTTGGATGGGGAGTGTCGGTGCACAGCCATTTTCAGATCTCTCCAGAGATGTTCAATTGGATTCAAGTCTGGGCTCTGGCTGGGCCACTCAAGGAAATTCAGAGTTGTCCTGAAGCCACTTCTTTGTTATCTTGGCTGTGTGCTTAGGGTCGTTGTCCCGCTGAAAGATGAACCGTCGCCCCAGTCTGAGGTCAAGATGTCTCTGTACATTGCTGCATTCCTCTTTCCCTTTATCTTGACTAGTCTCCCAGTTCCTGCTGCTGAAAAACATCCCCACAGCATGATGCTACCACCACCATGCTTCACTGTAGGGATGGTATTGGCTTGGTGATGAGCAGTGCCTGGTGTCCTCCAAACATGACGCCTGACATTGACGCCAAAGAGTTCAATCTTTGTCTCATCAGACCAGATATTTTTTTACTCATGGTCTGAGAGTCCTTCAGGTGCCTTTTGGCAAACTCCAAACTAAGGAGCGGCTTCCATCTGGCCACTTTACCATACAGGCCTGATTTGTGGATTGCCGCAGAGATGGTTGTCCTTCTAGAAGGTTCTCCTCTCTGCAGAGAAGAACGCTGGAGCTCTGACAGTGACCATCGGGTTCTTAGTCACCTCCCTGACTAAGGCCCTTCTCCCCCGATCACTCAGTTTAGATGGCCGGCCAGCTCTTGGAAGAGTCCTGGTGGTTCCAAACTTCTTCCGTTTACGGATGATGGAGGCCACTGTGCTCATTGGTCATTCAAAGCAGCAGACATTTTTCTGTACCCTTCCCCAGACTTGTGCCTCGAGACAATCCTGTTTCAGAGGTCTACAGACAATTCCTTTGACTTCATGCTTGGTTTGTGCTCTGACATGCACTGTCAACTGTGGGATCTTATATATACAGGTGTGTGCCTTTCCAAATCAACTGAATTTACCACAGTTGGACTCCAATGAACCAGTAGAAGCATCTCAAGGATGATCGGTGGAAACAGGATGCATCTGAGCTCAATTTTGAGCTTCATGGCAAAGGTTGTGAATACTTATGTACATGTGATTTATTCGTTTTTTATTTGTAATACATTTACAAAAATCTCCCAAAAAATTGTTTTCACGTTGTCATTATGGGGTTTTATGTGTAGAATTTTAAGGGGAAAAAATTAATTGAATCCATTTTGGAATAAGGCTGTAACCTAACAAAATGTAAAAAAAATGGAAGCATTGTGAATACTTTCCAGATGCACTGTATATTTGTGTTTTAAAATGTGTTGAATGTGTGCCAGTGTTTACACATACAAAAAGACAAAGCATGTTCATATTATTACGATACAACATCCCAACCAGATAGAAGGTCATGAGGTTTCAGTTTCACATGTTTGTGATCAGTTCACATCAGCTGTTGACTCAGGGCACAATGTCTCTACTTCAGATGCAGAACATGCAGCAGTTTATAATTGTTTTGGGGGTTTTTGCTAGATTTAGGCCATGTTTATCATATCGCTATTTAAGTGTTTCTTAAAGAGAATCTACTTTCAATACTAGTTTTAAATCATTATTATTTTAAATTGTTTTAATCTGTTTAAAATGTGCCCTTCACCTTCCATAAATGTGTAAATAATAATGTTCCCTACACCTAAAAAATAGATGTTTTGTTTTTTTGGAGAATTTTGGTCAAATGCATCTTCCTGTTAATCTCAAGGTTATATTTCTCTGATGTAAGGGTGTTACCAGTGGCCCAGCTCTGACAGTGTAAAACAGAAGTCCATTGCTTTAACATAATGTACCTGTTCCATATCTTTGGAGTGCTCTGTTCTGATGGAGACAAACCATATTAGCTGCAGACCCTGCAGTGATCTGCTCCTCATCTGAGCAGCAGGCTGAGTGCTTTGGCCTTTGCTCCTGCTTTTAAGGGCTTTGTACTGTAACTCTGCTTTGTCTCATCGAATCGTTGATTGAACAGATGAATAGCAATAAACTGTGCTACATTTATTATCATCATCATGTTTTCTGTAATAATGTGTCTTATTAATATACACATGGTTACAATATTATAGGTTGTATTATTTGTTTGCACACTTCTGTCTTTTGCACTATCTGAGTAATTCCATCTATGCCAAATATGACATGTACATTTTTTCAGTGTCTATCTTAAAAGAGGAGAGGCTTGATACATATTTTTTCAAATTACTTCGGCTGAAATTGAGCTGCGCTAAGGCCATTTGTCAGAAGAGTTATCATAAATATTTTTGGTGCAGCTTACGTCAGTTAGAGAGCCACTCCATTTTAGCAAACTTGTCCATTAGCCAAGAGTATTCGGGCTGTTCTGTGCTTTAAAATGAGAGATGACTAGTCTATATTTATTCACATTTGACAGACCTGAAGTTCACTTTCTCAAGCTATCGTAGTGCCATATTTGAAATGTTGTGCCACAACCATAAATGTCAGCATAGTAAAACAAACTATTTTAAAAATCTATTTATATAAAAAAATCTACTTTTTAAATATTTGTTTGTGATTATTACTTTAAATAAAGTAGCAATATGTAATATTTGCATGTCAAGTCATCATTAAATGTCCCCAATATTTCAAAAGGCTCTTTTCGAATACATCTTTAACTGATATCAGTAGTTCATCCGAGATATTTGAATATCAAAATTAGTTTTACGACTCGTAAAAGTTGTTATTGTTTTCATTTCGATGTCCGTCTCAGACGGAGACGGAGGGTAGGAGGGAACCCGGACCTCAGACGTCAGACGGGTTGCCACAACTCCCCGCGGCTAGCTAAAATAACATGTGGCCGCAGAACTAAAAGAGGTCTTGTTATGATCGCAAATCATTAATGACAAAACAAAGACTAAAACGAGGATTTATATTGGGAAACCTTTGAAAACTTGAAACAATTGAAGGCGGATACAAACTTTCCGTGGGGTGCGTTCTTCCTTGACAGTTCAAGTACTTGCCTGGAGTCCGTTATCCTTTATATGTAAAGATGGCCTAATGGTTAAGTCATACATGCATCAAGAGTTCCGAGCTTCCAGCTCGACCGCATTGTGGGTAGTTTTCTCAAAAAGGTGGGCATCAAATCACGCTGCCATATTGGATTACTTGTTGCAAACGTGAGCTCTCTCTCTTGTTTCCAGCCCATAGATTGTTTTAATAGCTAAAAAATTCACCAATTCCAGACATTTTATTATGTTTTTCTCATCTGATATGTTCAAATAAAAATACAAAATTCAACATTAGCACGGCTATCATGGCAATGTGAATGGAGACCGACAAATAACTGATAAAATAATTCCCTGTGTTTGCTGCTTGATTTGGTGTGTATCTGGCAACCTGAGTCAGGGAGAGTGGGAGAGGACTACAAAATATTGACTGTGACTGCAGTACCACTTTTGGCCAGATGTTTACATATTGCTCCTTTTAAGTAATAAATATATATAATTACTATTTTGGCTTAAATATCATTTGATCTTCAATAAATGCACTATAAATGTATCTATAGTGCTAAAAGCCTATTTTTTATTTACTGCATCAAACTGAAAGTCCTGTGTAGCTAGATAAGTATTGTGTCATGCATATCAAATTATATCGTGTTGGCAGAGAATGAGCTTTACAACAAGGTATCGATTCCTACATTAACGTTGCTGAAGTAAACACAAGTAGAGCTTGTGTTCATGATTTCAATGGCTACTTCCTATGGCCGGATTGTGGACATGCCTGACTTACATGTTTATTATATTATTATTATTATCTTGATTCGTTTTGATTTATTTTTTCCATTGTTTAGGGATTTCTTTGATATACAGCTCCCATGGTCCCATGTCAGTAAATGGTCATTACATGTGAGCACTTTGTCATCCACTGTGTTTGCATGGAAAGGCTGACGGGTGTGGCTGTTGTCTGCTTGTGTCCTTAGCTCGAGATGCAGATGAGCGGGAGAAGTGGATCCACGCCTTAGAGGGAACAATCCTCCGTCACACCCTCCAGCTCCGGGTAGGTGGCCACACACACACACTTATTGGTAAACATGCACTTCTTTCAATGTCCTGTTGAAGAAGGGTGGAAAATGAACGACATACAAACTTTTTTAATGGCTAAATGTCCTCAAAATGTTGGATGTAAACAGAAGCTGAAGTATAGAAGTAAGCAGAGTGAAGAAATTGACACATGATGCTGAGGTCTGGGCTTATGTGTCAGAAGACGTGTTTATTCGTGGTACAAACACAGGCAGAGATCTGAGTTTTCACTGCATGGTTTTTTACACAGGCCAAAGTTTATGACACAGCTGCACAGATAGTCCAAAGCCTCTCTTCCACTGTCCTTCTTGTGCTGTGGACTGTAGACCTCCAAAGGACATCACCAAAAGCATGTGATCAATGATTACTTTTACTTAAAGGTGTACAATATTGACTTGTTCGTGAAAAGTCTGCTCACTGCTTGCGTACACAATCAACTGACACATATTTTCTTCATGGCATTTTACTGTTCCACGTTCTTCCTTGGACAAACATGGATCATTTCAAGTTTGCTTGACTTGCGTTTGTCTATGTCACCAGGTAAAGTTACAGGTCAGATCAGAACAAGCTGTGGAAGATACCATTATCTCAGTCATGAATGCTTCTCACATGGGATTCTTTAGTCTTTAGCCATGTTATAAACAGTAGTACCTCGCAAATACACCCCCATAATAAACAACCATGAGGCTACGATATTCAACCTTTTACAAATGTCTGCTCATTTATATGAAGCATTCTCTCTGGTACATTTTAAAGGCAGCCCAAGCAAAACTAGGCTAACATGAAGTGAGTGATTTAGAGTGTAGTTTTTGCTTTAGGATGTGACACGGCACCGTCTGACAACCTCTTTCCAGCGTCCACCTTCCTTCAGGACTTGCTCATGCATGCACCCCTCCCTCCTGAGTTTAAAAGCCATTGCCATACACACACTAACAAACACCACCCTTTTCCTCTCAGCTCTCCACGCCTTGCTAAATCTTCCGGTTATACTCCGTTCTCATATAATCAGTGTTGCAGTCTCTGGACATTTTATCATGTGATCCGACACCAGCCAACAAAAAAACGTCTTGCTCAAACAGCCAAACATCTGCTTGTGCCGCTTCAGCCACTCACCCCAGCCGTTATTGCCTCCTCCTCCTCCTCTTCCTCCTCCTCCTCCGCTGCTTTGTGTTTCTGCTTCTGCCTGCATGAGAGGAAGTGTGGCTGTCCTGCCAGAGAAGGGGAGGGTCCAGGATTAACTCTGTCTGCTTCCAACGCAACGCTCAGCTGATGTTCTGCTCCCAAAGGACTTCCACTCGCGTCTGTATTTCACAGACGCAAGATATTTTAAAACGTTTAAAAGCTTTGGTTTCATTTGGAGAGAAGATTTGCCTGCTTGACTGGAGGTGGTAGATAGTCAGAGGAAAGGAAGGACGGGATGCAAAGCGACATGTGTGGACTTTAATGCAGCATGTACATTGGAGCGGCGCGTGCAGTGAGTACTCCGCACGCACAAAAACAAATTCCCCCGCACCACAGGGACCACAGAAAGGGCTGCCTCGTTCGTTGTCAGGGCCACAGTGGTTCAAAAGTGGGTCACACGACTAGGAAAGACAGACAGGGGTGGGGGTGTGACTGTCCATATGTGAGAATTTGCACTCTGTTCTGAAATATTTGTACTGTGTAACCAGACTTAACTAGACTATTGTAACATGCAGTGGATTTTAACAATGCAATTTATGAACTAAAGGATGCGTGTAATTCAAGCTTCCTCTGACTTCTCACAATACATTTATGCTCCGTGTGTTGCCATAACAGAAGTTGGTGTTTTCAGGGAAATAACAGGCTCTCGTCTCGTCACCCGTTAGTTTCAAGTTTCTTCGCTGACTTAAAAACAAGATAACAAAAGTAAGTACCAAGTACTTACTTTTGTTATCTTGTTTTTATGGCTATTTTGATCATTGATGAGGTGAATATGGGAATTTGTGAATATATTTGACCAAAACAAAGCTAAAGTGATTTACATAGAGATGACTTGCTACACATTGGGTTGTTTGATTTAAAAATACTTCTTTAAATGTGTTACTAGAATAAAATGTATTCTCAGCATGTTTTAGTCTATGTAAGGTTAAAATAAAAAGATTAATCGATTAAATTATTCGTGATTAATCGATTTACCTACAACCCTAGTTTCTCTGTTGCAGTTTTAACAGGCCACCCCTAGATTGGCGCCTGGCTTAATGTAAAACCACCTTTGATCTTTGGAGGAAGCTTGTGTTTAACAGTGACTGAAAACACGCTGAGTTAGCGCAGACTTTGTTCTCTGTAGAGTTAGCAGAGTTTTATGAAGAGTAATCAGGGTAGCTGCTGGTAGTCTGTGGCTGTGGATGGCTTTCCTGCACTTTCCTCTGAGAATGTCTGTGACCATACCAAAACAACCCAAGGCCTCGAGACTCCCAAACAGGACCCAGGGAGGCAAAGCCAGGGCTCTCAATACGGTTTGGTTTATTAAAGTTGTAATTTACACGTATATACATATATATTACTTATAGCGTAAAAGTAATAGGTTGAACACTTCTTTCCATGTCCTTTCTGATGTTATTAGGTTTGTTGTTTACAGGTTTTAGAATGGTGAAAATGAACTGTGTCCAGTTTTTTGATTGGGATGTAACTGTTCAGCTCATTGGTTGTAATACTGCATAGAGAGATCAGTTGTTTTAATGTTAAGAAAGGTCTTGTTGCGGAAACGCATGTCTGTTCCTCTTTATGTAGTTCACAGTCAAGTAGATTGTTCTTGAAATGTTAGTTTAACACCAAAGCTCATCACATTTCTCCTTTCAATAGATATTACATAGTGACTAATGCAGACTGCCTTTTGTTCAATTGTATTTGTTGCTGTGTCTTTCCACATTGCTGACATCTTTTAAAACAGTCCAAATTGTTTGTTTTGTTTGCTTAATCTTGAATAAACTCAACGTTGTCGTCACGTGATAAGCATTGCTCTATTGACCTGCGTTTTTGTCACTCACAGGAGGCAGAAACAGGATTCGTTCCCAGTGTCCAGGACTTTGACAAGAAGTTAGCTGAAGCTGATGCCTATCTCCAAATTCTGATTGACCAGTTAAAGGTGTGGACACCACTGCGTTCCATTAGCAACATTAACTTTAGTGCTACTGTTTATTTACCCATGTTATCGTTCTTGTCATGAATGATTGCATCGTGACCTGTCTTCTGTTGTGTCCACAGCTGTTTGATGAGAAGATCAAGGACTGCAAAGAGGATGAATCTCATAGAGTGAGTGCGGTACTCTGTCTTGTGCTCGTGTCTCTCTGTCAGATCTGTTTATGTTCAGACCCTCTGAGGGCATAAAATGGTGATGAAGTTACATTAGTTGAAAAGCTTCCTTACAGGGGAAAAACATAGTAATAGTTTGTTGAAATTCTTTGATTTGTGATTTTTTTAATGAATTGGACATGACACAGACAAAAGGTAGAGCCCTAAAACTTTATAGGGATACAAAGTGTGTTGGTCAGTATGTATCATCTTGCATACAACAGCAAAACATTATGATAATTTCACCTTACATTTCAAGGAAACCTCAAAGTGCTACAGATTAGAAACATTATACATAAATGGCAAAAATACAGTCAAATACATCTAGGTCCAAATGCAACCGGGGGGAAATAAAAAATGCTAAAAAGCAAGTTCTAAAATCATGTATATTTGAAATCTAATTTAAACTGAGCCATTTCACATTGATTGGGTCACCACCAGGATAATTGAGGAATGCACCTTTTAAACAGTTGATAAGAAAAAGACACGCATTTCACATTTTACCTTGTGGAGACTCGGATATAGGACTGATCATTTTCCCCCAAATCCTACACTAATGCACCTATTTTAATATTAAAATCTCATATTTCATATCACCTGGTCGTGAGTTGGATCCGCTGGCAGGGGAGGAAGCCGGTCAGACCTGGCAGACCCAAGCGTGTAGTGAGGGTCTGCTGGGAACATCTCGCTGAGCCCCCGGTCAGACGGACTTTCAACTCACACCTCCGGGAGAGCTTCTCCCAGGTCCCGGCGGAGTCTGAGTGGACCATGTTCTCTTCCTCTATCGCCGATGCGGCGGCTCGTAGCTGTGGTCGTAAGGTCTCTGGTGCTGGTCCGGGTGGTAACCCCCGAAACCAGTGGTGGACACCGGCAATAAGGGATGCCGTCAGGCTGAAGAAGGAGTCCTATCGAGCCATGATGGTTCGGGGGACTCCTGAGGCAGCTGTCCAGTATCGGCTGGCCAAGCGTGCCGCGGCCCGAGCTGTTGCAGAGGCACTGGACTGGGAGGAGTTCGGAGAGTCCATGGAGCATGACTATCGGTCGGCCTCGAAGAGATTCTGGCAAACCGTCCGGCGCCTCAGGAGGGGGAAGCAGTTCTTTGCCAACACCGTGTATGGTGCGGGTGGAGAGCTGCTGACCTCGACTGGGGATATTGTCGGACCGTGGAAGGAATACTTTGAGGTTCTCCTCAATCCCCCAGTCACTTCCTCCGCCCCGGGGGCTGAGGATGTTAGGGCGGATACTTCCATCTCCCTGGCAGAGGTCACCAAGGTGGTTGGCAGCCTCCATGGTGGCAAGGCGCCGGGAGTGGATGAGATTCGTCCTGACTATTTAAAGTCTCTGGATGTATTAGGACTGTCTTGGCTGACACGTGTCTGCAACATCGCGTGGCGATCGGGGGCGGTGCCAATGGAGTGGCAGACCGGGGTGGTGGTCCCTCTCTACAAGAAGGGGGACCGGAGGGTGTGTTCCAATTATCGTGGGATCACACTCCTCAGCCTCCCCTGTAAGGTCTACTCCAAGGTACTGGAGAGGAGGCTACAGCCGTTGGTCGAATCTCGGATTCAGGAGGAGCAGTGTGGTTTTCGTCCCGGCCGTGGAACACTGGACCAGCTCTATACTCTCCATCGGATACTCGGGGGTTCATGGGAGTTCGCCCAACCTGTCCACATGTGCTTTGTGGATTTTGAGAAGGCGTTCGACTGTGTTCCCCGGGGTGTCCTTTGGAGTGTCCTCCGGGAGTATGGGGTCCGGGGTCCTCTATTGAAGGCCGTTCGATCCCTGTATGACCGGAGTCAGAGCTGTGTTCGCATTGCCGGCAGTAAGTCGGACCTGTTCCCGGTGCATGTTGGCCTCCGCCAGGGCTGCCCTTTGTCACCGGTTCTGTTCACTGTATTCATGGACAGAATTTCTAGGCGCAGCCAGGGGCCGGAGGGGGTCCGGTTTGGCGACCACAGGATTTCATCTCTGCTGTTTGCGGACGATGTTGTCCTCTTGGCTCCAACGACCCAGGACCTGCAGCATGCACTGGGACGGTTTGCAGCCGAGTGTGAAGCGGCTGGGATGAGAATCAGCACCTCCAAATCCGAGGCCATGGTGCTCGACCGGAAAAAGGTGCCTTGCCCTCTTTCTCAAGTTCAAGTATCTCGGGGTCTTGTTCACGAGTGAGGGAAGGATGGAGCGTGAGATTGACAGGCGGATCGGTGCAGCGTGCGCAGTGATGCGGTCTCTGTATCGGACCGTTGTGGTAAAGAGGGAGCTGAGCCGAAAGGCAAAGCTCTCAATTTACCGGTCAATCTTCGTTCCCTCCCTCACCTATGGTCATGAGCTTTGGGTAATGACCGAAAGAACGAGATCGCGGATACAAGCGGTCGAAATGAGCTTCCTCCGCAGAGTGGCTGGGCGCTCCCTTAGAGATAGGGTGAGGAGCTCAGTCACACGGGAGGAGCTCGGAGTAGAGCCGCTGCTACTCCACGTCGAGAGGAACCAGTTGAGGTGGCTCGGGCATCTGTTCCGGATGCCTCCTGGACGCCTCCCTGGGGAGGTGTTCCGGGCACGTCCCACCGGGAGGAGGCCCCGTGGAAGACCCAGGACACGCTGGAGGGACTATGTCTCTCAGCTGGCCTGGGAAAGCCTTGGGGTCCCCCCGGACGAGCTGGAGGAAGGGTGTGTGGATAGGGAAGTCTGGGCGTCTCTGCTTAGACTGCTGCCCCCGCGACCCGGCAACGGATGAAGCGGAAGAAAATGGATGGATGAAGCTCATATTCCGATAAAAAAGTACACATTACAAACCATTAGATCAAAAGGAGGACATAAAAAGGACGATTAAGATAACACGATAAACTGCTGAATATACCACAAAAACTTGGTTCCAAAGTCCATTTTCATCAGTAAGATAAGATAAGATAGACTTTATTGATCTCACACAGGAGAAATGTACATGTCACATCTTGCATGGAACGAAACACTCAAGATTGTGCAAACATGTTAAATGCAGGATATATTATGTACAATAAAAAGTGGCAATCAAGAAATAGTCAATAGTAGTGCAGGTTTTTTCAGTCTAAATGCAATTACTTAAAGTGACTTGTTGTACAGTCTGACAGCGGTGGGGATAAAGGCCCTGCGGTAGCGCTCCTTCTCGCACTGAGGGTGCCTCAGTCTTCCACTGAAGGAGCTCCTCAGCTCCTCTACAGTCCTGTGCAGTGGAAGGTGTTGTCCATGATGGAGGTGACTTTGGCTAGCACCCTCCTGTCCCTCACCTCCTCCACAGAGTCCAGGGAGCAACCCAGAGTGGAGCTGGCCCTCCTGACCAGCTTGTTCAGTCTGCTTCTGTCCCGCTCTGTGCTGCCCGGGGCCCAGCACACGACAGCGTAGTATATGGGAGAGTCTGCCACATAGTCATAAAAAGTCCTGAGCAGAGGCTGCTTACTCCGAAGGACCTCAGCCTCCTCAGAAGGAAGAGGCGACTTTGGCCCTTCTTGTGCAGGGCGGTGTTATGGACCAGTCCAGTTTATTGTTAATGTGAACACCCAGGTACTCGAAGCTGTCCACCAGCTCAATGTCCTCCCCCTGGATGTTCAGCTGCGTGTGGGAAAGTGGTTTTCTCCTGAAGTCGATGACCACTTACTGGTGTTCAAGCACAAGTGGTTGCGCTCACACCAGTCGACTAATTCAATGCCAGACGCATTACAGGCAAAGTGAGAATACCAAGCCTTTAGTTAATGTTAATGGGCTCACAGCTTGTAAAACCACAAATAAAACGTATCAGGAAATTTGATTATTTTGAAATTGGATTGTAAGCCATAATTATCAAAAAACATGTAATGTTTCTATATGTATTCAATTCAGTGTATTTTTGTATAGCCCTAAACAGTTGTCGTCTCATAGCAATTTACACAGATCAGAAAATCAAACGGTGCAAACACAGGACATGCAATAATAACAAACACTTAGAAGCAATTGGTTTATAAGGGGCAGAAGACCAATGTCCTTAAATGTCCTGGATCATCACCACTATCCGTATTGTTTCCACATTTTGAAATGGTTGAATTACAAAAATGAAAACACTTTTTAATGATGTTCTGATATTCTGAGTTTCACCTGTGCATGTAAGTTGTCAGTCTTTTAATTATGGTTCAATTACAATATTCTGTTCTTTCCCTCACAGAAAATAGAAACTTTAAAGGAAACTACATGTGTAAGTGAAGTCTCTGCAGCACCATTTCTTTATAGCCGTGTGTGTGCGTTTACATTTTCTTTACTTTTTGCCTCTTCTAGAGTATGGTAGAATCCATCAAGCACTGTATCGTATTGCTGCAAATTGCCAAGGTAAAAGACACAACACTGCTTTTCTGTGTTTCCTTTCTCTATAGCCCTGTTCTTGGGGGACAGTGTGTCTGTGGGGGGGGGCTCCCTGCTGAAGCTGGTGGCAAGATGGTGGCTGCTGAGGGTGTAGTCCTGCTCTCATTTCATCACATGATACAAAACTCACAATGAGTTTGGTCATCACTTCCTGTGTTTACTAAGATGTGATGACAGTCTGTAAATGCCAAAAGTTACGGTAAAACAGAAAAAAAGATCAGTTATTCATTTAGTTCTCTGTGATGTGATGACAGCTGAGTGTTCTGGTGATTTTGCAGATTAGTTTCACGGGAGGTGATTACAGGGAAACTTCTAGATGTTCTATGGCTTTGATATTTATACATATCTTTGAAATTGAACACAAATTCTACACAGATAGTCTAACATTGTCTTCTTAAAATTTTAAGGACCAAAGTAACGAACAGCAACACGCAAACGGACTTATAGTAAGTTTGACGACCTCCGTACATCACAAAAATTGAATCAAACAAACTTTTCTTTTCCTACTTAATTTTCCCCTTACTGCGGTTGAAGCATAAATCAGATCTTTAGTGCATGCGTCAAAATGAATCTAGCTTTTTACAGGCCCTTTCCGGTTTGCACTTTTATTTTGATCAACTTTCAATCATTCATAAATTAGTTGGGAAGTGGGAACCATCCTCTGAGTTTTCTGTACACTTTACTAATACTGTTTGCCATTTTGCTTGCATGCTCTATGCTTTGTCTTTCATACAGAAATTTAGATATTTTTTTTGGGTATACAACTCCAACTAATTATCCAAACTAATAAAAAATGGTTCAATGAGACAATCTGTATAGGTCAGGGCTTTAACAAGTTAACCAATTAACTTAGCAATTATTTAAGTTGTCAACAAAATTAAGTTTAAGTTGGTTTTTTTAACACATATTATTATATAGAGACAGTAACTATTATACAGTAGAATGTAAGGGATGTTTCTGATTCTGATTCTGATTTACCAACTAACCTTCAAGGGGCTTAACCAGCTATAACCTCCTTATGAATTAAATGAATACTTCCTAAATCGATAACTATTTTTTAATCAATTCTTTTTTCTTTTTTTTAATAATATCTGGACCAACGCATGCCAAGAAGAGAATTTATGATAAATGCTGCAGAATGACCACCTAAAATAATGTTTATTGCTTTAGCTTTTTGTTAGTCAAATTGATAAAAAAAAAAAAAAAAAAACATGTATTTTCTGGATTTAAACAACTAATCAATTATTCAAAAGTATATTTGCACAACTAATCTATTAATCAAAAAGATTGTTAATTACAGCTAGAGGATTGACATGATATGTAGTTTCTGTTGCTCAGATCCTGAGCCGTCCTCTTTGGCATTCCACCAATGAAACATAGATTTGGATAAATGCCAGCCTAATGTTTTTACTGTATCCTTGTCTCACATGTGTGGCCTATAGACCGTTATTTACTATATGAGGCCAACAAGCCACTGACACTTTTTGAAACCACATCCAGAAGCTATTCATGAGCTTCTGGTTGAAGTGGTTGGGACCTGATCCCTATACCATTATCTCTATTCAGTATTTTTTATTTGCTTTATGACGCTTATAATGCTCTTCGAGCTCAGAAATGCTTTCATGGTTCTGTAAGAACTGTAAGTGCAGTTCTCTGCTTTTGAAAGTCTAGCTGTGTTTGATCGATACATATATCAAACACTGCTGTATTTTCTTTACAACCATCATGTGCACAGTTGGAAATATCTTCCATGAGGTTTTCTCCTCTACCTGCTGCATGTAATGTTTTTTTTCTCAATCATAAATTTTCTGCATAACATCACTTGTAATCTATGTCTGTAAAGTATTCAAAATGTATTGCATAAAATATAGCTGCTATTAAGTTGAAGTAAACATAAACTTTTATATTTTAGTCCTTAAATCTGCCTCAGCTTTGAAAGAGGAATGTTGGAAACTCAACATTTGTCATTCTGTCACTCAGATGATCCTCCAGACGGCAGTTTTCCATTTACCTAAGACTGTTTAGCTGGGATTTGAACGTTGATTTTCCTTTGTTCAGAGCTTGATGCCACTTAAATAAATAAAATAAGAGAGACCAAAACTGCAGTCCTTCAGCTGTGGCAAAGCAGTTACATGCAAAGGAATGTCTTATTGGGGTTATCTTGAGTAAGTTGTGCTCAATACAGTTTAAGAAGGAAATATATGAAAGTGAAGCAGGATCGATTCTGAAGAAAGGGCAGGTCTTGAAGCAGGTTTCATTTAGGAAAGTTGAAGTTACCATCAGTTATATACGATATATTACACACAATGCACCTTGACAATAAAAAAACTAATAAACCTGAACTCCCAGAAGATTTGTCTTCTTCAGTCTCTGGAGAAATTTAAGGGACACATTGTTCAAGCTACTATCCTGGATGAGGGTGGGTGGAGTGAAGTGAGTCAGCATCATATCGACAAGGATGGGTCTAATTTGGGATGGGACTGAACCCCGGGGCAGGCGGTTGACTAGGGGTGGATGGATTTTCCTTTAGGTCGTGTTGTTGGCTACTTTCCAATTTGCTGGGTCATTGGTGCTACAGGCCTCATTATACTGAGCCTAAAGGCCATGCTATGTGGTTCTCTGAATGTTAATGTACTTCAGCTCCTGATCCCAGAGACGACAGAGTCCCTAAAGGGGTCGTCTACAGGGAAATCCATAGGTTAACAACATTGGTGTTTCCAATCCAGCCTGCCGCACACTGGATTGAACAAAGTTCCACTTAGATCGTGAGGAGATACTGTTAATCATTGTACAAAGCAAAGTGCCAGGACCTGATACCATTGTTATTAATTAACCTGATAATACTATACTATACAACACTTTTGAGTAAAACTTGTCTCTGTAATGCACCAAATTTGAGTGCCAAAGTTTGGGTTTGGCTGATCTGAATCCAACCATGATATATATATATATATATATATATATATATATATATATATATATATATATTATATATTAAATTTTTTTTCTGTGAGGTGTTCATGTTGTGATGTGTTAATAAAAAGTACTGTTTTCTTTCTTTTCTCTTAGAGCACCATCAACCCTGTGGATGGGATCTACCAGCCCCCCCTGGACGCCCCTGTAGTCAACGCCACAATGCCAACGCAGGCAACCCTCCCCTCTGGTACCTATACTCTGCTTACATTGAGGATAAAGTGCATTTATGAAGTTGTGCTCTCATTAGGGATGTCATCACTAAGGGGTACATTGATTAATCATCTAGTCAGCATTCTTCTATGATCCAAAATGCAGGTGTACGTTCAAAATACAACTCCAGTGAACTGTCAATGAATATGGGATTTGTTCTACTTTTCCCCAAAATAAAGTTCAAATGATGCTCCTGGAGAACATTGGGTTGTTTGCAAAATTAAAATGTGTTTACAAAGTATTTTTAATCAGTCATTAAAGCATTATCAGTGTCATAAAACCTTGGCATCTATAAGTCAACTATTTCAAAAATCGTTTAGTTGTTGATAATCAATAAACTTTACTAATGAACTAAACCCAACTTTATTGATAACAATTTTGGTCGGCCCACTTATGATTGTGACATAAAGCCAACTGTGTTTTGATATTTGTTGGTATATATTATATAATGTACATTACTGTTTCTGTTGAAAATACTGCATATGCAAGAGTGGCCATAGGACAATAATATATGAACCTATTGGAGTCAGGTCTGCTGTCGATGTTAAAACAGTTCTGTCTGACTTTGCGTTCAGTCCTGCTGTGCTTTTAATGAAGCTGACTGGTTTGCCGCTTCAGTGCTTTCTCACACACGTTTATTTTATGCTCAAGATGCTCAGGTGTGTAAATCAGACCAACGACCTTCAACGTTACCCGTTGGACCCGGTACAGTGATGGGCACTTTGCAGACGCCTACTCCTAACAGCACAGGTTAACCACTTTTTATTGTTATGACTAATTTTCAATCCTTATCAGTATTGGTAACGGTCCTGGTAAAATCTCAAATAAGAAAAGTAAATTAGGAAACTTTGTTAGGCTTTGTACATAATAAGGCTCGACTGATATTGATCTATATCGGTATATCATAACAGACCATTTTTGCTGTTCTTGAATTTTTTTACAGACAGTATAACATGTTGTCTTGTACATCCTACTGACCGACACCACAATAATACAACTCAAGAAAACACAAATATAAAATACATATAAGTGTATTTTATGTACATGTGCCTAAACAAAGCTCTATCGGATTAGTTGGTTTGGTTTATTTCTGTCACAATTAACTAAATAACACTAACAATGACACTTAATTTGGATGAAATGACATCAAATCTGCATCTGCTTCCTGGAAGATCTTTCCACCCCATTATATTCTCTCCAGTTCTGCTGTTGTATCACATCCAGTCCATAAACAGGGATGTGGGACTTTTTATGACAAAATTGTGACACTTTCACTGCAAATGAATATCAGCACTGTATATATCGGCTTCCTTGATCAGTATCGGCCCTAAAATCACCATGTTGTCAACCCCTGGTTCACATACTGTTTACTGTCATCTATCTCGATACAATGTAAAGCCCTCCATAAAAAAGTAATATACCATGGACTGTCTGCTGTGCCATATTTATGAAGACTAAATTAATTCCACGGTTCAGTTCTACAGCAAGAGAAAGCCGAGCGCCTAAACGCCCTGCCTGTGCTGATTCAGCTGGATTAAAATGCTGCACTTTGCACATAGAGGCCTGCAGCACACTCAAGTATACAGTCAATATGTTTTGCAGAAGAGGCCGTCACTGTGACAGCTTAATGCTTCTGTGTGTAGTCTAAAAAGTGCACTTACACACACAGTATTTCTATCCAACCATTAGAGGTGTATAATCTGCATAAAAGCATGTTTACTTATAGCTATTTTGTCTGAAAAACAATGTGTGTGTGTGTGTTCAGGGAGCGGCCCATCAGTCCCAAGCAGCGGCGTTACATCCCCGGCTCACATTCCTTTACCCTCACATTCAGTGCCAGACTTCTCCTATTCCTCCAGTGAAGATGAGTTTTATGATGCTGACGAGTTTTACCAGAGTAGCACCTCGCCGAAACACTGCAGAGAGTGAGTAACTGTGAGAAACCATGCATATATCATTACATTGGCATAATCTTGATTTGTTCGTTTCGACTTTAGTCCCTCAGGGCCTTCAGCTACTTCTTCCAAACCTAACGAAAAAACCACATTGAAGCGACCCAACACCACAGAGTCCCTGACCTCCTCGATGTCCAATGGCACCACAGATGCAGGTGACTCACTGTGATCATAGTATTACCTCTTTTAGGCAAAATCAACAAAAGTTTTTCCTCATTAATGGATTTTTGATTCATCCATGCTAATATCAAAACATGTCACACCTTCTGTTTGAAAGCTCCTGTCTCAGTTTTGTAATAGTATGATGTCATTGTACCACTATGACATCACACTCACACATCACACTTTGTGGAAAGTTTCTGTTGAAGACAAAACTAATTTAACTCCTCGATGTAGTGGTAGCTCAGGGGTAAGCCAGGCTTTTGTTTACCCAAGATACCATATGTTTTGTACTGAAGATATTGTTCCACATTCTAAAACATTAAATGACAGTGTAAATAGTCTCAATATAATATTTTATAGCCAAAAAATTGCGCACCATTTTTTCTTTTTTGAATCCGTTGGTCTTGTATCTTCAGAGCAGTTTGACAGTCACGATGACCGCGATGACGATGGCGAGGGGGAGTCCGTGGAGGAGCACAAGAGTGTCATTATGCACTTGCTCTCTCAAGTTCGACTGGGCATGGATCTCACAAAGGTAACGCGTCTGCAGCTCTGTCAAAGCCATGTGAAGCTGTTTGCACTGCACTCACGGCTTTGCTCTTTTCATTTTTCCAGGTGGTCCTGCCTACCTTTATTCTAGAAAGAAGATCTCTGTTAGAAATGTATGCAGACTTCTTTGCACACCCTGACTTGTTTGTAACGTAAGATATAGTTTCAAATGTATAGTTTAAAAAGAATAAAACATCAGACCAAATATAATTACACTGTTATTTCTTTAGTATTGCTGAGCAGCCTGAACCCAGAGAGCGCATGGTTCAGGTTGTGAAATGGTACTTGTCAGCATTCCACGCAGGAAGGAAAGGCTCAGTGGCCAAAAAACCTTACAATCCCATATTAGGAGAGATCTTCTACTGTCACTGGGATCTGCCAAATGAGAACGAGGAGATTTCTGCGCCATTGGTAAGAAAATCATTGTGCTTTGAATCAGAATTTGAATTTCAGGTTACATGGCTTCCCTTCTTACTTATTGCAGGAGACCGTCTCAGATGGGCCCGTCCCGTGGGCTTCTTCTAATAGTGTGTGTTTTGTAGCAGAGCAGGTTTCCCATCATCCTCCTAGTGAGTGGGCCTTGGCTGTCTTGACCATCATAAGGTGTTTTTTTTTAACATGCAGAGCGTATAAAGTATTAATATTTTTTCTTTTCTTTTTTCAGTTTCTGCCTTTTATGCAGAATGTTTGAACCGGAAGATCCAGTTCAACGCTCATATCTGGACCAAATCAAAATTCCTTGGCATGTCCATTGGCGTTCACAATATTGGTCAAGGTATTTCACTATTCATACTCACCACATTCTGTATTTTTAAAAAAAAGTGTAATTGCAATATTTCTTTAGGTTGTGTCTCCTGTCTGGAGCATGATGAACATTATATTCTTACATTTCCAAATGGATATGGCAGGTGTGTAAGTTGTGTTATTATTATTTATATATAAAGGGCTTCTTTCTTACTCCCTGGCTTAATGTAACATTTTTGTCCAGATCTATCCTGACTGTTCCTTGGGTGGAGCTAGGTGGGGAGTGCAACATCTCATGCTCAAAGTCGGGATACAGTGCCAACATTGTTTTTCACACAAAACCATTCTACGGAGGAAAGAAGCACCGAATTACTGCAGAGATTTTGTAAGTGGTAAAAGAATAAAACAAGTGATGTTATAATATTTCTACATTAAAACTCACTGTGTGCCTGTCTGCAGTGCACCAAACGATAAGAAGTCCTTCTGCTCCATTGAAGGGGAATGGAATGGAGTCATGTACGCTAAATGGGCGTCTGGAGTAAGTAATCCATGTGCTCAATGAAAGACAGAATGTGATTGTGCATTTATAATAAACATTTATATTTAAAGTGCATTTCCCTGTGGAGATTAAATGCTTTATCTTAAACTCAGCTTGTGGCTTTAAAATACCTCATTCAGTCATTTACAGTTTTGTGATTTGTAATTAGCAAAACTATAAACATTTATTATATAGTTACAACAATTTCATTTTTTTTGTTTTCATCTGAAAAATAGAGGGACACTTTGGAGCTCAGGCCGCTTTTAGCAAAATAGTGACCTGGCATCCAAAAAGTTGACATCGTGTATCACTGGCAAAACCTTTGGGGAATTTGGGTCTCCCAGTCCCTACTGTGGAAGTACCAAAACCACAAAAGTACATTAATATCTCATCGATCACTGTATAAACATTATCATCTAAAGTTTACAAGAAATGAATCGAAGATGGTGCAGAACAAAGATTACTTGCACTTATTAGTATTACTGTATATTTACTTGGAGCAAAAACAATATGTTATTGTCGTCAGGGCCCATTGATGTTTTTGTCTAACCACTTATATTAACAGGAAAACACTGCTTTCATCGACACCAAAAATATGGGTTTAATCAAGAAAAAGGTTAGAAAGCTAGAAGACCAGCTGGATTATGAATCCAGAAGGTGAGACATTTCAAATAAAGGGCCATTTTTTCAATTACTCTCCTGTGGGATGAAAAAAGGTTTATCTTATCTTATTGTTATATTGTGAGTTAATTTCAACATGTAATCTTACTCCCTGTCAGACTGTGGAAAGATGTCACTCAAAACTTGAAGCTGAAAGACATTGATTCAGCAACAGAAGCGAAACATCATTTGGAGGAGAAACAGAGAGCGGAGGCCAGAGAAAGAAAAGAGAATGAGAAGCAATGGGAGACCAGGGTACGTCTGGGATAAACGTTTATTTACAACATTTAGGATTTATGTCTCCTCTTCTAAACATGTTATTGTCTTAATTTCAGTTATTTCACGAAGACGGGGAGTGCTGGGTCTACGATGAGCCACTACTAAAGCGGATAATTGACCAGAAGGATTGAAGACTATGCATATACATACATTGATGCACATATAGCAGGAGTCTTCATAAGAACTCTGGCATTAAAAAAAAAAAACAATTGTTTTCTAAGCCTTGGACAAAACTGACGATAAAATGTATTCCGTTTTGCATTCGACTGTGAAACTGTGTGGCGGTGAATGACATGGATGCAATCTTATATTAGTAATAAGCCTCTTGGGGCCGCCTATCAGAGAGACCTGTCAACATCACGACTGCAGCAGAGAAGGAGCAAAAGAACAACTCATCTTCAGCGTCTCAGCTCTCTTCTGCCCCGTGCGATAAACCTGCACTTCTATTCAGATGAAATAAGTCTTAATTAAATCTGTGATCTACAACTCAGGGAATCTGGTGACTGGAGAGAAAGTTGCTGGTCCCTCAAAACTTGTGATGGCCTTATGATATTGGAACTGAGCGAATGGGCCTGGAGAATGTGTCTACTTGCCTGCAAACAGCTACAACTGTTGTGGTGTAGATGAATATTGTTGGAAATATAACATGAATATGAGTATGAATATATATATATACATAAATGTGTATATATAAAAATAATTATTTATATTTTCAGTGCTTTTTTGGCCGTAGTTTAACAATTACATCAATGTGGCTTTGCATCTTTATAAATCATTCCAATGTGGATATGTTTCCATTTCAAGGTTTTTTTTTCAAATATACCTCACCAAACATATTTTGTGTTAATTCCCAAAGCAAGAGCATGCTGATAATATGGTGGTAGATACAACATAAGTATGTCAGAACTTCAACACCAAATGTATCTTTCTAAATTGGACAAACAAAGACCAATCCAGAGGACAAGAGTTTGAAGATGTGAATCTGTCCCTATGTCCCCTGATAGACCGTCTTATGAAGCACTGTTTTCATTCTGCTCAGCCTCTCAACCCACATTCTACAATTGTTTTCGGGGCATTTTTATTTGATCATTCATTGTTCAACATGCCTACATATTGCAATATTCTGTACTCATTTAATCCATTCTTCATTCTTTTATACAATCACATATTTCAAAACAACTGCAATTATATGTGGATGACAAACTATAATAAATAGTTTTCAAAAAAACTTGTCATTATGTTTAAACAATTTAAATGTTACTTTAGATATTAACTCATGCTGCACATGAATGTTTTACACTACTGTTTCTCAAAGTAAGGGGTATGGGTTGATTCTCAGTGCTGGGAGTGGTTACTATTGTAACTATTGATATGTTTTAAAATCAAATTTGATATTTGATATGTATTGCTAAATAACAGTGGGACAAAAAGGTTATATAGCAAAGCTTTATTACAAATATATTACTTTTTTTTCTCCCTGTAACTAACGGAATATTAAAGTAACTTGCCCGACAGAGGTTTTGAACCATAAAGCTGTAAAAAGTAGTTAAACAACAAACAAACACACATGTTTGTTTATTGTTTTTGCTGTTGCATAATTGGAAGGTTTTTGGTCAGAATCAGAATATTTTTTATTGCCATGTAAGTTTTATTATTTTTATTAACAAGTGATGCTTACAGGCGCAAATATCTACAATATGTTCCATTATTATCGATCCATGATTGTACCCTACATTGTATCCAGGGGGCGCTAATGACAGCTTTCCCAGAAGCCAGCGCGCGAGGACAGTATAAAAAGGCTTTGCGCTCTTCCTTCAGTCTCACTCTCTCACTGCAGAGCTCTGTAAGGTAACTGGTCATTTACTTTTAGTATTCTGTCCGAATCGCATTGTAGTTATTTATTCATTGTTAATTATAGTTGTAGTGTGTTTAATGAACTGCTGTTTGAAACTGTTAATGACAAAGACGCAATGCCATTTGATGAAGAGCAGGCCTAAACCACGTGTTGCTAACTAGCATAGCTAAAGCTAGTTTTGCGCACAAACTCAACCAAACTCAAGACTTGCGTGTTGCACTTGTATTCTAGCCTCGTGTTTTAATGATGACATTTTCATAGGGACATCTGAGTAACCTGATGATATGATTTCTGATACACGAGGTTTCAGTTCTGGTTTTGCCTGTAACATTGGGCTATTGCAATGTTTTAAGTGGTCGTTTCTTTTTGGCCTCTAGGTTGACTGGGGCTGTAAAGATTATGCCTACATGTAAGTGTTTAACCCATTTTTAAAAACAATTTATAGTCTATGATGTTATTAAGAGTAGTGGACAGATGAGATTTCTGACAAACGTAACCACTGAGACTTTGTTTCTAACTATCTATACTCGTTGGCACCACCTCTGTGCCTAATACTCTTGTGTATCCCCAGGTCCCGGATACTTGCAATTGCGAGGGTTCGAATGGAGCTGCAGGATCCCAAGAAGGTAATTGTGGAGGGTCACATCACACAAGATTGGCACTTTATGCGCCAAATCTCGAAGGGTCTGCCTTCGTTAGCTGCCGCTGATGACCACATTTGCTACTCTTGACACTATGGATGACGAATCTGACAACCACCATTGTCAAATCTGAGGAGATTGTAATTTGTTGAGATAAAAAAAAAAAACTCTTGTGCACTATTGACTGGCTGTTGTTTCAGGTGTCTGGAGTTGGGTGACATGTGTAAAAGGCCCAATGCAGGCAAAGGCAAGTCATTTGACAGTTTCTCTCTAAATTCTGTTGCATATGATGAATTTTTATCATTGGGAATCTCTCTGAAAGCATGTGAAGGAGGATTTTATTTCTGATCTTGATGTGTCATTAAAATGGATGAGATTGCTTTTGTGTTGTCCTGATCTTGTTGTGTTGTCTGTTACAGGTTAACTTCTGACTAAGGTATGGAGTCTGTAGTCTTCGAATTTCCCTTTACCTGGATGCAATGATGACTGCATAGTTCAGCTGATTTTCTGTGCTGAATAACTGGCTTAAGTCTTTCGCTCCTATCTGATGCAGCAAATGTTTTTGACTGTGTGAACTATAGTTGATGCCCACATTTTAAATAAGTTGTCCTTTCCAGGGTCTGCTGAAGGATGACTAGGTCAGTACATGGTAATTTCTGCTCTTTACTTAATGATACAATGATGATTGCATAGTTCACCAGATTTTCTGTGAAGAATATTTAACTTTCCTGATGTGTATTGTGTATTAGTCATAAGGATGGTAGTTCAGCTTGGAAAAAGTGTTTTACTTTTCTCTTTTCCTTAGCACTGGGGTTTGGTCAACGAAGCAGGAGAGCAGCACCAAATTCTGGACCCATGGGTACAAACACTCGCTAGGCCCCCACTACGTTAATGTGTAGTACACTTCAGGGGGCCCCTCCCGCCTTGGTCCCTGGGTATGCCTGAGCAATGACCTAAGGTAGGTTTACAGATAGTATTGTCTGTGATCTAGTGAACTCGATGATGATTGCATAGTTCAGCTGACACTCTGTGCTGAATAACTGGCTTAAGTCTTTCGCTCCTATCTGATGTGTTGCACTCGCTTAATAAAAAAATCTTCCCATAGATAAATGTTAAATGTAGCTTTTTTTTTTCTATTCCTCAGTCTACACCGGCATAGTGTCAAGACCCCAGGAAGATTAACCACTGCATCTCGGTGGCCAATTGGGATCTTGATAAACAAAATCATTACTGAGGTATGTTTAAAGGTTTTTTGTAAATCCACTAGATGCAATGATGACAGCATAGTTCAGCTGACTTTCTGTGCTGAATAACTGGCTTAAGTCTTTCGCTCCTATCTGATGCATCCTATTAGTATTTTCAATATGACTTTGTTCTGAAATGTGCTAATTGTAGCATGCTTCCACAGGTTCTTCATGCAACAATGTAGCCAGCAAGGTGCTCAATCTATGAAGGTGAGTAAACTTGATTGCTCTCATTATGGAGACATTTACATATCACTTTTGGCATAGAATTACTGTAAAATGTTAAGGTGAATTAGTCTGCTCAGGATATAAATTTTTTCTTTCAGGAGGTTCCCTCATGCAGCAACACATAGGTAATTATACTGAGATTCTGCTTAAAACTTATAACGACATGATGACTAATCAGGTCGCTGATCTGTTTGAAGAGACATGCTAATTCTGATCTTAGCCAGAGGGTTAAGATTTATTATAAAATTAAAGTGGTGCTGATCTGATTTTCTTATTGCAGTGCTTCAGAGGCATTCTGGAGGTGAGTCTGGATGTCCGGCTTTGAGTGACTGCAGTTATGGGTTCAGTGATGTATGACAAATGTCTGACCTGAAAATTACTGTGGATATGTTAACTCGCTGAGCAACCCACTATTTTATCTAGTTGAATGACTGTTATAAGGCACGTGTGTAATGTACATTTTGTTTTACAGGAGGTCCTTTCCTCTAGTCTATGTAAGTTTGTTTTCTGTTAACACTTGCACTATTGCTTTTGACCAATGATGCTAAGATTCTGCCAAATGAATTCTATGATTATACAATTTTACCGTTCCATTGTCTGAAGGTCATGTTCTGTATTGAAACAATCAACAAATCCTGTTGTGCCTTAACTAATTGGTTTGTTCTGTGCAGGATGGTGATGGTCTGGATATTGAAGGATGGTAAAAATGTAAATTTAAAATGCTTTCTTGAAATAAAGATTTTTAATGGTTCTCAATGTTTTCTTGGTTTTTGATGACTAAGTACTTCTGCCTTCAGACCTATTGCTGTGAAAGTGACTAAGAATGACTTCAGTATCTGACTAACCCACAATACCGAAACCAGGAGTGAGCTGATCCATGAAAATGCCTACAGGCACATTCCTATGAACCTAAAATATTGAATCAGTTTACATTAAAAAATAGGGTGTACCGAACTTTACCTCATTGGTTACAGCTACAAACTAATGGAAAACATGTCGGTTCATTTCTAACGAATATAAACTCAACCTGAGCTGTGCAATTCTACCATAGTAGCCCCATTCTTCCGGAAGTGACGTGGTGCGCTGTTCATGTGCGCATCGGTACTGGCACAGGCTGTAAAGGACTCGGTGTATTTAATGTAAATTCTCCGCCTTGTTCTGAACCTCCTGAAAGTGGGAAGTGTCCAGTGAGCTGAAGCTAAATGAAGATTTCGGACGCAGTGATTCGCTCCATCGGGTCCGTGCCAGACCACTTGCTCTGATGATTTTGTTTATTCTACTGCATTTGGTCTGTGTTCGGACTGTAAATGCAAATTACTTTGCTTTTGATAGCATTTCTAATGTGTCGACATATTATTTTAATTATTTCTATTGTAATATATGGGAGGGTGACTGTCAGCCAAACCAAGATGATACTACAGAACAAGGTAAGACACTTCTCATAAACCCTGTGTTTATCCCAACATTTACACTTTTTACTATGGTGCTGCTTGTACACATAATATGCAATAAAGTCATGTTTTATTAGTATTGTGTGTTATTCTTACAGCACTATTCAATAATATCCCTCATTGTATGATTTAGGTGGTCATACATTGTTTGCTCTGTGTGTAAGTCATTCTTGCAATAATACCTGTGTTTTCTATATTCTTTGTGTCTTAACTGTTGATTATCTGATCTGTGCTGACTATTTCAACGATTTTGTTAAGTACTTTGAGATGACTACTGTTGTAATTTAGGGCTATACAAAAATGAATTGAATTGAATTCTCTTCCCAACAAAGCTATCCATGGGTTTTAAAATGATGAAAGATGTGGACATTAGCCTTTGACATTTCAAAACCAGTTTTCACATGTTCCTTTGTGTAATATTTACTTTGATCACAGTACCAACCAGAGAACTGTGGACAAGTTTCCCCCAGGACTATGTCAGCCTTCTCCATCAGCTGTACTGTAGCCTGGGCCAGTGCTGTGACTCCGGAGACTGTAGGGTCACTAATAATGTTACAGGTATGATCTTCATAAAACGTCCAGAGACTATGTTAAGTTTTATACACGGTTTAATAGACCGGCGTATGAGGGCTTGCTAAAGCGTACATGAAAAGTATTTTGTGCAAGTGAATAGCATTTAAATGTAAAATGATCTTTGATAATGTTTATGTCCATCAATGGAAAGCTTGAAAGAAGTGAAACCTACTTAACAGTGATACGTTGTAAAACATATTACTTAAGTAGAAGTAAATAAAAAATGTTAAACTACTAAATTAACTTTTATTGAGTGAACATTTTACATCTGGATTCTAAATTTTCCTGCGCAATATTTTACATTTTTGTGTTATTGTTTATTTTATAATACTTATTTTATAACTTACTCCATTCATACAGGCTTGTCTAAAGACCTTCAAACCAAGCTTCATGGACAACATCTGGCCCAGGCTGTGGTTCTTAAAGCCATCCAAGGATTTACAAATAATCCAGACTCTAATAAACCTCTGACTCTGTCGTTCCACGGCTGGTCTGGTACTGGCAAGAACTTTGTGGCTAGAATGATTGCAGATAACCTGTATCGGGACGGGGTGAAGAGTGAGTGCGTCCGACTGTTCATCGCCCCATTCCACTTCCCTCATGCCAGACTTGTGGACACGTACAAGGTAGGACTTGGCTCGCACAGAACCTCCCTGAGCCAGGATCACACTGCTTCTGAACTTCATCCATTCGCGATCCTGTCCTGGATGTGATCATTAGTTCATTTTAAAGGAATTGACCAGACATTTTTTTCCGTGTGTGTATTATATGTTAAAACCTCACCAGTCTTATCTTTTTGTTCTAATTTAACTCCTTACTCATTGTTCAAATTGGGTAAAAGGTTATGGTGGTTTTGCAATTTTCATTTGTTGTTTAGATTTCATCAGTATTGACTGTTTTATTACACAAATGAGACCAGTCTAGATTCGACTATGGCATAATCAAACCAAACTGATAAGATGTGGGCTGTTGGCAACGCATGATAAAAAGCACATTGATTTGTCCAAAGAGTCCAATGTTTAATGTTAATTTCAAAGGAAACACAATTCTGATCCAATCGTTTTTTAATGTCTCCTTTTTCTTTATAGAGCCAACTACGTGAGGCGATTAGGGACATGGTTCTACGCTGCCCTCAGACTCTGTTTATATTTGATGAAGCAGAGAAACTCCATCCCGGGTTGATTGATGCTATAAAGCCCTTCATGGATCATTACGACAATGTGGATGGCGTGAGCTACCGCAGAGCAATTTTCCTTTTTCTTAGGTTGGTTTACTTTCTGTATTTTATTTAAATTCAGTGCCTTTTAAAAACCATTCCATTTGTTCCTTTATCTGACAAATTGATGCTGTCACAGTAATATAGGTGGTGCAGCAATAAATGATGTTGCGCTGGACTTTTGGCATTCTGGACAAAATCGAGAGGACATTGGAATGGAAGACCTGGAGCACCGGCTACGAGCTGAAACAATAGAATCTGATGGTACGGGAATGGTAATATTCAAAACGTTCTTACTTTGTTTACAGTTACTAATGGACTTCCCTGTAGGTGGCTTTGCCCAGAGCGAGCTAATGTCCGGACATTTAATTGATTTCTATGTGCCATTCCTTCCTTTGGAGTATCGTCACATCAAGCTCTGTGCCAGGGACGCCTATACAGCTCGAGGCCTGGAAGCGGATGAGGACACCCTGGATGAAGTAGCTAAAGCCATGTTATATGTACCAAAAGAAGAGAGACTTTTTTCAGCACAGGGTTGCAAGTCAATTCCACAGAGGATTAACTTTTTTCTACCATGACATTATACAATATAATTGACTGAAGTTATATTGTTTCCTATTATACCTCTGACACACTAGTGTCGACTTTTCAGGTCCTACAAACAGTGGGCTGCACACAGGGATGTGTGTTAACAAGAAACTCTCATTAGGAAATAATAGGGAAACTGGGAAGATTTTAGATTGCTTTTGTTTTGTCACATTATACTGTTACAGTTTAAATTAATATTAAACTTCACTCTCGAACTCCATTAGGATATAGTTTATGTTACATCTGGCAAATATGTCATTATTTAATCTCTAAAACGTTAAGTGGAGTGTATGTCTGGGAACACTATGACCCAGGATGTGCTTTTATTCTGTCAACTGTTTTTGATTGTTTGTATATTGCTTGTGTGCCATGCCCATGTAGGCTACAGTTCATTTTGCATGTTCATTTTGTATAATGTTTACAATTATCATTGCAATGTTTTGGTTTTCCAGACATTGAACATGTACACTAGCCTTTCTAAAAATAAAAACAAACAAAAAACTAATGAGATTATGTTGGTTTTATGTTCTGTACTCTGACGCTACAGCCTTTATGTGCGCATCTCCTTGACAGGCTAAAATGCGGCTTTTATAACATGTGAAATCCCTGATAAGTATGCATTTGTGAGAAAGTACTTTGCCTGAAAAAGTTTTGTCAAGAGTGAATAAAAAATAAGATTTTTCTGTAGGCGCGTTCTGTTCCTCACGCATGCAGACGCAAGGTGCGCCCTGGGGCGGGCACTTCGCCTCCAGCCGCTGTTTTGCGATTGACCCGAGAAAATGCTTGTCTTTGTTTATCGCAGCTGATTGGTGCACATACATTGCGTTTCCTTGTACGTTTTGGAGCTGAGAGCCAATCAGAAGGAGACATCTGTTCCGCGGCGACAGGAGCGCAAGAGTGCCTCAGCATCTCTGCTGTAGTCGCTCCACGGATGTATGATAATAACCCGGTCTCCTCTGCTTCTTCTCAAGTGCTCATCGAACGGTCTGCTTTCATTTAGATTATTATAATAAGAATTATTTAAATCACGAGGAGATGGCGGCCCTGTTGTTAATGTTGCTGGCCCTGTCGGCCGCTTCAGTTCTCTCTGAGTCTATCGTGCATTTCCGAGAGCAATTTGAGGATGGGGGTAAGTCCTTTGCGCCAAAAACGTAGGTTTGCATGTTTTACCTCTCCGAATATCATTGTATGACCAAAGGTTTCTTCTATGCATTCAAAGAATACATCACATTCATCATTAATCACTTCCCATTCTTCGTATCTTTATTGTGATTAAAACATGAAACCAGATGTCTTCATTGTGTTTTCTAAAATATTTGCAGATAAATATTTTGAAAGCACATTTGAGTAGTTGTCTTTTTATTGTAGCCATTGTAAAGGAGCTCTCATCATTCCATGTCTGCATCCCCATCCCCCTACTCTCATTTACCCTGACCAACCTGTCAAGCCCCTCACAACACACCCAAATGCACGATGTCTTTATCATTCTGTGTAGGTTTTATCTGCAGCTCAACCTCCGCCACCTGCCGCCTCACTGGGGACTTTATCAATGGAAATAAACTGTGTGAATTTACCCTTGTGCTCTGTAGGTGAATGGAAGAGTCGCTGGGTGGAATCCAAACATAAGAATGACTATGGGAAGTTTGTTCTGACTGCAGGAAAGTTTTATGGTGATGCAGAGAAGGACAAAGGTGAGGGATTCACAACTTTTTAATAAAATATCAAGTTTCAACAAAGAAACCCTAATACATACATGGTTTATTGTATACATTATAGTCTGTTGACTCGGGTCCACATTCTTACCTCATAGGTTTGCAGACCAGTCAGGATGCTCGCTTTTATGCCATGTCATCACGTTTTGATGACTTCAGCAACAAGGGCCAGCCGCTTGTCATTCAGTTCACTGTGAAACACGAGCAGAGCATAGACTGTGGCGGAGGCTATATCAAACTGTTCCCCTCTAGCCTCAACCAGGAGGAAATGCATGGAGACTCCACTTACAACATTATGTTTGGTAAGAAAGCCATTTTAAACAACTGTTATTGTTCCTACCCATGTACAACCAATAGTTTTTCATTCAGTACATATATTTATTTTGACTGGTCTCGTTCTGAATCATTGTGTTTGCTCAGGTCCTGACATTTGCGGCCCTGGCACAAAGAAAGTGCATGTCATTTTCTACTACAAAGGGAAAAACCATCTCATAAATAAAGATATCAGATGTAAGGTAATGTTATAAAACCAATTCATCTTCTTGTACGCCTGTATTCTGTCCATGAATTTGTGAGCTAAAATATCCGGACGTATTATGTAAATCCTATATTGGTGATTCAAAATATGTAAGGTTTCGGTGAACGTCAATAAATAAACTTGGTTTGGGGTCGGTCTACAGGTCAAATTCTGAAATGTAGAATATGGTTCATTAATTCAGCAATGTGAAATCTATGATATAGGCTCATTTACATGCAAAGTGACATATGCCAAGCCTTTGCTTTTTATAATGTTAATGACTATGGCTTGCAGTCCATTTTCAAAAGGTTCTAATTTTCTGAGAAGATTTATTTGGGGATTTCACAAGCTGTGAGTAATTATCAACATTACAACAAATACAGGATTGATATATCTCTGTTTGTAATGTGTCTTTCATTATACAAGTTTCACATTGTAAGTAAATGGACTTTTGAACAATATTAATTTTTCTGAGTTTCACCTGTACACAATGTTCCTAAGCAAACTGAAAACTGAGTGCCTGGTTGTTAAAATACATTTTCTTTTCCCCAGGATGATGAATACACCCACCTTTACACACTGATCGTAAACCCTGACAACACGTATGAAGTCAAAATCGACAACAAGAAAGTGGAGTCTGGCAGTCTTGAAGATGACTGGGACTTCCTGCCTCCTAAAACGATCAAGGACCCTGATGCTAAGAAGCCTGAGGACTGGGACGACCGGGAAAAGGTTCCAGACCCTGAAGATCAGAAACCTGAAGTTCGTAAATCCACTTATGCTGTGGTTTCTATTTGAAATGTCCCCTCTGTGGGATTCATCATTTTATCATCTTGTGTGTACAACTCTGTCGTATTCATTATAATATTTTTTATACATTTTTTTACTTGTCAGGAATGGGACAAACCTGAAAATATCCCTGACCCAGATGCCAAAAAGCCTGATGACTGGGACGATGAGATGGATGGAGAATGGGAACCTCCTGCGGTCGCCAACCCTGAATATAAAGTAAAAATGTGTTTTTTTCTTTAAAATCTATCCAAGGGGGGCAGACTGTTTTTCATGAACTCCCTGTAAATATAAGCATGACAATAAAACATTTAGATGTACAGGTATCCTTATAAAATTCCAAAACCAAACTCATCAAATGTGAAAGTGTCCATTTGACAAAAGAAAAGGTTGAGCGGTTTCCTGTGATCTCGTGTTCAGAGAGCCAGAGTTACACTTGAACAAACCTAAAATATCTAAGTTTCAATTCCTTTTATTAACAAAAATATATACAATGTTGCTCGCTTCTAACAGACAGCAAAGGCCAAACCAGGTTTTTCATAAAGTTACAGTGAGGAGTTTTGAACAATGTGATTTAAACAAAGGGCAAAATTAAAAAGTTGAACTAGAGGCTGAGGCAGCATATAAATGTAAAATAAAAAAATAAAAGTTGGAATATAGGATTTATTTTCGTAAATAAAAGAGCTCATTGATTAAACGTGTTTTTGTAGTGAAGAAGATGACAAAGTCTGGGATCGTGTCATTAATTCAGACAGCAGACATGTTTTATTGTCGTTGGTAGAGGCAGCTCGGACACGAGCACACAGATTTTGCAGACTGCAAGTGGTAATATACAGTGGGGGAATGGAGTCCTCCAATCAGCATTTACCACAGTGCCTGTAGCTTGGCCTTCAGAAAACAAAACATGCAATGGAAAAGTACTGGCTCGTGCATATTGTTAGAATGATGAGTTAGAACTTTAACCACAGTTGTTTCAAAGTGTCATGAAATCTCTGAAGTAATACATTTGTCATCAAGCCAAATCCCTAGGTCCTTGTACGAGGAGACCCCTCAATAAAAGTACCACCTTGTATATTACTTGCAAGGTTTAACTCTTGCAGGTAATATGCAAGAGTTAAACCTTGCATGGAATTTTAAACATGGGCTGCATTTTCATAAAACGGCATGTAGATACATTTTCTTTTTGATTGCAACCGATAGTGTTACAAATATGATAAAAAGCAGGGGACCCAGAATGGATCTTTGTGGCTTCCTTACGTTATGTACTTTTAAACATGTGTTTTATTTAATTATGGATTGAACTCATTCGTCTGCTGGTTTTAGGGTGAGTGGAAGCCCAGGGAGATTGACAATCCAGCATATAAAGGCAAATGGGTTCACCCAGAGATCGATAACCCGGAGTACACCCCTGACCCCGAGATCTACAAGTACGACAGCATTGGTGTGATTGGTCTCGACTTGTGGCAGGTATAAAGCATTGTCTAAAATGCAGGAATTTTATTTTAGTTATTGCTGATTCTATTGATCTATTTTATTCTGTTGATAAAACAATGTATAGGACTGAAGCAACTTGCTAATGTAAACACGGGTTGTGGGCAATGCATTCAAAAAATGATTGTGCATTTAGTTTAATATAATTTCAATAATTTGGAATTATGTTTTTCAGGTTAAGTCTGGGACCATTTTTGATAACTTTCTCATTACCAACGATGCAAAAGTGGCAGAGGAGGTGGGAAATGAAACATGGGATAAAACAAGGGTAAGCAATGTCTTTCACTGTTCATTGTTTATTGATACCTTTTTTATAATGCGATGGCATGTTTGTCCGTGTTCCTTGTAAAACCAGAATCTGTCTTAAGTTCTATTATTCAAATCCCAAAAGGACTTGGGAAGTAAGGAGCAATATATCACAACATGCACAATGAGCCCCAGTCACAACATTCCGTCAACTAGTTTATTTAGGCGGGAAGCTAGTGTTGATAAAACCCAGATTTATTAACTTTGAGGAGAGCTTATTATCTTTGCACAGCATATCTGTGAGAAGACCCTGCCTCAGATCACACCTCTGTTTCACCATCAATGAGTGACCACAACGAAGCTACTAACACGGGAAGGACAGCGGGGACTACATTGCGGGGTTGTGTCCATGTACGTGCCTGCGTCAGTGTATTGCAGTCAGACAGGTCAGGCATGTGTCCAGCATCAGTTTGATAAATCCCGACTTTAATCCTGTCAAAGCAGTTTTTGTATGTAGACAAGCTCAGTAAAAAAGCCCCCTGGACCTGTTCTGACATTTACTCCTCTGCATTCTATCTGTGCGTCACTGAATCAAGTATTTTGTCTATTGTTGAAATAGTTTGAAAACACTGGTTATCACACAATCATACTTATGTGAACAACAACAGGTGCACTAATCTCACTGTCTACACATTTCCCATACGCATAAATCACCTATTGTACTTAAATCCTAGGACGCAGAGAAGAAAATGAAAGACAAACAGGAAGAGGAAGAGCGGCAGACTCGTGAAGAGGAGGACAAGAAGAAGCGCGAGGAGGGAAAGGAGGAGGCAGAGGAAGAGGAGGAAAAAGAAGAGGAGGAGGAAGAGGAAGAGAGAGAGGAGGATGAAGAGGATGATGAGGAGGAGGATGAGGACGGCACAGACTCTCCACTCAAAGACGAATTATAAACTGTAGCAGCTGCATCACGGATTACCCGAACTGCCCAAGACGCTGAGCCATTCTACAGGTGCAGGTGGGGGACACTGCGAAGGACCCTTGCGATTGGTGGAGGATTTTGTTTACAATGCCAGAGCATAGTTGAAAAGGGCAATTATTGTTATATTTTATTTGAATAATTAATTGAAAGGCTGAACATTTTATATCCATCTGATTTTTTTGTTTTAGTGTAATGAAGAACTATTTGTAAAATGCACATATTTGTTTGTTTTGTAACTTTTATTTTAATACCTCATGTGTTTTCTATTTGCATTACAATTTCAAATGTCCTGAAATGTTTTTGTTTTTAAATTAAACTTGGCGACACTGTTGTTGATCCCTACTGTTTATGCTGTTTTCTCTGTGATTATGTGGTACGTTGTTACTGAGGGTACATTTATTTAATGGCTTGTTAATTAGCACTACTTTACGTAAACTTTGAAGTGTCCACAATTTAGAATTTAAACTAAGATGCTGGTTCAGTGGAGCAGAATATTTCCATCAATTGTTCAATTACTCTTACACAGTTGGCGCTTGCTTATCACATTCTTTGTAAATTCACATTTTCTACCAAGGATAGTAAATTAAATGGGGTGATTTGACTGCTGTGTACTAAAACGCTCAATAAAAATTACCAGACATTTTATTTTGAACATGTTTGTGTGTCTTTTATAGTTTTAAACATTAAAATGCTTATTTCTATTGCTGATCTTTCCAAAATAATATTATTAGGCCTACCTGTGGTGTGTTGCTATTAAAAATGTGACAGCCTGGTATAGTGTATGAGGTGTTATTTGGAAGTGGCACGTTTGGCTTGGCCTGTAGTGGTCCTTTTTAGTAGTGTAATTTGGTTATGTATGGTCTGATCACAGTGGTCTGCCCTGTGATCTGCTCTGAGGTCCAGACTGCAGAGTCCAGTCCAGGTTTTGTCGCGGCCTCTGTGTGCAGCTGCAGCGGAGCCTGGAGCCTGGAGCCGGAGCCAGTGAGAGACAGAAACACTATGGCTGCCGCGCTGTCTCTTACTCAGGTAACACTGTCCTACAACTCTCTCCTCACATAACTGTGCTGTGAGCTCCGGCTGAGAGCGGCTCCAGAGAGTTTGTTTTCGCTGAAAGGTGTGGGCCCAGAGCTCGCAGAACTCCTTTCTCGCTTTCTTTCACCAAAGTGCTTCTGTGACTGGGAAAAGTTTCTGTCTAATCTCCTCAGACTGCGTAAGGGCGTAGCTAGCTAGCATGCTAGCTAACAGCTAGTTTGTGTGGGACATTACCGTATTTTGTGTACACTGTTTAAGAGCAAGTGATCCCTGACTAAATAAGTAACGAGGCTTATTCACTGATGTGGTTTAGTGTCTGTTCATCGTCTTGTGCTGTTGTTTACTGTCTGTAGTGAAAGGGTAATGAGAGATCCCATGTGTGGTGTGTTATGGCTTTGCTGTCATGTCTGCACTGCTCGATCTGTGCCAACATTGTATATGTAGTTTTGGATAGTTCAGGGTATTGAAGGTTTTATGTGCAACATTGCGGCACAATCACCTCTGTTGCTTCTCTGCCTGTTTGACAATGTTTGGTCCCCAACACATTGACCTAAATGCTTCACTGACAGTGGCTCAGAATGACCTTTGAGTTTTGATGCCTGCTGCTTGTGTTTTGCTTGGATTGGTGCAAACTCTTCTTGATGTGAAATTTCTTTAGTCAATTATAAGGGGAAGTGAAATTTCACCGGCAAAGACGTGTGCTTTTAACTTCCTTTGCCATATAGCTGTGGTACATGTACTCGCATACTTTATGTATTTAACTTATGCTTGTGGCATTGAGCTACTAAAGTCACAGACCTGTCTGTTACCTGAGCCACTGTAGCCTGTAACAACAGAGCTGTCTACCAACATCACAAACTCCCAAGAGCTGGAAACTCCGAAATGCATGAATCCATGTGAATACTGCTATACTATATATAACTATATATATATATATATATATATATATATATATATATATACTGCTATACTGAGCCTTACACTTTCACAGTACAATGATCTGGCATGAACCGCTGAGTATCCTAGTCACAATAGTCCACACTGTGAGCACTGCTGCACATGCAGTGATCTCACTGTAAATGGACAGAGCTGGTTGTTAGCTCATTTGTGTTTGCATTATAATTGGCTCTAGAGCTGCCTCTGTAAATCTGTGTCTGTAATATGGTCAGTCAACAGGAAATGCTCATTGATTACGAGTTAGTCATCATGACTGTCCTCGGGATGTGCAATTATTGTTATTCTAATGTGAATAATCAGGTCCACATAGGGCTGGGCAATAAATCAAATGTTGGCAATTAATTGGCTTTTGAAAAAATCAAATTCGTGAAAAATGTGAAAATCGTGAAATCAAATGAGGGATATTGTGAGAGTTCCAGCAGCACATCAATTATACTTGCGATATTAGCACAGTCTGTACAAGACTTTTATAATATGTATTGGGGGAAACAAATAAAAAATAGTTTTGAAACTTAAATATTGAGCGGTAAGATAAAAAATATTTTAAGGGCAAAGTCTGTCTTGAGTGACTTTTATGAAAATCTTATTTAAAATTGACATCGTCCAAAGCGATGGGCGGCATGGTGGCTGAGTGGATAGCACTCTCGCCTCTCAGCAAGAAGGTCCTGGGTTCAAATCCCGGTCGGACCAGGGCCTTTCTGAGTGGAGTTTGCACGTTCTCCCCGTGTCTGTGTAGGTTTCCTCCGGGCACTCCGGTTTCCCCTACCACTAAAAATATGTCCAATAGTTCTGGCATGCGCCTTCTGTACTGGCCCCGCTCCCATCTCTGTGTGGAGTGAGAGACAAATACCCAAACATTAACAATTGTAAACCGCTTTGAGGCTCAGATCTGCAGTGAAAAGGCGGTATATAAATAAAGATACCTTCCTCCCGCTGATGACTGCTGTCGTTGTGTCCTTGGGCAAGACACTTAACCCCACTTTGCCCAAAGCCCCCACTGAAAGATCAAGGCTATGCTCACACTCAGAGAGCAGCCGTCCTCCTGTGGACTCACCACCTGCAGAGGATCAGTGGGGGGCTGGTGCTATGAGACTTGGGGGGCATCTCTGACTGCCACCCCCCTGACCCAGAAATGGATTAAAGGGTAGAAAATGGATGGATGGATGGATGGATGGATGGATACCTTCCTTCCTTCCTTCCAAAGCAGGAAATAAAATCGAGATTTTACTTTTTTGCCATATCGCCCAGCCCTAGTTCCACACATGTATTTTCATACACAATAGTCGTTGTGATTATGATTTCTGCCAAATGCTGATAGTTTTAAGTACAATAGTTACACGGAGGGAGCTCATTTATCATCATGCACCGAGTGGTCAGATCCACCGGCTCTGTTGTTTTATCCTGATGAGTGCTGCTGTGTCCTTAAGCAAAACACTTGACTCACCTGTGTCTGTGCACACTTCTGACACACTTGTAACAATGTGTGGAGGCGAACGGGAGACTAGTTCCTTGATGTGAAGCACTTTGAATGCTTTGATTAATAGAAAAGTGCAACGTCAATGTGGCTATAATCATTTTGGAAAATCACCTTGTGTTGTTGCTAATTTTTCATCAATTCATTGTTTTTTTCCCCCCAGCTCTCCAGTGGAAATCCCATATATGATAAATATTACAGACAGGTATGTGTCCTTTTCTTTTTGTAAGGAGTTCTACTTCCATGTCCTAAAGCCAGTCCATCCATAAATTGATTATGAAATCCTTTATATTTGTCATTCAGACTCTGTGGTTCAGACCTCATAGACCACTGCACTGGTGTTTCCTGAAATAAGAGTTGTTTATTTCCTATGATGGCTCTAAACATTCCCCCAAACACCAATTTACAGTAACATTTTCACCCCCCGCAATGTAACTTCATAAAACTAATAGGGATTGGACAATATCTAGCAAGACTAACTTGAAATATGATCTTTATTTATTTGTTGTATTTTCATTTAGCTTGGACAAAAAATTAGTTGAATGAATGGTCGACGAGGAAGATGACTTAACGAAACATCCAACTCAACCCATTTTCATCTCATATGGTGGAAATTATGTCTCTTCCCACCCATAGTGGTTAATGGACTAATAATATCTCACCGACAATGCGATCTTTATTCATTCAGCACAAAATAATCCTCATAATTAAATTATAGTAAAGGATTGAAAAAATTCTCCGGATGAAGATGAAAACAGTACCATTCACATAATGGTTGATTAAGTTTTATTACTGTAGATGCTACTGAATAATTGAAGTACCGGTAAAAGCACAGACCTGGTATTTACATGTAATTTGTATGCAGGTTGATCCAACAAACAGCGGACGAGTCGGAGCTCCTGATGCGGCTCTTTTCCTGAAGAGGTCAGGCTTAGCAGATCTTGTTCTGGGAAAGGTAAGCTAAAAACTGATCCCTATGTTTATGTCTCTCTTTCTTACACTGTGTTTGTTGTCCTAGATTTGGGATCTGGCAGATTCTGAACGCAAGGGTTCTCTCAACAAACAGGTATCTCTAAATTACAGGCTCAAACACAAAAGCACCAACACATTGCACTTTGTAACGATGTATTTTCTTTCGCTTGCCCCAGCAATTCTTTGTAGCTTTGCGCTTAGTAGCTTGTGCTCAGAATGGCCTGGAGGTGGCACTCAAGAGCCTTAATGGGGCTGTTCCTCTCCCCAAATTTGTAAGTTTCTTCATACTATTTTAATTATTTTGACCTTGAGGATGTATGGTATGGTCTTATTTTTACAGGGACAGTGTACAATAAACATTAGCCAAAAGGAGAGATGCACTGCACCAGGTTGTAACAGCAGTGCTAATTTACCCCTGTAGTCCCTGAGACTCCTGTAGTCCCTGAGACTCCTGTAGTCCCTGAGACTCCTGTAGTCCCTGAGACTCCTGTAGTCCCTGAGACTCCTGTAGTCCCTGAGACTCCTGTAGTCCCTGAGACTCCTGTAGTCCCTGAGACGCCTGTAGTCCCTGAGACGCCTGTAGTCCCTGAGACGCCTGTAGTCCCTGAGACGCCTGTAGTCCCTGAGACGCCTGTAGTCCCTGAGACGCCTGTAGTCCCTGAGACGCCTGTAGTCCCTGAGACGCCTGTAGTCCCTGAGACGCCTGTAGTCCCTGAGACGCCTGTAGTCCCTGAGACCGCCTGTAGTCCCTGAGACCGCCTGTAGTCCCTGAGACCGCCTGTAGTCCCTGAGACGCCTGTAGTCCCTGAGACGCCTGTAGTCCCTGAGACGCCTGTAGTCCCTGAGACGCCTGTAGTCCCTGAGACGCCTGTAGTCCCTGAGACGCCTGTAGTCCCTGAGACGCCTGTAGTCCCTGAGACGCCTGTAGTCCCTGAGACGCCTGTAGTCCCTGAGACGCCTGTAGTCCCTGAGACGCCTGTAGTCCCTGAGACGCCTGTAGTCCCTGAGACTCCTGTAGTCCCTGAGACTCCTGTAGTCCCTGAGACTCCTGTAGTCCCTGAGACTCCTGTAGTCCCTGAGACTCCTGTAGTCCCTGAGACTCCTGTAGTCCCTGAGACTCCTGTAGTCCCTGAGACTCCTGTAGTCCCTGAGACTCCTGTAGTCCCTGAGACTCCTGTAGTCCCTGAGACTCCTGTAGTCCCTGAGACTCCTGTAGTCCCTGAGACTCCTGTAGTCCCTGAGACTCCTGTAGTCCCTGAGACTCCTGTAGTCCCTGAGACTCCTGTAGTCCCTGAGACTCCTGTAGTCCCTGAGACTCCTGTAGTCCCTGAGACTCCTGTAGTCCCTGAGACTCCTGTAGTCCCTGAGACTCCTGTAGTCCCTGAGACGCCTGTAGTCCCTGAGACGCCTGTAGTCCCTGAGACGCCTGTAGTCCCTGAGACTCCTGTAGTCCCTGAGACACCTGTAGTCCCTGAGACACCTGTAGTCCCTGAGACACCTGTAGTCCCTGAGACACCTGTAGTCCCTGAGACACTTGTAGTCCCTGAGACACCTGTAGTCCCTGAGGTTGAGACAAAGTTATGAAATGTGTTGGATTTCTGCAGAGTGGACAAGTTGCAACCTAATGCCTAGCGTACATCGACAGAGAAACTGGAGACAACTATTTGCAAGGCGGCTTTTGGCACCAGAGAGGAGATGATGGGAGATGATCAGTTGCCGAAATTGGTCGATGTGCGCGCTCTTACAACTGGAGATGAACAGTCGGTCTCCAGTTTCAGTCAGTTGCCCGTGTTCTACTTTTCGGCAACTAGTTGTCCTCAGTTTCGGAGATATGACCCGATGTGCGCGGTCCATGCGCCGCTCCGCTAACGTGTGTGTATTGCGTGTATTGCGAGCCCGCAACAGTTTGTCAGAAAACACACTGTAGGTGACGGCCAGTTGCTGTCGATGTACGCGCTGTTATTCCCGAGACTGGTCTGATACAGGAGTTGCCCGTTTTTGTCAGATTGTTGATGTGTGCGGGGCAGCAACTCGTATGCGACGGATATAATCAGTTGCCAGTCTGATGTACGCTAGGCATAACGCTCTCTGACTCAATGCAAAGTCCTTTATTGGACAATGCAAATAAGCTAATACTGATTTGATCATAGTGATTATGGCACTTAAGTGTGATTTGTTTTTATAATGTATAGTACTTATATGCTTATATGCTAAAAGTTTTCATTTTAGAGTATGACTGAAATCATTTTTTTTTATGTTTAGCACGACACAAGCAGCCCACTGTTACCAGGCGGGGTGCCATGTGATTATCCCTGGGTAGTAAAGGTAAGCCCCAGAAGTCCCTGAGGAATAACATAAAAAAATATTGATGATTTTTCTTTTTTTTATGATAATTTTAATGATAAAATGTATATTGTATACAGGGTGCATACAGTTATACAAAGTTCACATACATTTCCAGGAGCTGGAAAAGTTTTGAAATCTTACTAAATCTATATTCCAAATTTAAAAAGTAATTTGTTAATAAGACATGGCTCAATATATAGAAGTTTGGGACAGCACATTTGTGTATGTTTATATCCTGACAGATGACATGCCCCTGCCTGTTCTGATGTTGCTAAGAGCATGCAAAGGTTAGCACAAGCTATAACAAATGTAAGACATGTTTTTGTGTTTGCTTTTGGCAGACTGAGGAGAAGATGAAGTTTGACGCTATTTTTGAAAGCCTCGGCCCTGTAGGAGGGATGCTTACAGGAGATAAAGTGAAGCCTGTACTTCTGAACTCCAAACTGCCTGTAGACATCCTGGGAAGGGTAAGTCTGCGCAACACAAGATTTCAATTCATAGGAGGGTGGTGAACCCAGGCCTTGCGAGCCTACCAGAATTATTTATTTCTATGTGAAAGAAATGAAAAATCAATCATCAAGATCAACATGGCCTTTGGGCCTGAAGGTCGTGGGTTCAAGCCCACCATAAGACCTACTTCACGACTCCCACTGATGTCTGCTGTCGTTGTGTCCTTGGGCAAGACACTTAACCCTACTTTGCCCAAAGCCCCAACTGAAAGATCTCAGCTCCTGTGGACTCACCACCTGCAGGAGGATCAGTGAGAGGCTGGTGCTAAGTGTACTGGGTGCAGCTCTGACTGGAACCCCCCCCGACCCGGAAATGGATTAAGGGGAAGGAAACGGATGGATGGAAGATCAACATGGGGGTTATCATATTTTCCCCATATTGCCCTAATAGAAATCCAAAGGATGTAGTCTGACCTCTTGAGCTCAGGGTGTCACAGGGTCAACGGACGACCGCTAAAGATTCTGGCCCTTACACTCTGACCACTTTAAGCTACCCCTGACTTAGAACTTTGATTGATGTCCTTTCATTTTTACTGTTTGCCAGGTTTGGGAGCTTAGTGACATTGACAGAGATGGCATGTTGGACAGAGATGAATTTTCAGTGGTAAGTTTACCATATTTTAAAATGGTAGAATATCTAGAATGTGTTTGCGTGTTAAGTCTAAATCTATGACCCTCTTTTCCACACTCACATTTGTGGATTTGCGAATCTTTTGAAGTGGACAGTTGGATGCCGGGATGGTAACGTTTACTTTCGTTATGTCCCCTAACAGGCAATGTATCTAGTGTACAGAGCGTTAGAAGGCGAACCAGTTCCAATGTCCCTCCCGCCTCCCCTGGTCCCACCCTCAAAGAGAAAAAAACCCTCGGCCCCTCCTGTGCTGCCTCTGCTGCCATCACCGCCCTCGGCAAAGGACAGAGGCACCTCCCACTCAAAGACCTTGCCCCACCCCTCTAAATCTGTCCCAGTTTCAACTCCTGCCCCGGCTCCTGTCCAGACAACAGCGCCCGTACCAGTGAGTACATCACAGCAGCATTTGGGATTGCTTTGATAAGTTTCAGCTACACTTGAAAATGATGTCAAATTGGTTAGCTCAATGTGTGTTTAAGAAAAACAAGGGGCATGCAAGTGGGAAGGTAGGTTCTTTGATGGGATGCCATGTTTGATAAAGTAACTAATCTAAACTGGTCTTCTTTCAGTGGGTGGTGTCTCCAGTCGACAAAGCTAAGTATGATGAACTGTTTGCCAAGACGGACTCCGATATGGATGGACTTGTGTCTGGACCAGAAGTCAGAGACATATTTTTAAAAACGGGGCTGCCCTCGGCCACATTGGCGCGAATTTGGTACGGTTTACTTTTCAATTTATGATATAACACATAATATTATGAAAACCATGAGATTGTTTTTTTAATTTTCCTGTTTTCATCCTATGAACATTTTTTCTTTACCAGAGGTTTAAGTACTGCTCAGTGTGCTGCACAGCAATCAAACAGTAATCAAGCAGAATTGACTTCTGGCCAATGGTTGCTCTTCAATAACGATTGAGCCCTATGCCCAGTGAAGTCAACAATAGTGACTGCCTGAGGTGAAAATCTTTACTTTTATGTAAAGCTCATAACTGTCTGTCTGACTCTCAGGGAACTGTGCGACATTGGAGACGTTGGAAAACTCACCCGAGAACAGTTTGCTTTGGCTATCCATCTAATCAACCAGAAGCTGACAAAAGGACTAGAGCCTCCCCAGAGCCTGACTCCAGAGATGATCCCTCCCTCGGATAGGCTGAACATAAAACAGGTATTAGAATAATGTTTTACTCTAAACATCATTAACTACTGTAACAAACTAGCCGTTCGTTACCTAACCCACACGCACTTTATGCACACTGCACTTTTGAACATGGCTAGATTGCACATATAAAGACATTGCACATATATTCATTTAAGAATGTTTATTGAGAGGGCTGTGGTTGTCCGTGGGTCCGGTGTGGTGCGTTCCGGGTTGGGTGCCGGTCCTGCGGAGGCAACATGTAATTAGAATTGGGCATAGTGCAATATGTGTAGCTTAAGAAGTGGTAATGTTTTAGTGTTTCGTGCATGCGGTGAATGGTCGGGTGTCTGGGTGTAGTTGAGTGGTTTGGATTGGGATTGTGTATAGTGGGGTTTTTCTATGTCTTTGTATTTTGGTTGGGGTTTATATTAGAGGGTTGTAGAGGTTGTGAGAGCAAATGTGACATGTGGACACCTGCTTATCTTGAGTGGTTTTATCCAATTTAGAGGTAGGGTATTTAAAGAGTCTCATGCTCTCACTCTGGGTTGGGCTGCTGGATGAGCTACACTGATTGAGTCCTCCCATGCACTTTAATGCATTTGCACTTTATTATGGTGAACTTTGCATTTTTGCACACAAAAAAATAAAATAAAATAAATAAAAATAAAATAATAAAATAAAAGAAAATAAATTTGAAAAGTGGACCCTCAAGACTGCCTCCCTGGTGTTTGTGTGCCCACCGCCGCCCGCTCGTGCCTCCCTGTTACAACTACATTGAAATGTTGACACCACAAATTCATCTTTAATATACAATAATGTGCTTTTATTTCAGAATAATTTGGCCGCTGATTTCACTGCTATCAAGGAGCTTGATTCCCTCAGTAATGAGATTGTGGAATTACAAAGGTATGGACTAAGTAACTTTATGATGGAATGCTTATGATGAGTTTATATTTATAGACAAACTGCCTTACATCACTTAAAATGTATGAAAATGCCCTGTCACGTTCTATTGTTCCCCCTCAGAGGAAAAAACATTATTTATATTATAATAACCTATAACTATGTTACTGATATTGATTTCATGCGGGTACCCGTTTCACTATTGGTTCTCATCCTTGAGAGAAACTCAAAAGTGGCTTGTGAGAGATGGTTAGCGTCAAGTTTCTCTGCTTAATACTCCTCATTTGATGGATTCCCAGGGAGAAAGGCACAGTGGAGGAGGAAATCAAGGCGAAAGAGGAGGCTATCAGACAGCGAACGACAGAGGTTCAGGTCCGGTTTCTTTCATCTGAATAGTAATTTAAACCACAATGTCACGTATTATTGTTTATCTCATTGTGTCATGTTGTCAGCTACAATGTTATTTGTGTTTAGCTGAAAAGCTGAGTGCAATAAGAATGTCTACTAGATTTGAACGGTACTAGATTTTGCTTTGGGTGTGCAGGACTTACAAGGGGAGGTTGCTAAGGAGACAGAGGAGCTGTCACAACTTCAAACTCAGCGACAGAAGGTCCAGGATGCACTGGAGGAGCTGGACCAGCAGAAGTCCACTCTGGAAGATCAGTTGTCTCTCATTCGACAGCAAACAAACCAGGAGCACCAACATGTATTTATTATTTTTTGCGTCACTTATCCCTTCAGTCTGTTATCTACTGGCCGCATTTAAATTAATGTTTTCTAGATCACGTCACTGCAGTCTGAGCATGAGGAGCAGGAACATAGAATCAGTCAGTTTGAGGAGGAGCTGGTCCAGGCCAGAGAGGAGCTGCTTGCTCTGCAAGAAGAGAGCCAAAAGCTGCAGGAGAAAGTGCAGTCTGCTAAAGAGCAGCTCACGCCTCTGCAGGAGTCGGTGAGAGACTCCTTCACACAAGTTGGACAGGTCAGTTTGTCTGACTACTAAAATGTGTTGTCGTGCAAAACTGTAAAAATCTCACTTGATGTCTTAATTAAGGTTCAGCAGAAACTGAATGACCTTCAGATCGAGGAGCGGTCAGTCACGGCTCAACTCAGTTGGAAGAGAGCTCTTGAAGACGGCTCTCCAGTGCCTGTGTTGGTGAATGGAGCGGGTTCCACCGCAGATATGCACTTAGCAGATCCTTTTCAACAGGACCTTCTGGAGGAGGATCAGCCCAAGGACCTGAAGGTGGAGCCTCCAGCAGTTCACTTGAATATTCAGACAGAACAAACCAAAGTCAGTGAAGCTGCAGCAGAAGAAGAATGGAAAGAGGAGTCGAGTCCAGATGAAGAAAAAAGTAAACCAGATGCCCTAGATGATCTCTACACTAGTTTAGCCTCGTCAGATTTATACAATAATTTTGCAAGCCTTTCAAAACCATGGGACACTGAAAAGGTACTGCTGTATTATCCAAAAAATATTGTTTGACTCTTGAACTATGAGATATCACAAAATGTCTTTGTGATATTTTAACTTTTCAGGAACAAATAAGTTCTACGCCTGACGTTTCGCTTGAAGTTGTAGAAGATGAGGATTTGCCCAAAGCCATTTCACCAACAATAACAACAAATGTGCTTGTCATAATTTTATATGTTACATTGAACTTGTACTTTGATTATATTGGATCACATTCTGTGTTTTACCTCAGATTGAGTCCATTGAGGCAGAGATGAAAGAAGATTCAGATCTTCCAGAGGCTGAACCATCTGAGCCTTCACCTTCTACCACGGCCCCCCCGCCACAAACCAACCCCCCTCCTTTGCCTGTGATGGACTTCTTTGGATCAGACCCGTTTACTGACCGTACGTTCAATTTACATTTCCCACATTATTCCACATTCAAATTATCTTCTTTTTTTTGTAGAGGATCCTTTCAAAGATCCATTTGGAAAAGCAGATGTGGCAGGTAATTTGTCCTTAATTATATGTTGAAACCATAAGATCACTCTGGTAAAAACCATAAGATCACTCAGGTAAAAACCATATGTTCCATAGTTTTAGATTTTATACCAACATTCTTTTTCGGCTCAGTTCCACAATACTGGGAGATGTTATGATTAACATACTTGCTCCAAAGTCTTGTTTTCACACAGACAAAAAATAAATGGTTTCTTTTTACACGTAGTGTTTAAACTTTGGGTTTCCATTGTAACTACTTGTAGTTGCCAATACCATCGTCAAGCAAGATATATATATATATATATATATTTTTTTTTTGTCTAATAACATGAAGAATTCTCCTAGTTAAATTGAGTCGTAAGCGGGCGACAGTAGCTCAGTTGGTAGAGCATTGGCCTTAAGCCCAGAAGGTTGTGGGTTCAATTCCCACCTCTGCACCTTCTCCACCGACTCCCACTGATGACTGCTGTTGTTGTGTCCTTGGGCAAGACACTTAACCCCACTTTGCCCAAAGCCCCCACTGAAAGATCAAGGCTATGCTCACACTCAGAGACGCAGCCGTCCTCCTGTGGACTCACCACCTGCAGAGGGTCAGTGAGGGGCTGGTGCTATGAGACTTGGGTGGCATCTCTGACTGCCACCCCCCTGACCCAGAAATGGATTAAAGGGTAGAAAATGGATGGATGGATGAAATTGAGTAGTAAATGGTTCTGAGGCTGTGGGGCTTTCAATCAAACCGCCAACATGTGCATCAGCCTCTTCTAGATTTTTATTTGTTTTCCCGGATCTGACTTTGGTTTCTTTGCTTCTTGTGACAGTTCATCAGCTTTAGGTATTCTTTGTGACCCCCCCCCCCCCCTCCCTACAATTGAAAGATTGCTATTGAATAGAGTTCATCTCTATTCAGAATGCTAAACGTATCAAACTAGCCTTCACTGTGTTGATAAATTGTGTACAATTACCTTTATAATATAAACTAGGGACGAGTATCGGCTATACTGATGCCTTTTGGTATTTTTAATTCATTTTCATTTCTTCTTCATTTCATTTTATTTATTCTTTTTTCATGGTAATGCAACATACTATACAATTGGAACAAATCAACAAACACAACAATAATACATTCCATGAAAAGAAGAACAGGAGTAGGATGAAGAAAAAAAAATCTTATAAGCTCCTACCCCATTCTTTTAAAAAAAACATTACAAATTAGATGGCCACACCGATGCCAAAAGATAACAATAGCCCAGACCAGATGTAATCAACTTTCAATTTTAACAAGTTTCTTTCTTTTTTTCCCGATTATTATTAATAATTTTGCTAAAACAGCAGTGATGCAATGGTGACAACAGCGGCGACGGGAACAGCGACGAGTCCATCAAACCACACAACGCACACCCACATGCACATACAGGCAGGCATGCACGGACACACACAGGCACACCCACAGCACACACACAAAAGGATGGAGAGGATCTATTGACGTATTTGTGATGAGCCCTATGCTGTGTGTTGCATTAAAAAAACAAGGTTTGAGTGGGCAGCTGTCGAAAGATGTTTGACCTCCCACAGCTGCCCGGCACCTGCTTGCCCTACATTAGTGATTGACAGAGTTGTGCCCTAAGATAGGTGTTGTGTTTAAAAAGACAGGAGTTAGCGGAAGTCCAGAGGTGCTACACCCCTGACATTCCCTCCATTCCTGCTCACCCTGTACTGAAGAGGATGTGTATATGTACTCGTGATGAGCCCTATGCTTTATGGTGTATTTAAAAAAGCGAGGTTTGTGTGGGCAGCTGTTGAGAGACGTATGACCTCCCACAGCTGCTCAACACCCGCTTACCCTGCACTGAAAATTTGTTCCTCTTTTGTTTTTGTTTTTTTTTGTTTTTTTATTTTTTTTGCGTACTGTAAGCATACCTGTATACACCCATACAGACACACCCACACGAACACATAGGTACGCGCCACACAACCAGACAGTCCCGCCATCGCCCCCATCACCACCGCCACACCACTACATCACCACCATCGTTATCAGCACTGTTGTTGTAAATTTAACAATTTTCACATTCATCTTTGTACAAGTTAAGAATGTTCTGTTTATACTTATATTTAAATTGAAGAATATTTGAACAACATTTTAGATCTTTTTCTAGAGAGTTCCATTGTTTCACACCAGATACTGAGACACACATTTGTTTAAGGGCATTTCCTGCAAAAGGTTGTTTAAAGTCAGTATTTCTTCTACTTGTCTCACTATTTACAGTAAAAAGGGTTTGAAGTCCATGCGGTAACAGGCAGTGTTTTGCTTTATAAACAACTAATAAAGTTTGTAAAGAAACCAAGTCCTTCAATTTGAGTAGTCCTGACCTCAGAAACAGACCTGTAGTATGTTCTCTTGGAGCAACTCCATTAATTATTCTTATAGCCCTTTTTTGCAAAAGAAATAAGGGCATTAAATTAGTAATATAAGAATTACCCCATACCTCCAAACAATACATTAAATATGGCAAAATAAAGGAACAATATAAGATTCGCATTGCCTTGTAATTCAACATAAACTTTACTTTACTCAAAACAGCAATATTTTTACAAATTTTATTTCTTACGTAAGCTATGTGTGACTTCCACTTAAATTTATCATCAATGAGTACTCCTAAAAACCTGAATTCTGACACTCTCTCAATAGTTATTCCATTTAAAGTCAAATTAACACTTTCAAGGCATTTTTGATTTGTAAACAACATACATTTTGTTTTGTTTAAGTTTAACGACAATTTATTTTTATTAAACCATTTCTGAAGTTGGACCATTTCTTGTTCAATAGTTTTTATTAATGTTCCTAAATTCTTCCCCGATACAAAAAAATTGGTATCGTCCGCAAAAAGAACAAAACGTAAAATCTTTGATTCATCACAGAGGTCATTAATATATAAAATAAAAAGTTTAGGTCCCAGCACAGAGCCTTGAGGGACTCCACACTGTATTGTTTCTAAGTTAGATTCATGGCCTATATACTCTACATATTGTTGTCTATTTTCTAAGTAACTACTAATCCAGTTTAATACTACACCTCTAATTCCATATGTCTGTAATTTAGATATCAATATACCGTGATCAAGCGTGTCAAAGGCCTTTTTAAGGTCAATAAAAACTCCAACTGTGTGATTTTTATTCTCCAATTCTGTAGTAATGTTCTCTGTGATTTTCATCAAAGCCATAGCTGTTGAGCGGGTGCTTCGAAACCCAAACTGATTATCATGTATCAAGGAATGTTTTTCAAGAAAAGAATCCAATTTTTTAACAAAAAGTTTCTCCAGAATTTTGGAAAATTGAGAAAGCAAAGATATAGGCCTATAATTTGTGAGGCTATGCTTATCACCCGATTTAAAAAGGGGAACAATCTTAGCCACCTTCATTTTATCTGGAAAGAAACCTGTATTAAAAGACACATTGATTATATATTGTAATGGTCTAATAATACAATAATAATTGGCTAAAGATTACCGATATATTTTTATTTTGTAACAATCCAATGTCTATTTAATCAAATCTGTTGATTTAGTCAGCTACTGTATGTCCATAATTGTTTCCTTAAAGGTCTTGTGGCTTTTTTTTCCTGACAATTCCTGACCCTGAGACGAATAAAGGATCTCCTAATCTTATTCACAATATATTTTTTCTTTTTTATGTAGATCCGTTTGGAGGAGACCCGTTTAAAGGCTCCGATCCTTTTGCTGCTGACTCTTTTTTCGCCCAGTCTTCAAGTGCCCCGTTTTCCTCAGAAGACCCTTTCTCAGGATCAGCTGACCCTTTTACTTCTAATACTGATGCCCCAGAACCGGACCTATTTGCTTCAAAGAAAAGTGACTTGCCAGTTTCCACTCCAGTGAGTTCTGACCCGTTCAGCAACAAACCAGCAAATGCAGTAGTGACGCCGGCTGATCTATTTAGCTCAACTGAAAACCATGAGCCTGAGTCCAACCTGTTTGGAGGAAACGTAAACTCCTTTTCTGAAGCTGATCCTTTTGGCTCTCAGGATGGAAAGTCTGACCCCTTCAGCTGTTCTTCACCTACATCTGTTTTGGCTGTGGTAAGTACGTGTTTACGTCATGAAATAACCTTATTAGGCTTAAGTCTAGTGCAGTATTTTCACTTATTATATATGTATGTTTTCAGAAGGATACTGTTCCAGCTAATGACCCCTTTGCTCCGGGTGGTACTTCAGTAAACACCTGTTCAGATCCAGGTATGATTTGTTATTATCATTCCGCATAGATTTCTTAGTTATCTTGCAATTGGTGTTTTTGTCTTCAGATCCCTTTGCAGCTGTATTTGGTAATGAATCATTCGGAGGTGGTTTTGCAGACTTTAGTGCCTTAGCCAAGGTATTCTTTGAAAATATGCTGCACTGTTTTAAGAAGGGTTAGGGTTAACTCTAAATGAAACCCTAACCCTTGTGACTGTCATTTTATTTACATAGCACTGTAATGTTCCCTTTAGTCAAATGGTGACGACTTTGGCATCAACAATAAGAATATATTCCAAGAGGACAGCACAGATGTGCCCCCAGCTCTTCCTCCTAAAACAGGCACACCAACTAGACCCCCGCCTCCGCCTCCAGGTCAGTAAAGAGTAGGGGCTCTTCCATTAGGGGCTGGTTGGTTGCTTCTGGCCAGGTCAGTATGGGTCTGTCAGGAGGGGCACCAGCGAGCGTTACTCTTTGCTCTTGTCTTTTTCAAATTAAGTATAATGCATTTTATCAGAAGAAATAACATATTTGCTCCTGTAACCTCACATTAGATCTTGATAGATTTCATAGATCTTCTCATGAAAGAGCAAAAATTATCCACTTTCAAAGTACCAATCCACTTTCCTCCACTGGATAATGTGTGAGAACTTGAAATGATTCAATAGTTTCTTGAACCCCTGGAAGAATAGTTTTTACAATTGCGTATGCTCTGCATTTTTGAGTCATTTAAAATATAGATACAGTACAGACCAAAGGTTTGGACACACTTTCTCATTCCCTTTCTTTTCATGACTATTGACTGTAGATTCACACCAGGCTGTGTAAGGGCTGTTTGACCAATAAGGAGAGTGATGGGTGCTGGGCCAGATGACCTGGCCTCCACAGTCACCGGACCTGAACCCAATCCAGATGGTTTTGGACCTGAACCCAATCCAGATGGTTTTTGGGTGAGCTGGACCACAGAGTGAAGGCGAAAGGGCCAACAAGTGCAAAGTATCATGGGAACTCCTTCAAGACCATTTCAGGTCACTACCTCCTGAAGCTCATGAAGAGAATGCAAAGAATGTATGAAGCAGTAATCAGAGCAAAAGGTGCTACTTTGAGGAACCCAGAATAAGACATATTTTCACATGAGTTAATTCATAGTTTTGAGGCCTTCATTGCGAATTTACAATTTGCATAATCATGAAAATAAAAACCTCTTTGAATGAGAAGGTGTGTCCAAACTTTTGGTCTGTACTGTATATTCACAGTACATACATGTGTATACTGGTACTGTATATATGTAATGACTGTTGGGTCTTGTCCCTGAAGTGACCTGACGTACCTGACGTACCTGACGATACGATACGATACAAAGCTCATAACGATAATATCACGATATGACGATTATCGATATATTGGTCAGAAATATACCATATGAAAATTTATGGCATAAATAAAAGAAAAATGTTAAGTGAAAAAATACACTTTATTTTATCATAAATGGAATGGAGATGTGTAATGTAGCCATATACTAAGTATTGATACCAATTTTTAAAAATAATATTTTTTTCAAAATTGATATCGATACTTGGCAAATGCATATCGATAATCGAATCGCGGGAGAAAGTATCGCGCCCCTACCTCCCACACCTCTCCTTTCTAACTAAGGGGAGATAGCGAACCATAGATAGAGTTCCTGTTTATCTTTGAATGGTGATTGGCATAATGGGTCTTTGTAATGTACTTTAATGTCACATCCTGCCTTTGCTCAGGTAAGAGATCCTCCATCTCCAGAACTGAGTCTTCAGACTCTTTCCATCGACGAGGGAACTTCCTTCCGCAGTCTTCAAGTGACTTCTCCTCCTCCTCCTCCTCCTCTTCCCTGCCTGCAAAGGACCCTATAGCTGACCCCTTCGCCCCTTCCTCCCCCCCTCGTCACAACGTTCGAGAAGCTGACCGATTTGCCAGCTTTGACAAAGTGAGCACCTCCCAATCCTCTACTTCCTCCGCATCACTCGACTCAGAGTAACTATGCTCTCTCCTCTATCCTGCTTAGAACTTTTAAACTTAGACTCGACATATCCATTAGTTGAGCATGCCCTTTCCTTCATTCCGCCTTTTTTTTGGAGCAGCTCATAAAATATGATGTGTTAAGTATGAGATATAATATAACCATAGGGGGAAAATGGATGAAAATCTGCTTGTATTTTGGTAACCGATTGTCACAAAAATGTATTTTTACAGTTAGGTTCAAATACTGCGTTTTTTTCTTCATGTCTTTTTACAACTTATGCAACATGTGAAAAAAAAAAACTAAATTTTGGAACAAACAAGTAGTAACAAGTCTGAATATTATTTCTCCTGCATGTGCATGTCTTTGTTTTGTTGTAGCTGCTCCTCTTTACCACATGCAGAACTATGTTCTGTCTTGTGGATTATTATTTTCCCATATGAAACTTCTGTAACCCTATCTAATATTTATATGTCTGCCATTCCGTCCATCATCATCATCATCATCGCCATCAGTCTCACCCCCTTGTCTGGCCATGTCTGTTATTGAGAAAGCTGTACCTTCTCTTATCTCTACTTTTCTGTCAAGTCTCAATAAAGAGTTAAAGCAAGGGCTCTTTCTCCAGCTTCTATATTTATGCTTTTGAAAAAGCAGATTTTAAGTTTGTGTGTGTGTTCCCTTTGTCATGGCATGTTTTCAGTGTTTAAAACGTTTCATTCACATAGCATTGTGTCGGTGTAGTGATAAATGCATGTTCTGTCCCGCTCATGGTGTTGGTGAATGTGATCATTGTGCATGCGCCTGTGCAGAGGGCTCGCTATTCACACCTGTCAATAAGGTTTTACTGTTTTCAGATTGTTGGACAAGCAAGCTGTTAGTTTCACATGTTGTATTTTTTTATCTAAGACTGGGGTTGACAATGAGCCAACATTGTTTTATCAACAAATAACTACAGAACCTTTTAAACCATGTTAAAAGCTAAACAAGGTTAAGCTTTCCCTCATCAAAAACGGTTCTGGAGTTGTTTTCATATCCATCTACACTGATATCAGGGGCTTCTGCCACAAACATGTAACAGTGCCCCTTCTGTCTAAAAGCTCCTATCTCAGTTTTGTAATAGCATGATGTCACTGTACCAGTAAGATATAATGTTCAGTTTTTAAAGTTGTTGTTCATAAATTAGTTTAGGCAATTTCTCAAGTGGAATTATATTATTTCAATGATCAATAATAATGAACAATATTTCTGCTTTTAATTCCCATTTTAGACATTTGTTTTCTAATCGTTCGTTTTGTGTGTATCCGTAAAACATTTATTCGTATGATCGTATAACTATATGCATTTTCTATTTGTGTTTGTCCGTTTTCTGCCTTACCTTTCATACGCCTCTCTGGATGTGTAAAATCACTGGGCAGTATCCGACCGAGGAGGACATGATCGAGTGGGCAAAGCGCGAGAGCGAAAGGGAGGAAAAGGAGCGTCTCGCAAGGCTAACGCAGCAGGAGCAAGAAGATCTGGAGCTCGCCATCGCGCTCAGCAAGTCTGAACTGTCCTGAGAATTGCCCCCCCCCCCTTTTCCCCACACGGATCTTCAATGTCCCAGGACGGCACGGCACAGCACAGCCCGGCCCTGAGCAGAAAGCACCAAAGCAAAAAGTGGGGACATTATGGACTGATTGAACAGCGGACCCCATGAAGAGACTGTATGGGAACAGATCTATCAACATAGCATCCTCCTTGTTTGTTGTCAAACTGTCCGTCTTCATCGCAGTATTGTTTTTGCTGCTTTTCATCCAGAGGAGCAGGGAGCAGTGGCATGCATGTTAAACATTCTTGAATGGGTTATTGGAAAGCCATGCAGTGAACATGGGTTTGAAGAGGTTAGATTGTCTTCATTATATGGTTCATTATTACTTCTAAATGTATTTATTTAAACCTTTTAAATAGCCTTTATCACAAGCCTTTTTAAGTTTTACACTAATCCTAACGCAACTCTTTATTCAAATATTTGTCCCTATTTCCAGTTTCTGATGTACATTTGACGGCTACACCTAATAGAAGTTAGAAACTTTTTTTTCCCATTTAGTTATAAATAATCTGTACAGATTTAAAATTCTCCAATTAAACGATGTGTGTTAACACATTTCTACAATATTTTGATAAACCGCATGCAATATTTAAAGTTTGATCAACTATAATTCAAAGTATGTAATCATACTCTGCATTAAACAGTTGAATAATTTGCAAGCATTTTTCTAAAGTTGTGTGCATTTTAGAATACTGCAGTTGCTTTTGAATTACTGAATTATAGGGATGGGGATGCAGTCCCTGCATTTGTAGCAGATCTGTGTGTGTTCTGGTTTGGGTGTAATTTTTTCTTATACCCTTTTAATAGTCAATTTTGAGCAAAGTGCACATCACACACTTGGTATAGGTCACTTTAACTGGACTTGAGAAGAAAAAAAACTTCACAGATCAGTTTCAAAAGATTTGTCGAGCGGACACATGCTTTCTTGTTTGGTAGTAATACATCCACAAAGACATTTTGCCCCAAGTGAATAGAGTTGGACCAGTCAAAATGAACCAGAACAAGCGTGAACGTGTCTCTAATTTACATTGCACAAGCAGATGCCCTCCGCATGACTGTAGTTTTTGATGTTCTGTTGTTTCTCTTCATTAGGCCGTTTAAAGGTGCACTATGCAAGTTTCTTTATGGCGCTTGTTTATTTGCTTGACCTGGAATGTTCCACAGTATTGTGTTACTACTACTGTATTTTTGCCATTTTGTAGAACGTTCGGGCCAAAGCAACTACAACACTTCCATGGAGAAACCTTTCAGATGCTCCACCTAAAAACTTCCAATGTTTCATTGAATCTTACTCCTGTGCTACACTGTGATTGAAGGGAATGCCTTTGACAACTTTTTTACATTTTTCTGACAGTTATGCATGCTTGTCCCAGTCTTTTCATGCATGGCCTATGGCCTTTTAACTTTTAGTTCTTGTATAAAATGTCTAAGGATTGTCAATAGATTAAAAAACAGAACCACTTATTTTTATGCTTACCCTTAAAGACTTTTTTAAAATTGTGTTTTATTTTCTATTTTCCTAACATGTAAGAAAAATCATCAAATGAGTTCAGATTATGTATTGCTAAAAGAAAGTAAATAAATAATAAACCAATAGTTAGCAACACGTGTTTTGTTATGTTCATAGCATAAGGCTGAGGGGCGGGCTTTAGGGCCGTGCACATTCCGGGCGTTTAAATGATATATTGTTGTGGAGATGCGGGAAACACACCTTGACGCGCGTCAGTAGAGGAGGGACAAGGTGACGGCTCCTCCATGTCCGCGGCGTAAAGACTCTTTCACACCGGACTTCTGAACCACTTTACCCGAGAATACTGCGGGGGAATGAGTTTTATCAACTGGAGACGCAGCGTGAAGAAAGACGCAAACAAGTAAGTAACTGACTGACTAACGTCAATCATTCTGTAACTTTGTAAGAAACATTAAAGCTGGGATTACCTATAGGTTTGTGTGTCTAATCGCAAATTTGCATATTGTTTGTCATCAAAGAGTTTTGTTAGTGAAAAATTGTCAACAAATATGCACTTAATAGAAAACGTGTTGTCTTTTGCATACGTGTAAAATAGAGCCCTGTCAGTCACATATTGACGCTTTGGGCGGAGTACTGATGGCCTTATTCAGGGCTGTTTTCTCCTATTCTCTTAGATTATATTACAAAATGTGTTGAGCTTTTGAAAGTTGGATACCTCAGCCTTGATATCCTTTTGAATCACACATATAATAAGTTTAATAATAACAACGTTAGATGTAAACAGCCATTGTTGATCAGTCACAGCTATTAGACATCCTGTTCGACTACACTATAGGGTGCATGGGGTCAACAAGTTATTATAATATATTAATTACCTTTCATAATAATCCGTTATAGCCTCCAATAGCTATGCCTTTCTCGGTCCTACAGCAGCTACTCTCACCACTATCAGATCTTAGTTTATGTTTTCCTTAATCAGATCCTAAGAGTATTCAATCTATTTTATCATCTGTCCCATTCTATTTTGAGGATCTAAAATGCACACATATTACTGTCAGCTGCATGTTGAGTTCCAGTTCCACTTTCTCGCCTTCATGGGAGTTGTTTTTGCATTGACATGTCACCCTGATCTCTGAACTTTTATTAGGAATGCCGTAGAAGCTCAAGACAATCCTGTTGGCCCTGACTCTCCAAGGTATAATAGCGTTGTCTTTCTAGCTTTATAAACTACGGACATATAAATCCTTCTATTGATCGATGTATCTTTATGACTTTTGTTCTATTTGACTTTCTGGATTCAGGTTGGCAGTCATAAACACTCCTGATCTGGATCCCATCATCACAGACTTCAGGTTGGCCTATGTTTCTTTGTTTTGTATCTAATTTCGCATACAAGCAATGTCAATGTTATCAATGGGAGTCACCACCATATTTTGTGCATGTTTGAATGGCTCTCACGATCATGTTTTCGTCTAACAATAGCAGTGCTTTTAGCTGTTTGGTGTCTCCTGAGATAGCCCTTTATTTGCAAAGCCCCATATTTTGTGTCTGTGTGTTCAGATTACAGCTCCCGGATCACCAAGATGCTCCGATATCAAGCAATGCAGTCAATGGGTGAGAAAACCACTTTCTAAAATCACGAAAGCTGAATGTATGTGTAATTATTTTTTTAAACAGTTGTATCGCATTTGGGATTGTGTGTTGTTGACTTATGGCTATACAGAGTTGTTTGGGAAAGCATTGATTTTTGATCATGTGTTAAACTTCCCTTTATAATTCTCATGACCTTACGCTTAGTTTAATCTGCAAAAGATGATTTGTGTATTCTTATAAGAGAAGTCTGCCATATTTCTCAGTTTTCTACACAGCGATCAGAGAGGGTTTTGTTGACCCGCTGTATCTGATGACTAAACATAATTACCCTGAACAATATGGGCAGCAGTGTGTTAAATTGGATTATGTCTCCATGTTTCTCCTCCCACTGTGCCGCACACAAAAAATGTCCTGCCAAATACACGGGTCTATGCTTGAATTCATTCCCCTCTGTTCTCCAATATTGAACAGTTCTTCCAGTGAAGCTAAGAGGTTTTCTTTTAATGCATGATGTCAGACACGGTGACATGATCCTAGCACTGTAATAAACTGTCTGTGACTTTTGTGTGTGAGACAATTGCACAATAAGCAAACAAACGTCTAGAACTAATTATAATCCATGCTCATATACTTGTCACAAACATCTTCTAACTTAACAGCTTCATGTTTAAGCGTTGGTTTGATGTTTTTACTGTAACTTTCTGCACAAAACTGCCCAACTAGTTAAAAAACTGAAACAATAAATGAAATGTGAGAAGTTCTTAGCTCTAAAACAGTTTGGTTCTACCGCATGCATGTATTTTTTTCACTACAATGGTGCATGTGTTGTAAGCAAACCACAAGACCACAAAATGCTGTCCTTATTAGAAAACACTTTATCTTTTGCATTCTTGTAAGAAACAGCCTTTGACGCTTGTGGCTCAGTGAGGGTGGTCTTCTTTTTCACTTTTCTGTCCTAAAAAGCTAATCTAAATATTTGACATTGACCATAAATACATGTGAAAAATAGTGATGATAACATGTTTTGAGAGTGTGGTTCTTGTGGCTTGAAATTTAGGTACCCCAGCTTTAACCCTCTCCTGGTTGTTGATTAGCAATAGGTGGTTCTATGTGTTTTCTCCCCCACGTGTGATAGTCATCCCAATCTTATTAAGGCCTGCTGCATCTGCTATCTCCTCCTCTTTCTCCCTCTCTCTCCCTCTCTTCTCCTCTTTCTCGCTCTCTCCTTTCTCTCTCTGGTTTCTTGCTGCTGCTGCTGCTGCTGCCATTGCTGTTACATAGAACAAGATCCCGACCATTCCACTGCGCTGTTAAAAAATATATACAGCAACGCAGCTCAAATTAACGTCAGCTGTTTTATCCTTCTTCTTTGCTATTTCTCTGTGTCACGCTTTGCACACTGACGCAGTAGCCAAATGAAAATGTCAGAAGGGGAAGAGACTCCGACCAATGGGTAAGGCACTTAACTACTATATGTCTGCGTATGTTATTGGGTTGAAAGTTGGAAATCTTTGCTAAAAATATGAATTGTATGAAATGTATTTTTACTAGATTTCTAAGCATTTTAGGTAACTGATTTGTGCATAATTAGCTACATTTAAAATCAGAAAAGTACTGTACATGCCCCAATCATCCCAAACCAATGCTCTTTTCCTACTTTGATCCATGCTCATATACTTCATATAAATCATCTCCTTTAAGTATAACATTATGAAAAACACAGACCACAAAATGCTGTCTTATTAGAAATCATTGTATCTTTTACATTCATGTGACAACTATTGATTAAACCAAAATGTTTTGAGTGCCAGGGGCTAGTTACATGGATTTCACTACGCAGTCATTTTTATGGTTTCAAAGTTAGGTACTTCAGCTTTAAAAGTTTTCAATAATCAATCATAATATGATATCAAGAGCAAAAATTTTTTGTTGCTGTTCCTTTTGTCACGGTTATACTGTGTGGCTATTCAGGCAGGCATGTGGAAAAACTGGTTCACGTCCATTATAAACGCTTTTGCCTTCACAGCTCAATGTTGTTACATCATTTTCTCAGAGCCATAAACGGTGTAAATGCTTCGTCACTTGTGAGCCCAACATGATCCGTATATCAATGCTGCTGGATTGGTGCTTAAGGTCTGCCTGTATGTACTCTTGCTTCTACGGTCATCTGTTGAAATCAACAGCATGCTTTAGATTGGCTGACTTGAAATTTAATTGAATAATGTTGACAATGTGCGGTATGTGCATCCTGATTATAACAGAATACTCCCATTGTTGCATTTTCATTCTCTTCCATTAAAGCCACCATTCTACACACAATCTACACGTAATTCCTTCTTTGTAATGAACAAAAAGGCTGTTCTCACTTAGTGGGTCATACAAGACTCTTGTCAAGCCCGTTTGGTGTCATGATAAGTCCTTATTCATAAATATTTACTGGATTTTCATATATAATTATTTTTGTATCATTGTTAGTTGTGTGTTAAAGTCATGTAGTCATGCAATTTAATCAAATTTAGAGCTAGAAGGACTATTCAATTCAATAAAAAATCTTACATGAGCTGTCATAATGTCATGTTTTCCCATTCCGTTGATTACTTCTAATGTTATAATTTGATACAAACCTCATAGAATTTCAAGAGTGGTTATCTTCCCATCCCTAACCACTGTGGGACTGTAGCTGCACATGTGACTTCCATGCAATATCCATGAAATCAATGGCATTGAAATGTACTGTTGCTAGGCACACCATTTGTTACATGTTATGTGTAGAATTGTATGAAGTTTCGGTCTCTGTATACAGTACCACTAAAGAAATCCTTGGACTGTACAATAATCTTTGAGCATTATTTGTGGTATTTTGAGTGTTTTCTGGGAGAACTGACAGTTCCTTTAGCATCGTTGTAGGTCATATGGTGAACACAGCAGTCACCCGCATTTCATTAGCTGTGTGTGTGTGTGTGTGTGTGTGTGTCTGTTTGTGTGTGTGTGCGTGTAAGCATGCTGTGATGTGCGTGCAATGGTGATTTATTATTGACTGAATCTAATGTTTAGCTCAATCTTATATATGCACCAATTCTTACCAAAAGATTATGAAGACATTTAATCTAAGACTTGTGAACAAAAGGCTATGATTATCATGTGAGGATCATACTTGTGGCAATATAAAGGCACTAGGGCTACAAGACAAGTATTTATTAATGCATGTGTATTTTGTAACTATTTCCATGTATTCCCAGCCTAGGATTTATCTAGATCCACATGATGTATGTCATAGAAAAATGTAAAAGAGTTAATTGACCTTTGATTGTTCTGTGGGTCTAGGTGCTCACGGTCGGACTTATCGCTGGCTCTGGAGGACTGCATGGCAGCCCTGGATCTCTTCCTCAGAAATGAGTTTGAGGAGGCCCAGGCCCGACTTCGATCCAGGTGTGAATACAACTTGAAACTATTTTATCTCATGCACTAGTTCACATCACATGAATTTTTTATTTATGTTTATGATACTGCTCATTTACTAGTCTGTATTACATGTTTGATCACACACAGTTGCCTCATAATAAAGTAAGCCGAAGACTTTACACTGTTAAATAACAAACTGAGCTGTGTTAGTGTTATATTTGCTTCTATTGCTGACGTTTGAATATCTCTTCGCCACGTTGTGCTGGATTGGGATGAAACCTTTTTGCTTCACATCACAAACATGGTTGAGAGGAATGATTAATTTTGTATTAAACATTTTCTTACATAAGCATCAGCTTTTTAACGTAGGTCAATATGGTCTCAGATCTAATAAATCGACCACACACATACAGTGCACCATGTGCACTGTTTATTGTATATAGTAATTGTAACTCTATTTTAATTTTAATTTTAAATGTATTCCTTAGAAGTGGTCTTTATTATTTTTATTTTATTTTATTCTCTCCCTCTGACTATTGCACCGAGCCAAAGCAATTTCCAAGTCTGTGACCTCCTGTTGGCAATAAAAATGATTCTGATTCTGATTCCATGACCATAATTGATGCCACAGAAGATATATCAAAAGCTTTAACAAACAAAAAATATGCATTGGGAAGTTATATAGATTTTTAAAAGGCCTTTGATACTATCAACCATGAAATATACTGAAAAAATTAGATTGTTATGGAATACGGGGGTGGCCGGGAAATGGGTAAACAGTTATATGAGTGACAGAGTACAGGATGTCCAAATGCGTGAGCCTTCTTCTAGATCTTCTAGATGTCTTGACATAGCTTGTGGTGTCCCCCAAGGGTCAGTATTTGGGTCTTAATTATTTAATCTATATGAATTATATATTTAATGTTTCTCAATTGCACAAATGTGTATTGTTTGCGGATGTCACAAACCTTTTCTATAGTAATGAAAGTCCAGAATAACGTATTAGTATTGTGAACAAAGTCAAATTTAAAAAATGGATGGAAAGTAACAAGCTGTCCTTAATCCTTGATAAACCTAAAGTCATGTTATTTGGAAAGCATCAATTGAATTCTTTGAACCAGGTTGAGATACATGGAGTTCCCATTGAGAATGTTTGTGAATAATCAGCTTATAGTCAATTATGACACCTACAAATTTGTAGGTGTCATTATTGACTATAAGCTGAGTTGGAAAGCCCACATCAGACATATTACAACCAAGGTCTCCAAATGCCTTGCAATATTAAGTTGAGTTTAACATATCCTTGATTATAATGCACTTCTTGTATTGTTATTTAATTCAAACATATCTGACTTACTGTATACTGTAGAAGTATGCGGCAATAATTTTATTTTGCTACAGAAAAAGGCTTGCACACAAGATCTGGAACGTACAAATCCCCTCTTTCTAAAATCAAAGTTATTAAAAATTCATGATCTTGTAAAAATATACAATGCACAGCTCTTGTTCAAAGCGTATGATAATGTCTTGCCGATGAACATCCAAAACATTTTCACACATTTCACTCCCGTGGGTGAGATCCACCCGGAGACGTTTTCCTGTGTCTGTGTGTGGGGTAAAGCTGTGGAATAATCTGGAGGATGAACTCAAACTATGTCAAAACATACATAGTTTCAAGCGTTTCTACAAACAAAAGTTTTGGTCCCAATACAAAGATAACAATGAAGTTTAATCATATTCGTGCTGTGTTTCGGCTGGACTTAATGTTGCGTACTCTTGTGGCATTATGTTATTGATAGTTACAATCAATTGTTACTTTTAACAATATATGTGTATGGCTCATTTCACATTAAACTGTACCATAGGTCAATCTAACTTAAAGCAACAATAAAATAAATGTTTGAACTAAAAATGTTTGTACCTAAACATTTTTTTATACTATGTAACCTATAGATATACATAGTATAATCTCAGAGGGGCAGCTAAAAGTATTTCAAGAAAAATGGATGCCTTTCATAAAAATTATTCCTCCCAGCCAATGGGATTAGGCTTCTTCTTGGCCATATTGTTTTGTCTTTGAGTGTAGATTAAAGGATAAGATGAGGTGTGTTTAAACATGTGAATGCCACACCTCAATCATGGCAAGTTATGATAACTTTATGGTCATTATATGACCCTGTTGAACGGTGAGTGAAATTAGATTAGTTAATTTTTAGAGAATTCTTAGCATCAGAATAAACAGGCTAATCTGTGTTCAAGTTCACATTCCTTTGATAGTTTGTGCTTCTGTGTCACTAGAGAAATTGAAATCGGTTTGGTTGTTATGTTGTCTAAGACCTCACGGACGACTTCGTGTCTGAGATGTACATGTGCTTCAGTAATGTTTCCCTTTTAAAAATAGAATGAAGCTGTAGATATGTCGTTTAACCAGAATAACATGTTTCTGAGGCTGGAGAATAACACCAAACCAAGGACGCTGTATTTAAAACATTCAGACAAACACTTTTTGAACACACCTACAAAGTAATTAGTCACCAGCAGAGGAGTGTTTTAGCTCTTTCAAATCCACTTTTGTTCCTATGTAAAAGTCTATTGTTATCCAACTAACTGCTGAATTTGTTTTGTGCAGAACCAAAGACAGCATGTACCATGCTCTAACATACGCCACGATCTTAGAAATGCAAGCCATGATGACGTTTGAGCCTCAGCACATCCTCACAGCTGGGAACACCATGAAGGAGGCTCAGGCTGTCTGCCAAAGGTGAGCTAGCATCACCCATGCTCTCAATGCAACTCCCTGAACCAATAAAGATGAATAAATAATAAGATCCTCCCTGTATAAAGCATGACCTCCTGTCATTGAATATGTTACTCAATTTACTCTTTAATATTGCACATTAGTCATATCATACTGGGATCATCATCCAAGAGTTGCAATTAATACAATTGAGTGTATAAAACTTGACCAATGTAAAAGATATGTTTGTTTAAATAATGTTAAGCATGTATTTATATTAAGTAATAATAATAATGCTTTTTACTTATATGTACTCATATATTCACTCATCGTGACCTTTCATGGTCAGGATGTTGCATTCAGGATGTGGCACAGTGGCTCACAGCATGAGCCACTCTTAGGTTGGCTCTTGCGGTGAGGAGGTTGCATGTTCTTCCATCCATCCATTTTCTTCCCCTTAATCCATTTCTGGTGGTAGCAGTCAAAGCTGCTCCCTGGTTGCATGTTCTTTTCATATTTAATTCATGGATGCTTTTCTATTATACGGTGTGTATTCCAGGCACCGCAAAAAGTCAACTTTTTCGAAGACTTTCACAGAGGGTAAGTAAAGTTTGGTCCAGAAGAGTCTTGTTGTGTCATTGTGGATGTGTGTGGTCAGTAACTGTCCTTTACATCAGAGGAACTCCACGCTGAGGTTTGCTATGCAGAATGTCTCCTCCAGAGGGCAGCACTCACTTTTCTTCAGGTCAGTAGTGATTCGCAGGTTTATTTTTTGTCAAATACTCTTTTATTTAGATGATGATGTTCAGAAATGCCATTGTTTCAGGATGAAAACATGATCAGCTTTATTAAAGGTGGAATTAAAGTGAGAAACAGCTACCAGACATACAAGTAAGGGTTTGGCTTGTCTGTAATGTTCTCATTTTTACTGCTTTTGATATGTATTTGTTTTGATGCAGGGATCTTCATTCGATACTTCAATCCACTGGATACACTCGAGCTGAAAACCACGGCCACTTTGAGGGTGGTGTTAAACTTGGAGTTGGGGCATTTAACTTGGTTAGTATAATATTAAGAAAGATCAAGGCTATGCTCACACTCAGAGAGCAGCCGTCCTCCTGTGGACTCACCACCTGCAGAGGGTCAGTGAGGGGCTGGTGCTATGAGACTTGGGTGGCATCTCTGACTGCCACCCCCCTGACCCAGAAATGGATTAAAGGGTAGAAAATGGATGGATGGAGTATAATATTATAATTTGTCATCTAGTGCAATGTAAACACATCTGTAATAATAACATGACACATTTACGGCATGACAATATATTGGACAGTACTGACTAGATGTATTATACAGGTTAAGCAAGGGATGAACATAAACAAATTCTCATTGTGGCAGATTTTTTTTTTGTTTTTCTTCATGTTTGACTTTCTTCAGATGATTTCTATGCTGCCAACGCGGACACTAAAACTTTTGGAGTTTGTTGGCTTTTCGGGTAACAAGGTAAGAAAAGGCTTTTACATGCTCTTTGATGCTGCATATCTGGACTGTGGATTTATAAAGAAAACATTTGATATGTTTCCGAGAGTTTGTTAGTACCAACCACCTGATGTGGATGAGTGGTGTCCTTGTTCTCTTTAATTAAAACTAAATCAAATGATGTTGTTCATGCAGGACTTCGGTCTCCAACAGCTTCAGGAAGGCTCTTCAGAGAGCACTCTCAGGTCCTTCTTATGCAACATGCTCCTGCTCTGCTATCACACATTTTTGAGCTTCATATTAGGTGGGTAATGTCACCTGCAGTCCGTGTACAAATTACTACAACAGATAATGTACTATGATCCTTTTGCAGGAACTGGAGAAGGAGATGTTGAAGATGCTGAAAAGCTGTTGCAGCCATATCTTGAAAAATATCCAAAGGTCTGTTCATAGAAACCTATTATCTTATCGTTTTTTTCTTTACATGATTGATGTTTGTGCAGTTCTTCTACTGTACTACTTTTTTGAAAATTGCGTTTTTCTTAGGGTTCGATATTTCTGTTTTTTGCGGGCCGTATAGAGGAGATTAAAGGTAACCTGGATGCTGTAAGTATAAATAACCATGTTCTTATATAATGTAGATTATTATTTAACATTTTACATTTGTTGACCATCTTTCTGTGATTTATTTCTCTCTCAGGCTATTAAGCGTTTTGAGGAGTGCTGCGAAGCACAGCAGCAATGGAAACAGTTTCATCACATGTGCTACTGGGAGCTCATGTGGTGCTTTACATACAAGAGGCACTGGAAGATGGCTTATTTCTATGCTGACCTGCTCAGTAAAGAAAACTGTTGGTCCAAAGTGAGTCTTCATGGACATCCCTATAGTGTGACCACCTTCACTGAAAATATGCAGATTGTGTGGTTGGACATTGTACAGTTGACACGTTTTCTTTTTCCCAGGCCACCTATGCCTTCATGAAAGCTGCCTACCTCAGCATGCTGAGTGAGGACGATTGCCTCACTTTTGGGGAGACTGAAGTTACTTTGTTTAGGTAAACACAATTATAGCTGAACAATCACTGCAATCGCCACAGATTTCCCAGCATCATCTTGTAACTGCACACTGCCTAATCTAACATTGGTAACTGTTGGGTTTTAGGCAGGTACCAAATTTGAAGCAAAAAATAGCAGGAAAGTCTTTACCAACAGAGAAGTTTGCTATTAGGAAAGCTCGTCGGTACCTAACAGAAAACTATATTCCTCTTCCTGTCGCACCGCTGGTCAGTGCAATATATATGCAACTTAATTTATTTGTTTTGTCTTGGATTCTGGGCACATTTATAAGTGTTGACTGATGCTCACAGGAGATGATGTACATCTGGAATGGCTACACAGTCATTGGGAAACATAAGGATTTGACTGAAGGAATGTTGAAAACACTGGATGAAGCACAAGCTAAACTTGAAAACAGCCCGAGTGAGCACATTTACACAGTTTAATATCTACGCCTGTAATGTTTGAATGTACTTATCTATTTTCTTACAAAAACAGGAACCGAGTTCTCTATAGATGATCAGTGTTTACTAAGTCTCCTGAAAGGATTGTGTCTGAAGCATCTGGGCCATCACGAAGAAGCGGAACATTACTTTACACTTGTCCTCTGCAAGTAAGCCACTTCCTGTTTCTTTAAAAAATAAACTGCCATGTGAGAACTCAGGTTGGAACAGTTCAACTCATTAAGTTTAGTTTTGACTAATAAGATCTTTCGATAGTGGCAAACATTGTGCTGTTGTATTTTGCAGTGAAACGCAAATAAAGTATGACCACTACTTGGTTCCAAACGCCCTACTGGAGCATGGCCTGCTCTGTATAGAACAAGGCAGAAATAATGAAGCCATCAAACTCTTAGAAACCGCAAAGTTGGTTTTGCTTCTTTTTTCTTATTATTCATAAAAAAGTCATGAGTATGTATGTCATTTTCATTTTGTCTTCTGTTTCAGACAAAATTATAAAAACTACTCAATGGAGTCACGGACACACTTCCGTATTCAAGCTGCTTTGCAAAAAGCTAGAGGCATTATGGAAAATGGAACCCCTGAGCCATGCAGCCCATAACGACAGTGGCGAGTGCTCTAGAGCAGACTATTTAAACATGAGCATGTTTATCATGCACCGAGACTTTTTGAGTAATGCATTAAAACGCTTTATGAAGCTTTGTACAGCACACTGCTTCACTTATTGATGTGTATAGATCAGTGACTACCAAACATATTTCACAAAAACACCCATTTTAAAAATAGTCATCACATAACAGAAACAACAGTATTGTAAATGAAGAGATGACAATGAGTTAAAGTCAACATTTTCAGTTGCATTTTATCTTAAAACTTGTTTTCCTCATTATTATTTATGGGGTGAATCTTGGGATAACAGCGCTTTTGCTGGAAATCACTGATAAAGACAACTGTGTTTGTTGTATACCGCAATCCATTTGTTAAAATTAATTTAATCATAACTTTACTCGATATATATTCAGTATAGTTATGATTAAAACAATGTAAAATGTGATTAAATTAACAAAGTTTACATATTTTAGGCTGCCTTTTACTGTAGGTAGCCTACTGTAAATTGCACTTTTATGAAGTTGTCCTGTTTCAATAGGACAAGAGAATATGTCTTTCAGAAAGGCTGTCAATTGCTCTTTCCCTTCCTGGTTTGCAGTCCTCACCAGGTCTTCAGCTTCAACAAACAGGCCATTCACATTCAGCTTCTTGGATATCTTATTGTTTTCTGACTGGAAACAATGTCTTTTTTCTTCCAAAATGCAATTGTTATGTTGTGTAATTATGTAGACAAAAACTTATCTCAAGAGCTATTGTTGGAAATTGTAGATGTACTGTACGAGATATGTACTGTGTTCTCCCACTATCAATGGCATTCTTAATGATTCTTTCTAAAATGTTTAGGTAGAAAAAGAACATGAACATAATTACAACTGTGTCCTTATTCATTTTTCCTCCTATCTGTGTACGTACATCACCTACATCCTTTGCTGAATGTCAATGTCCATCGTGTAAACGAGAATACTCCTGACTACACTGGATTTTATATTTCTGATATTTCTGTCAACCAATTTACATTTACAAGTTTTGTTTTATTACAGGTCCCTAACTCTAATTTCCAGTGACATTTGCCTCAGCTGTGTGTACATTTGGCCTATTCTACAGTCAATTTGAGGCTATGAGCCGTGAAACATTTGGGCAGACTTTGAAGTTTGATCTTTCTCTGTGCTGAGATTACTCGGAAAAAAAGTGGGACAAACGAGTGAACAGAGCCCAAAATAACAGGGAGCTTTACAGAGAGCCCCAAAAGGCAAACAGACAGATTCAGTTTAAAAACAAATTTAACCAAAGTTAGGCGTTTTAAAGAGAAGTACGGTGTTGAGATTTTATGAAGTGCACCAGACAAGCTAATGGATGTCTGTGTTTATGTTTTTAGAAAACAGTACGTCAGCATGAATGTGATTGGTTGCAGTCAAACGTTACTTTGGTTTTGCGCTTGCTGATTGGTCTGTGTCGTGGAAAGGCGGGGCTTCGTGTTTCTACGTCACCACCTTTGTTGTTGCTCACAGCTGCTGCACTGTGCACTGGAAAGTCCCTGACAGACGCGTCCTGGGGCCAGTCTGCAAAAGCCGAGCCAAACTCACGGCCTGCTTCCACTTCCACCCAGGCTTCACACAGCTTTGCACGCGTCTGCTCCGTTTTAGCCCGGATAAGCCCGTGTCTTTGCCGATGTTAACGGTTATAGCGGTAAGCTAGGTCGCCTTTGTGTGGCTAGCTGCTTGTGGATGATGTCTGACAGAGCAGCTCTCTAGTTTTCGGGTTGAGTAGAAGAAAAGGCTTTGCTGGCTTGTCTTTAGAATCTGCAGAGTACTGTTCGTAAACAAGAAGCTGCGCGGTGAAGGAGCATCGTTTCCCGGCAGTGCAAGGAGATGGGAAACTGTCTGAAATCTCCCACCTCCGATGACATCTCGTTACTACATGAGTCTCAGTCGGACCGGGCCAGCTACGCAGACGGAGCCGATCCAGACCAGGAGCCACCGCCCCCTTATGAGGTGACCCCCTCTTTTCTCAGCAGACTGTACCCCGTGTGTCTGCCTGCTGGCCCTGTGATAACACGGTGGGCAGATGTGACTTCTGTATGTGTGTGCTGTAGTTCCCCAATGCATTTCCCCCAAACCCGCTGACTGGTTGGGATAGGCCATATGTAGGAATAAAATGGTGAAAGGGGCTGTTGTCTATTTCTACACAATTTCGATGCCTTTTTATAAAGCACAGTTTGTTTAATCTGTCTGTGTATTTTTGTGTTCCCAAGCACAATAACATGGTACATTACTGTCTGGGACATGTCAGTACATTATTTCTTGGTCATTAAACTCAGGGCTCAGAACTGGGACTGTCATGGGGGAACAGGAATGTCAGGTTACTCCAGTATCGCCACAGGTGAATGGCACTCCACCACAATAATGTAGTTACACTCATTCAAAAGCAGAGCATAAAAGTCCATCAGGATGCCACCACGATTTGCACATGGCCAAATTCTTCATATTCAACCAGTGTGCCCTGAAGGGGAACATTTTACGTAGAAGCATATTGTTTTCAAATATCTAATCACATGTGTATCTTTTTGGTTTTAATTTCACCCAATCTTATTTTTTTGTTAAACAAGAGACCCCTGTACAGGATCAACATGCTGAAACACACTGACCCTGTATTTGACACTAATCCTCTTTGTTGCGTCCAAAAGTCCACTTACGTTTTTTCACAATTTGCCATTGAGGAGAGAAGTAATATTGAGTACATTTGGAGTATGTTTTTTACTTTTATTTAAAATGAAACTTTCATTTGAATGTATTTTGACTTCACACAATACATTTGTACCAGCAGCACAGTATTGAAGATTATAAGAAAAAATGGGCTTGGCCTTTTTTACTAATGATGAACTTTGTTGAAAAAGTATCTTGAAACATTTAAACCCCAACTCCCTCCAATTGAGTCAGCTTAAAATCAGTACTTTCATGTCACTTTGTCATGTTCCAACCATTAGATGGTGTTACCCAGGTATTTGCAGCCAGTGTTGAATCACAGACGGTTGGCATCTGGAGCTGTGCCTGTCTGCGCTCCAGGAAAGGCTCTGGGTTATTTAAATAGTTTCATGTCTGCAGTGCAAAGAGCAGCACATCTCAGTTCTAGTCGGAGTGCACACAACGTGCACACATGCATTGCCAAAAATCAATGTCTTGTCCTTTTTTAACTACAATAGCTCTAATACCAGAATATGTTTTGGCCATCTAACAAAAAGGTTCTATACATGATTTTGAATATTTGAGTTGAGTCTGTTTTGTTTTTCAAAGAAAAATATAATTATCCTGAAATATCTCTTATATATATTATATAATATCATTGCTGCTTGTATAGTAAATGCTGTTACATAGATGTGTATGTATTATTGATATCCAAATAATAAGAAACAACGTTTATTATATTATTAATTATCATAGCTATTGTTTTTTTGACATAATGCCTCCAATCAGGAATGTTTTTACCCCTGCCTGCTTCACTGTATTGCATGCTGATTGTGTTTGGGGATTTAGTTACTGTGCTAGGTCATGGACTGAGCTAAAATTTCAGGATCTGTGAGGGGCTCTGATTTCTGGACATTGAAGTCAAGGGAAAATGTTTTTCTGCACACACCTCAGTAGAATACTCTTTGGCTGTTGTGGGTAAACCATAGCCAATCCAAGTGGTAACTTACTTTCTTGATCGAAGTCTAATCCACATAATTGCCAGATTGGTCACTTTTCAGTAGTTTCTTTCTCCACTTTGTCCGCTGTGATGTCGGGATCTGCTGTCTGCATTGACACACATAACTGTGGTGTGGTACAAGAAACCTCTGGCCTCCTGCCCACTGTCTGTTTGGTCACTCCGGGATCACAAAATGAGCACTTGCTCCCAGCTGTAGCGTTACGCATGGCAAAAAAGGCAAGACACAATTGCACTGCTGACCAATGCACAGTTCACAATTGCAAACTTGTTATAACTGCTGTGGTCACTATGGGCTGCATATCTTTTGTTTCCCCCGAAGGGCAGTGGGCACTCGTAGGGGCAGCTGTACGCGGTGTAGAAATTCCAATGACCTAAGGTTTTAGTAGTGCCAGGAGAGAATTAAGTATAGCATCAAATGTGTACTTAATAAAGCCACAGTTTCTGTGCTTAAGTGTAAATTAGTTTCTGCAATTTCATAAATGACAATATTATTGAGTCTATAGAAAGTTTTTTGCTCAACTAAGACACATCAGCTTAATTTTAGACATCAGAGGCTGATTTTTCTGCACGGCACGATATCTGAATTGCATTTTTTTTCTCTAAGTATGATATTGTAAACCATGATATTATAGCTGAGCCTTCTATGCTTGGAATTATTAGATGTCATATTGAAATATTATTAGTCACTGTGATCTTTGTGGTTTCTTAAGCGTTAATGATGTGGTTTAATTTCACTTTCAAAAGTTGGTATTGAGATGTTAAAACTATTGCTAGTCAGTAGTGAAAAATACATTTTTATACTGTCAATGTAAATTCTGTTATGCGATTTGGTAAATGCTATCTTGAGATAACATCCAACTGAAGACTGTGGTCCAAGCTATTTCTACATAACAAAGAAGTCTGGTAAAGCTAGTCTTAGATGGTATATTGTGTAATTACATGTTCAAAGCAAATGCACTCAATCACAAGTGTGCTGTGTGTTCCATTGTACAGGAGCTGATCCACGTGCCTATTTACCACCCCACTCCCAGCCAGGCCCGACTGGCCACTCAGCTGACTGAGGAGGAGCAGGTCCGCATTGCCCAGCGCATCGGTCTCATCCAGCACCTCCCAAAAGGCGTGTACGACCCGGGACGTGATGGTTCTGAGAAAAAGATTCGAGAGTGAGTTTGACGGTTGTGTATTAAACATTATGATACAACAATTACACAGGGTAGATAGGATAAGAGATCCATTATTCGTCCCGCAATAGGGAAATTTCAATTCAATGTTGCAGCTCACATATGGGACAGTAGTAAGAGCACACAAGGAGCACACAAAATATACAATAAACAATATATTTTTCTTAGCTAGCTGTAAATGCTTCAATATCAATATATCTATCTGTTTATATCTATATATTTGTGCACAAATATATACATATAGGGCAGGATAATGAGTAGATGAAGTGACATTCAGTGAACATTCTGAAGTTGCAGTATTGCACATATTTACTATTTTCAGATGAATGACATGTACAGGCTTAGCAGTTCTCATTGTGCAGTCTGACAGCAACAGAAAGACCTGCAGAACCTCTACCTCACTCAGCAAGGATAAATAAGTCTGTCACTGTAGCTGCTTTCCAGAGCAGAGAGAGTGTGCTTTAGGGGGTGACAGTCATGGTCCAGCATAGATGTTAGTTTGTCCAGGACCCTCCTGTCCCCCACCTGCTGCATTGTGTCCAGAGAAAAGCCCAGGACAGAGCTGGACTTCCTGATGACCTTGTCCAGCTTCTTCCTGTCCCTCTCTGTGATGCTGCTGCTCCAGCAGACCACACCGTACAAGAGGCTGATGCCACCACAGAGTAATAGAAGGTCTTTAGGAGTGGCCCCTGCACTCCAAAAGACCTGAGCCAGTTTGTGGTTCAGATGAACACCCAGGTACTTGTAAGAGTCTACTCTCTCAATGTCCCTTCCCTGGATGTTCACTGGGGCTGGAGCCCACCACCATCTCCTTGGTCTTCCCTGCGTTGATAAGGATGTATTTCCGCTGACACCAGTCCACAAAGTCCTGTGTTAGTCCGCTTTGTGGTTTTCCTCTGTGATGAGTCCGATGATGGCAGTCATCAGAACTTCTGTTGGACACAACCGTCTGTGTTGTGTCTGAAGTCTGAAGTCTGCAGTTTAGAGGGTGGAAGTGGAGCGGCGCGAGGACGGCCACCTGGGGAGCCCCCACACTGCAAGTCAGGTCCTGAGACACGCAGTCCCTGGCACTCACAAACTGGGGACTGTCTGTGAGGTAGTCCAGGATCCCCTCGGACAGGTTGTAATCCACTCCTGCTGTCTCCAGCTTGTCCCTGAGAAGCCGTGGCTGGATTGTGTTGAATGCGATGGAGAAATCGAAGAAGAGGATCCTCACAACGGAGCCGGGCTTCTCCAGGTGGGACAGCGAGCAGTGGAGGAGGGAGATGAATGCGTCCAGAGTGTCTCCAGAGGTGGGATGTCAAAGCCACCGGCCCGAAGAAGCTGTGGTTTTTGGCCCGTGGTATCTTGGGCACTGGTACCACAAAGGAGGTCTTCTAGAGCTGTGGCAACCTGAGGCTCAGGTCGAAGACGTGCTCTATCAATCAAGATTTCATCTGAGCAGGAGCGGAGGAGCCTTGAGCTGATGTTGTCTGGTCTTTATTATCTCCTGGGCAGCAGTGAACAACAGAGAAGTGCAACATGCATTTTATTTGATAGTGGGAAATTAAAGGCCTTGTAAACGTCTCATTCTACAAAAAGGATGACTTTGAAAGTGTAATGTCTTTCTGCCTCGCCTATTCTTTTTGAGTATTGTTTTACTTTTCCTTGAATCTTTTTTCCTCTGGATAGCTTCCTTTGCACTAACTTTAATTTTAGATGAGGTAAAATTGTATAACTTATTATTCACGGTTACTTTTACCCAGAGGTGTAAGTTGAATGACTTTAAAAGGACTTTGCCACAAGAGGGCGTTTGGAGCTGACTGTCTGGTGGACTGTCCTGCTCTCTCATGGGACTGACCCTCCTTTCACCAACTCGTCTATTTGATGGACAGCTGTTTATACAAGGTGTTGGATCTTTGCCTCATCTGATCATGGACATTTTGAATAACAATCAGGCATTGGAATTTATTTTACTATTGGAAGTAGTATTTATGAAGATATCACTGTGACAGACACACAGATATACAAGGCTGCAGCTACGCCCCCTCTCCTCCCCCTCCTCCTTTCTCCTCCACACATCCTCATCTGCTCCTTCTCCATAGAAACATGTCCTCATTTTATCTCCTCCTCACAGCATTCAACAAAGCGAATCCAGATCAATCCAGCTCTGGCTCTATTGACTTACATTGAAATCAGCTCAGTAAACGTTTGTATCGCACTCACCTTTTTGGGCTCTCTATGATCCTGGGGTTTTTATTTTGATATTGTCCAGATATAAGCCTCAACGATTGACCAATCAGATTCGCTGGGGAAACTCTACCGTGCCATAGCAACCATGTTAGCAAAGCGTTAGTTTACATCTGCCCCTGTTACGGTGTAAAGCTGAAACCGTCGGAACAAACAAACTTATCTATGGCAGACGCTGAGGGGGGCAGCTGTGTTTTGCCAGGATAAAACTACATAGTCATTTCTTCATTACGTGGCTGTGGATTCACATCAGGGTGAAAGAATGTGGGGAGGAGAGGCGGATGAGGAGTTGGGGAGTCTCTCAGCCAGGTAAACACAAACAGACTACAATTATTTGCCCACAATGCCATTGCGTAATTGTTATTAAAAATACTTAAAGACCAGACCATAACAGATTCTAAAATGGGTTAGTCATTTTAGTTGGGGGCAGATTTGGAAAAAGTATAGTTTGTCTGGGGCCACAACTCTTTTTGGCCACATGCATTTGGCTATCCATTGTTCTTTTTCTTTGTTCTTCCCCCATTTAAATGTTTTTCATTTAATTCTAAACACATTCACTACACTGACATTATGTAAATAGCATATGTAATTTGTATTAATGATTAACAATTGTCTTTCTGTGCAGGTGTGTGATCTGTATGATGGACTTTGTGTATGGAGACCCCATTCGATTCCTGCCCTGCATGCACATTTACCACATGGACTGTATAGATGACTGGCTGATGAGGTCCTTTACCTGCCCTTCCTGCATGGAGCCTGTGGATGCCGCTCTGCTGTCCTCCTATGAGACCAACTGACCCACACGTGCACAGTGTGTGCTTGTCTTTACAGTGCCTGGGGCTAGTCAGGAGTCAGCACACAGCATTATATCATGTACACTAAACTAAAGGACATGCTCAGTATCATGTGGATGTGTAGCTGTGAAGTGGACATTTCAACGTACATTTATTTTAGAATGAATTAAGTTTGTGTTGGTCACTTTTTATGTGGACATGCTCCATGTTCCTTTGACCTGCTGGACAGGACATTCATTTGAGTTAGAAGAATTTAGCAATTGGACCAACATAGATGATTAATATTTAAACTTTTCAACAATTGCACAGTAGCGGAAATTACTATATTTTAAAGTTTCTAAATGTATATAAAACTGTTATGATTTCTAGTTGGCTTAAAGCATACTTGGTTTTGTGATGTGGACAGATGTTGTGAGGGTCCGGATCCTGTTTTTGGGCGTTGAGGTACAGGATGGAGACGAGCACAAGAATCCCTCTTGTCTTATGATTTAGTTTATTGATTTGTGAAATATGAACTTTGTCATTGTAAATATACAATGGCTTTCTTGTGTTTTAGCAACACAGATTCAGATGAGTTCAGTCCATATAGAGATGGCTTTTCAAAGTACAAAGGCACGAAGCCTAGAGTGTACATGTATTTACAGTAGCCCCATGGTCTTCAAATTATTGAAACGGTATTGAATTTGATGTCGCCAAATTTAGGGACTTAAAAGCTTACAATTGGACTAAAATGGGATTAAATTTTAGATAGTGGCATTAAATATTATTGTAAGCCACATTGTCCTGCGCTCTGAAGTGTTGTGAATTGCCTCAAACTTTTAACTTGGTCGAATTCAAAGAGCATTCATAAAAACATTTGTTTTGTTTTTCCCATTTGAAATGTAATTAAAAGGATCTTAAATTTGACTTGAGCAAACCTGGGGCTACCCTGTTATTTAATGAGCACAACATTTAATGCATCTACTGCCTTATGTGATTATTTTCAAGAGGTCCTCTGATGAGGAAAAAATCAATTCAAATGGAGCAATTGGGAGCACCCAGAGCTTCTAAACAAAACAAATAGTATAATAGGTTGTACAGAAAGGCCTTTTTCACCCTTTGTGAAATGTGTTGTGAGAGGTGATCTGCCATTTCCCACTTGATACACTATAATTTTGGGATGAATAATTCAACTTCTAAAAATCATTGATTGGTCGTTGTTATGCATTTTAATTTCTATGCAATGTAATAATGTAAAATGATTACTTCTAGAAGCAAACTTTAGAATCATTCAGGAAAAAACATGTTCATATTTTATATTTTTCTGCCATAGGAGAAAAAAGTAGTACAAACAACAATGTTTTTACACTTATATGCTTACGCATTGTCCTCGTGACTTTGGTACCTTCCTTTCCTGTTCCTGTTCATTGTACAAAAAAGCACAAAGTTGAATTGTTTAGGTTCTGCCACACTTTGGCATCATTGCCCACAAAATATGCAGGAACTAACACACCATAAACTCTTCAGTGAAATCCTGTATTGGCCACTGTTGTGTGTGTGTACGTGTTATCTGTGTTGTGAGTGAGTCTGTTAATATTTGAGCCGCCCGTGGGTCTGAGGACTATTGAGAACATCTCTATAGTTACCAATCCCACTTACAGGTCCAGCATTCATTCAAATTCTGCATTAAAACCATAGGCCATATATTGGGAATATATATATATATAACTATGTTTAAAACTGGCTTGGTAATTGAGGATTAGCATTCCCCCTTAGTTCATCTCATTCTTATTCTTATGTTCTATCAAAGTAAAGAAGTAGGGAGAGCGGTCAAAACTGTATTTCTCTGTTCACGCAATTGAGCAGGTCAGAGCACACATGTTTTCAACCGTTTTTGTGTACATGTATTTAGCTATGGCTTTGTGGAACTTACAGTGATAGGTTTATTGACTCTTTAATGAGCAATAAAAATGTTATGAAACAAAGAACCTGTTTTTAAACATAACTTTGACAACTTTCAGAGATTCAATGGAAAGCCTGCAGCAAGCAGTGCATCTGGGGCCGGCCACTTTCCTACTACCGTGGCTTCTACATCCATAATCAGAACATTGGTTTTGTTGTTCATAATTAATAAATTCATCAAACAGTGCAGACAAGGACAAGTTCCTTGCGGTATTAGGACAGGCATTGGAATTTCTTCCAATGCCTGTCCATGGTATCCAATTTACATAGGATACCATCCTATCCTATGTAAATTGAGACAACACAAGACGCCACCAAACCTGCAAAGGCACTAGAATGCCCTTCTCTAGTCCATGGGTCTCCAACCCATAGCGCAGGAGCTATAGCTCGCCACCTCATTCTAAGTAGCTCTCCAGTTGATTTTACAAATTACACATATGCTGAATAATTAAACTTCAATGTTATTGTCTTAAAACAAGAGTTCTCAGTGGCTTCAGTAATATTTTAGCTCAGTCGCAACTTTAATAATTCTGTAAGGGACTGTTTTAGTAAATGTAGTTATCAAATTTGAACTATAACAAGATAGTTTAACGCCAACAAATGGTTAAGTATAACTATAGTGTCACACTTCATCTTTTTGTGTGTGCAGGTTATGCATCATTATAGACTTTCTTACAACTTCTTAATGGAGAAGCTCACTGTCTTTTTTATTCCAAAAAAAGTCGCTCTCCATGGTGAAAGGTTGGAGACACCTGGTCAGTGAATGACATTTTTGCAGTGCTCTTGTGGCTCATTGTTTTCCTTCATTTCTGGACCTACCTGGGCCTAGGTTGCACGTATTGTACATGCAACAGTACTTATCTCTGAGGACTTGACAACACTGTTTATTCGTCTATTTCAATCCTGGTCATAATTATGGCCAACTGAATGTGTTGTAAAACATGCAAATGCAATCTCCATGTTGAGGCATGACACTGGAGAAGGAAAGAGATGCAGTCCCCTGTGCTCCTCAGAGCTGTGGTTCTTGTCAGGACTCGAGCTGCAGCGTTCTGAATATAGCGCTTCTTTGGAGATCCCATTGAGCAGGATCATTTCTCTGTGGATCACTACTGTTTACATAAATATAAATGCTGATCCAAGGTGTCACCCAACTTCACTACTGACTCTGTTAGATTTGAGGTTGCATTATAGTGTATTTTCGCTACACCATCATTTATCAGTATTGATAATCAGGACACAGGATCTTATGAATGAACCTTATATGCCCCATACTGTATTTCAAAGTGATTGAATGAAAGTTGTGTTTGAATGCTTGATTATTTGCTTGTAAGTGTAAATATGGTATAAATATAACATGTAAAGACCAAAATAAAATAACATTGCAGCAAATCTGTAAGTGATTGTATATTGATTGCAGTTTTCCTTCTCATTCCTAATATTAAGACGTGATCATCAACAACAATAGTATGGTATACATTTATAAAGTATAATTTTCACTTTCAATTCACAGAATGATGCACTTCCAGAAAACTACCTGCATGATAATTGGAAGATCTAACGGAGCTGAGCACGTGGCCGCTTCTTCACCAGAAAGACAAAAGTCAAAAGACGTTTTTTCAAGATGTATTTCATTTAATACACGTCTTTACAGAATCTATTTGGACATTTTCTTAAAAGCGGTTCTATGGAGACATGGCTGTGTATTTAATATGACAAACATTCTTTTTACAGTTTCAAATGTAATTGATGTCATTTCCATGTGCCATTTGGCTCAGAGATCATAAAGATGTCGACCTCAAATTCAGATTCAGTTTATTTGCCATTTGCAGTAAAAAAAAAAAAAAAAAAAAACACATTGGAATACATTAGCAAAAAGTCTCCAGTGTGCACAGACAAATAAAGACGTAAAACAACATTAAAAGACAGAAATAAAACAAATAAAACAGTAAACAAATGTCACTGTGAAATCGATCGACTAAAACAGTTTCAAAACAAGCCACTCCAAGTTATTTAAGCATTTGGACTGTTTAATTAGGAACATCATCCATTTTTCATATTTCATATTTCATTGGCCATTAATTGTATTCATTTAGCTTTTGCATAGCCTCGTAATGTTTCACTTTTCTCCCTGCCAGGTCCACCGGGAGATTTCCGTGGTTATCTGTTACGTCTACGTCCGCGCCGTGCTCCAGCAGGACACGCACACTGTCCTCAAAGCCTTCGCGCGCAGAGCCATGGAGTACAGGCCGCACACCGGGTCCCGTACAGAGTGATCGGCCCCTGCGCAAAGGAGAGCTGCGACCAACTCCGAGTGTCCCATCACGACCTGCACACAATCATGCTACAACATGCATATTACATTGTGCCGTACAATCATGGAGGCGGATCAAGATTGTCCTTATCTCAACAGGGCAAACAGGCCTTGAAAGGCAACCACACACTCTTGACCTCTTGCCGATTAATTTGACTATTCGTTCAAAATAACAAAAAATGCTGTGAATAAATACCAACAACACATGAATTATGCATAAATAAGAAAAATAGAAATGATGAGCGTTGTGAGCGTCTATCTTGTAACATCTCAAAAATAAACTAGTTATGTGATAAGACATAAGTAAAGAAGTAAAATTAGATTAAAAATGTATTAAATTGTGTTGGCCTTTGTGTAATAACTTGAACACCATAAAACACATATGTCTACTCTTAGTCCATTTGAATGAGTCGTAACGATCATAATAATCTGTCCCAGAGATGATTTCCCGGTGTGGTTGTTTATTGATGTATATTTGAATTGTGGAAACGGATATACACATTTGCGGAACTTAGTCAGATAAGACAATGGATATATCCATAAGCATGTGCTCTATTCCTCATTATTATAATAATGAGGAATAGAGCACATGCTTATGAAAAGTATGAATTTTTTTCACACCTGCAGTCATAAATACATTGTAATTCTGATCTGGAGAGCAGTTCTTTTGTAGATATTTAATCCATTTATTGACGCTCCTCTTTTAATACACTTGAAGACTTTAGTAAGATTTCCATTGGCAGAGGCATTGCAAAGCTCAATTTGAATGGATTTTTGAGCCATATTTAACGAATAGGAAACGTAAAGGCTCAGAAGACAAAGAGTGAAAAAGTTGAAATGCGGCATATGCTGCTGAGTTATAGGATGGCATGTCAAGAGGACCTCCTCCTGTCTTATGCTCTCATACGAGCCTCTAATCCTCGAATCAACCGATAATATAATAGATCCACAATTGACTACCTACAGCAAAACATATCCCTAACAAACAAAGAAAATGCTTCAATGCCTCGGTGGCAGTCACAGTTGGTGCTGCAATATTACATTTTTGAAACTCTGCCCAAAATCAAACTGATGATTGGATAAACGACTATGACAACGTTCTCCATCACGTCCCACCCTGTTTTTATATTGCTTTAGTCTGATTATGGTCTGATGTCGTCAGTGACATTGAAGACCTCTCTAAGACTGTTTAAAACATCACTTTGGTGACGTGAAGGCCAATTAAATAAGAATGCACGGACATATACGATAGAGGAGTATTTTGATGAACTCCGAATCATGGATTAAGTAATCCATAATTTACATTCGATTTGATTATGGCGCCCCTCAGAGGTATAAATGAGAATAACCGCGATCCAGGATAACCCGGCAAGTTATTCTAAAATTGTAGACGGAAGGTCGGGTAAAAAAAAAAAAAGCACGAAAAGCTTAGGTGGACAAGGGGCAGTGACCCCGAGGTTGGAGGTCCAGAAATGTGCAGTGCTAGGAACAGCAAAGATACTGCGCAGAACCCTCAAGTTCCCAGGCCTCTGGTAGAGGGATAACCGCTGGCGGGGGGTGAAAGTCGCATTAAAAAAAAACAAAAAACGTTGCAAATAGTCACTCCTAACAATGCAAATACAATTCATGCATGCTGTAAATTTGATATGGTCCTGTCCGTTGGCTGAGTTATAGAGCTTAATGAGATATAAGCAATAGTTTTACATGTGTAGATAAATTGTATTCTTTCGTAAAAGCAACATTATGATGTATCCATGATTCCAGTCAAAATGCTTCAAAACATTAACAGTAGTCCACGACATCGCTTTACATCAATCCCCGGCCCTTTACGGCAGCCGTAAAGCGATGGACTTGCTCACAATAATGATACGAGACAACTGAACAATATAACCTTACTTTTATAGATTTTGGACTTTTAAATTGTGCTATAACATTTATGCATCAACGTTGTGATTGGTGATAAACTCTGTCTTGTCAACACGTTCTTGGAACATATTTGAGCAGTTGTGCCCCTCTGTGTGGCCAGGAACGACGTGAAGCAGTGGACGGGGATTGTATTTAGCCAGTCATTGCAATGGCCTCCGAAAGCGGCGATAACAACATGGACAGAGAAATGATTCTGGCTGACTTTCAGGTCTGTTTTCTGGTGTAAATATTGCCATTTGTGTGTTTATTAAATCGACTTCGCTGTCAATACGAAACCAAACTTCTAGGCAGAGAAAGCAAACCTGCTAACACCGTAAAACATGAGCCGGGGTAGCTAGCTGCTGTTAACCCCTCCAAGCTAACATACTGACAGTTTGCTAACCGAAATACAGCACCATTATGGGAAATACGATTGGATCTAGCGTATCCTGACAATATATTACAGCTTTCCCCTTCTTTAGTTTGAAACCTAAGGTTTTTTTAGTATATACTTTTCCGTTATTCATCGGGATTCATATTTCTCAGGTTGTTTACATGGCCAGGATTTCAAGGAGCCAGTTCTCATAGAAATGTAGCAACACTGCTTCAGAACTATACAGATATGGATACAACACAGTTTATTAAAATAGTGTAACCAATACAGTGGTAGTAGTGGCGATAATTAATCTAGCTAGTTAGTTTAACCCATAGCCTTGGTCTTTACTAGTACAGTACCAGACAATTTGGGCTTTTGACATGTAAAATCTAGCAATTCATATTTTTTCAGGTTATAGAAAATTATCACAATTATAGGTAGTACTTTGGTTCTGACAATTAACAATCAAATTCAGCTCAATTTTGGTTTCTAGATCCCAAACTGACAATTTCAACATTGCTCTAATATGTTCCAAGTTGAAAGACCAATGTTATAACCTGTTTAAATTGTATTATTAGTATTGTTTTTCTTTTTACAGGCCTGCACTGGGATTGACAACATTGCAGAAGCAATCACACTATTAGAACTTAATAACTGGGATTTAGTGGTAAGTGCTTTGGGACGTTATCACTATTTCATAGCAACGTGGTTAAAGACAAGAGGCTAAAGACTAAAGTAATATTGACTATTTTATATTATTCAAATCTTTACATTGAACAAAAATATAAACACAACATTTTTGTTTTTGCTCCAATTTGTCATTAGCTAAACTAAATTCAAATACGGTACACCTAAGACCATGTTTCTTAAAATTTTTTCAGAAATCTGAATCAGTTTGCTTAGCTGAAGGATAATGGAATCTCAACTGTAGGCCGTCATTCTCATTGGGTCTCGATCTGACAGTAGAGTTTTGTCGTAATTGACTTGAGTGGGCAAATGCTCACATTTGATTGGTCTGTTAGTAAATGAAGCCAAATTCAACATATTCGATGGGCCTTTTGTTGTTGTCAGCCAAAGGCACTAATGTGCTATATTTGTGCTGTCTTATCAGCATCTGCCACACAAGTCAGGTGGGATGGATTAGCAATGGAGAAGTGCTCTCTACATTTGGACAAGCATGCAAACTATATTTAAGAGAAATGGTCTTTGTATAAACATTTGTTAGATATTTTGAGTTCGGCTAATGAATATATTTATATGCCAGCATAATTTATTTTTGTTCACTGTATTGCACACAATATGAAATCTCCTAGTGTTATAAGTTCTTCTAATTCATTGAAATTCATTGCTGCAAGTTGTGCATGTGCAGGTCAAGATTCCTTAAAACAGCGTGGAAAGTAAAGCAAAACCAAATAACATCTCTTAGTGCTGTATCCTCCATATGAAATAAAATACCAAATTATTGTTTTTGACAATATATTGTATATTATACTTTATTCTAAAGAGTGGGTTCCCTTTGTATTTCTTTTAACTTACTTTGCAAGAAAAACGGATGACTCGTGCATTACAGAACAATTGAGTTGGGTTTAGACAAAGGCTTTGTCTAAAGTGGACATGGTGAATCAAGTAAACACATTTCACTACTGGACAGTCAAAACTGATCTAAAAATTAGTTATCCCGTCTTACCATTTTATGACTTTTATCATTATTCTTCCTGATTATAGATCACGACATCAGGCTAGAGAATTCCATATCTGTTACATTAGCACTATGCTCAAACAATATTATAGCATAAAACATAGTCATTATAATTCTATTAATCTGTAATCATTTATGGTCAAAAAAATCATTTAAAACAGTATTTTTGACTCTTCCTAGCACATTGTAGTTTTTTAACTCTGCTCTATTTCCTATGAATTGTACAGTATATAATTTCAAACTTTTCTTCACAAACTGGCTTTGTTAGTATAATACAACATTTAAAACGGGTTTCTACCAAACAGACACCAAATTCCAAATTAGCAGATTTTTTAATTTTGAAAATCATCATCATCTCAGGGGCGACAGTAGCTCAGTTGGTAGAGCACTGGCCTTCAGGCCAGAAGGTCGTGGGTTCAATTCCCACCTCCACACCTTCTCTGACTCCCACTGATGACTGCTGTCGTTGTGTCCTTGGGCAAGACACTTAACCCCACTTTGCCCAAAGCCCCCGCTGAAAGATCAAGGCTATGCTCACACTCAGAGAGCAGCCGTCCTCCTGTGGACTCACCACCTGCAGAGGGTCAGTGAGGGGCTGGTGCTATGAGACTTGGGTGGCATCTCTGATTGCCACCCCCCTGACCCAGAAATGGATTAAAGGGTAGAAAATGGATGGATGGATGGATCATCATCTCAATCAGATTATCCAGTCTAAAATCAAATTTATCAACATTAAGTTGAATTAACTGTTGGATTTTTCCTTCCTTTATAGGCTGCTATCAATGGAGTGATACCACAAGAAAATGGAATATTGCAAAGGTAATTCTTTTCAATTATATTTTTAAAGCTGTAATTCTTTGCATTAAAGCTATGGAATAGGTCATGTGAGCTATGCAATGTAGATAAATGTATTTGTATGCACATTTCAACCTCCATTGAACATGTCACAAAGATTTTGTGACACAAGGACGTTGCATAATAGTCTAAAACCTACTGAAAAGATCAATCTGTTACCAAACTCTATTACTCCCAAGTCAATAGAGGGAGTAAATCAGTCCACCGGTGTGACTGTGAGGCAACAGTCAAAGCTTATGATGGTGCAATTCAATTCAATTACTTGTATACTTGTATAGCCCCAAATCAAAAGTAGTTTTCTAAGAGGACTTAACAAAACCTTTGAAATTGACAACACAGACCCCCTGCATTTGCATTTTCATTTGCATTTGGGAGAAAAGTGGGAAACCTCGGATGTCCACATTGAGAGAGGGATATTCTCCACACGGACTGGCGGACTATAGATCCAGGACTTAAGCTACAGAACAGGGATCAAGGCCACGCAGCGCAGGACTCAGGTTGTAGAACAAGAGCACGTGTGGTGCAGGACTGAAGCAGCTCCCAGGTGGGGAGGGGGTGCAGCCCATAAGCCGGGTCTGGCAGTTAGTCCGCAGGTACAGTCATAGATGGGCATTGTTTTGTTTTTTTAAAGACAGGTAGTGCGTGTAGCTGGTCAGTTTACGTAGGAATTAAGCCCATTGACTCCCATGCACGATTGGGAGATGTCATTTGCAAACTGATTGGCGAGCTAATCCTAGCCGAGGTCCACCATGATTTTAGGTGAAGCGTGACACAGTCTTGGGTCCGCCTCCTAATGACGGAGATTTCTTGCTGATTATGTATGTTCTCCTCTGTCAGTCTGCCCCAGAGCAGCCATGTTTATTTCCAGGTCATTCAGAATATTGCTTCGTGTTCTTAAGGGTGTGAATGGAGGCTTGCTGGCTGCATGACAAACTGCTATCACATTTACTAAGTGGCTGGCACTGGCATCTGCCACCGTTGCCCAGTAAGCGACTCAGAAGATGTGCTTTTAGCTGATGCCAATTGAATGAGCCAAAATCAAAACTCAACCAAAATTCATCACTATTGTTCACTTTCAAGTTTTGGTATTAAAATAGTTATTCTCTTTTATCTGGAGAATCAAATTCTTTTGTCATAAAAAGGAGGCTATGAATAACCTGGACACATGCAGTCAATACAAATCTGACAGTAGTTATGTTTTCTAACAATCAAAAAGATTTACATGTATGTTGTTTATAAATTCACAGTAATTATTCTAGTCAAGCAAGTCAAGCCGACGTGTTCAGTCCTGCCGGCCAATCAGAAGCCGCAGAAGCAGAATCTGGAGGGGCAGAGCTACCACCCCCACCACCTTCAACATCGTCCTCATCATCTCCTCCATCATCTTCCTCAGCGTTTTGTCCCCTCAATGTTTCCTCCAGACACATTGTAGAACGGCAGCCTCGTATGCTCCACTTTCGGGTGGAGTACAGACAGCGCTCTGTGGAGCTTGTTGTAGATGAATCAAGTGCAGTTGGTGAGCTGAGACCTTTCAGATAGACATGAAAAAAGTAATGCAGTCACAAAAAGAAATCATAACATTCTTCGACTTCTAACCTAGGTGATATCAAACAAATTCTTGAGGCAGAGATTGGAGTACCTGTTTCCAGAATGCAACTCAAAGGATGGAAAAGCGGTGATGTCTCTGACAGTGTAAGTAGAATGTTGTTGCAGAATTGATTAACAACATGAATATTACTCCCAATAAATGTACATGTTTTTGTGTGTAACTAGACACCATTGAGGAGTTTACACCTGCCTAAGAACAACAGCCTCTATGTCCTGACCCCGGATATTGCTCCTACAGCCAGTACCAGTACAAACAGGTAACATTTTATTATTTTTGTTATTATCATTGTTATTATTATTATTACTAGTATTTTCAAGTACACACAATTTCTCCAGTATTGGCAAGAATAGTTTATAAATGAGTGTAATGACGAATAATGAACACTAGGTGACAGCAAGGGATCAAAAGTAAACTGGTTCAGTTGCACTTTTTTGTCTATGCGAATACTGACCTGGTACTTTTTCATTTCTGTTGTGACATTTTGAAAAGAGCATTCCCCACAGTGTTCATGGAACATTGTGCAAATAATAATGCCCTTTTATTTTTGTTTTTTTGTGATCTCATACAACATAAGAAGCCATAGTTATTACATGTTTTGATTTTACTGTATGATATGTCTTGGTTTTTAATCGTTTTCAAGACACACATATTTGAAACATGGATAAAATCACACTTTCAAGTTTCAAAGTTTTAAAAAAAACAATACAAACAGTAAATCATTAGAGCTTTGTAATAATGGTTTTTAGTTTTTACTTTTTATTTAAGTGTGTGAATTTCAATCCATGTCATGAGAATACAGTAGCATCTAAATTGTTATACTAATATCTGAAATAATATACTAATTGTGAAGTGGTCGAACTATAAATTAAACACAATAATTATGATTTGTAAACGTTTTTCATTTGGGATCAATTTTCTTTTATTTGACCAGCCGTATATATTTAACAGCAGCAGGCATGAACATGTAGTCCCAATGAACCTCTTTTCCTGGCGGTAAGTGGTTGTTGTATTGTGTTGGCAGCTAATGGCCCTCATCTTCCCATCTTCTCACTCCGTCACTTCCTGCTGTGTCTTTTAGCAGCGACACAGCCATTTTCATCAAGTGTTATCGATATCATTTTAGGTGTTGGGACCTCATTATTCTCTGCCAGAATTTTTCCGAGCGGTTTGGTCGGCCTAAATACAACGGGTGTCATCCTCCACATTTGCACTGTGTTATGTGTGCGTGTTTCTGTTTGGGGAAAGGTGCCAAAGTGGGTCACGGGTATCTTTGTTAGAATAATTATCAAGGGAATAGACACGCTTTTAATATGCAATTTCATGTACATAAATACCATACAACTTGATGCTTGAGAATACATTTTACACAGTCATATATTTTTTTAATGAATTTGCCAAGATTACACGTCAATTTGTGTTTTTAAATTTAAAACATGAATTTGTCATAAAAATCACCACATACTAACTCATTGTTTTTCAACCTTTTTAACAGTGGGCACACTCTTATTCTTGATCAGATTCTTTGACACACTGGCCATTATAATAAATTGTTCCAATTACGTTATGTTGTACGGACTTACTTTGACTGACTCATGTGAATCTGTAAACTCAAATTGGATTTTGCATCACACCTGGCAAGGCACACTAGTTGCAAATGAAGGTACCGTCTCATTCAATGATAAATACCCAAGCATGATTTGAACTTTGTTTTTTTTGGATATAGACTCTCAGAAATGAGAATATTGGTAGGACAATATTGATAAGTGATTCACTCCTGTGTCGTTGAATTTTACAATATTTGTCATGAATGGACAAATTGCCCCCCATGATGGATGTCATGGGGGGGCAATTATTTTCTCTGGGGGTTTACATTGGGATATTGGTATTTTATGGAGAATACCATTTCATTTAAATTGCTAAAAATGTTTGAGTGTAAGCTGTATTTTTTTTTACAGTTAAAATGTAACAAAAATGTGTGTAGATCTTCTCATAGGGAAACATGAGGTATATCTAATGTTCTCTTTGGGTTTGTGTGTTTGGTGTATTAGCTCATCTGTTGCATTTGCGGCTTTATTTTTGTTAATCTTTTACAATATGGCGAGTACTTTGAGGAAATCATTATTTTAATATGTTTTATGTCGAGCTGTATGTGGCCCTCGAGCCGTTTTTGCCCAGGTCTCGCTTACCTGTTCCATTTATGTTCTCTCGTGCTTCTAATTGTTATATTGTTACATTCCAAGACAGTGAAACATAAGGGCTAAGGTAGTGCACAGACCATGGACAGTATAGGGATGGACAATAACCTCACTGAAGTGCTCATGGCCGAAGTTTTGCTCCTACTCCCTTTGGCTCCTGTTCGCTGATATTATAAAGTAAACTCTTAGCTCTGTAATAGTTTGTCTCATCTGACATTTTGGGCTTAAAAATCTATACGTACTACACTTCATGATCCTGGTGTTTTCAGTTTAGGTTATGTCTTTTGTAAATCCAGATATGACTCCAACCGCTCTTGATTGTCTCTTTGGTTGCTTGGTGTTGCTTAGTCGTTACTACTACTACTGCCTATTGCCTGCTATTTTCATTTAGCTTCCGAGAAAACCTATGGGTAACGTGACTTCGACACTCACACGCACAATCTGGATGGCATACGTTTAATACTTACAAATACGTACACATAATATTTTTGCAACTTTAAATTTTTGATGTTTATTCATCGAACTGAAATTCTCCATTGTGAGATAATAAAGTCAGTCTCATCTCTCTTATCTCTCTACTTTCATTGGTCAATTCAAGAAATAAATACTTTACTGCTCTATTTTAACATAAGAGATCCTTTTTACAAAGATTTTTTTCTGTGACTATAGTAAGCATAAACAATATTTTACACAAAAGATGAGTTTATGAGCTGTATTTCTACTGTTCAATTTTTAAACAGTTTTTTTTTTGCAAGTCTTGTCTCTTAGTTGTAATTTATTTATTGTGGTATTTTGCTGTTCTCTCCGACCTGAGTGTTACACTGCACACTTGTAAACAAACTGACAAAGTAAATATCATATGCAAATTCTCTTGGTGTAGTGAGTTGCCTTGTATATTTTACTCTTAATTATTGCAAAAAATATTCTCACACTTTGAATGATAATCCTTTTAAGTACAAATTCAGCCCTGATCATTGTTCAGGTGTGCTCTCTAATTGTTTTAGCCTAGTTTTAAAAAGGTTTTTTCGTTGTGGCCATATTGATGAGTGCCTGTGAATACAAGTGAGTGTTGAGGAGGACCTAATCCTTTGCATAAATGATAAGGTCCTGATGAATATTTTAGTGCAGTCGTTTTTTTCTTCATTTGCTCACCGCGCTCACTCAGGGCAAGCATGTTTGCCAACGAAAGGTTATTCTAATTTAAACTTCATTTAAATAGCAAAATTATTCATTAGCTTTTGTGTTGTTATTTCAACTTCACCATGCACAGGATATGACAGCCATTTCTGTGACTGCCTGATGCTAACTAGCCCTTAGCTAAAGCAAGGTTAATAGACAGGAAAACACATAAGATGATTATGAAGATGGAAGAGCAAAACAAAACCGCTCCTGAGCGCTTTCGATTTCTGCTGTGTTGTGGGTGCAAAATGTGGAGGAGGTAAGGGAAACATGTGTTAAGCTGACTTGCTGGTTTGTTCTTCGTGACTGGTGTTGCATTGGGAACAATGTGTACGGGTATTTGTGTTTATCAGGCACATGTCACATTGTGTGTTCGCTTGTGTCTGGCACTGCTAGTTTAATAAGGTCTAGAGTCTGCTCTGTGCTGTGGGGACTCGCAGCTTAAGCAACAGACTTACCTCAGAATGAAACCAATCTGTTTAGCCTGTTCTCTTCCCCTCAAAAAGAACATTTTTATTAACCCTTAAAGTTAAATGCAATGGCATTTCACTTAACATTTCCCTTTGTCAACTTTGTAATTTTGCTTGTTAAATGTTTCAGATAAGATTGAATGAAATGCATTGTGAAGATATGAATCTATAATTAAAACAAGTATTCCACTTCCAAACTATAACAACATGCAGGCTAATATTTTACTGAAAATATTATCTGAAATCCAGCTTGAAACTCTTTTCAGGGGCCCAGTGGGTTGCACTCATGCCTCACATCAAGACGCGGTTCGTTTGCTGTGCCTGCTTGGGCCTTTCTGTGTGCAGTTTGCATGTTTCTCCTTGTGTACTCCTAGTGGCATTGAAGTGTTGGTCAAACGCAGTGGACGAATACCATACCTCACTGTACCCTACCTTTTCATGTGGAAAGATTTGGTCAGATGATTTCGCTGAGCAGTGCACCTTTTCCTATCAGATTACCCTCTATTAGTTTTTGCTGGCAAGGAAAAGACTGAACCAAGGGCTATGTCCAAACATAATAATGATATTTGATTGATCCTTATTTATCTGCAGACATCTTTTTCTATCTTGCAGCGTGTCCTGCCACTCAACCCATTACATATGCATCCAGCCTTTCCTCTCCCCACATTTCCAATCTTCCTCAGTTAGCTACAACAAACATTACATTTACATATTGATTCCGTAGTTTTAGTCAATGTAAATATGCTGTCATTACAGTAAATTTGAGCTTCTGTTAACATAAGCTCGTCCAGATCTGCACAGATTAAGAGTGTGATTGCATAATTAATATGTGTGCTACATATTAATACCCCGATCTCGATGGGTCCCTCTTCTGTTCCTGCTCTCTTTGGGTTCTGAGCCCTGATTAAGAGGCTGCTTCGGCCTCTAAGCCTCCCATTGATATTCAGTCTCACAAACCAGGAGTTTGCGCAAAACGCTACTTAACCCCACAGCTGATTGTGAAAAAAGCATCTAAAAGTTGTCTCCAAATGATCTGGTGATATCTCTGTTAAGTAGAATTGTATTTGTTTACATTACTTTTCTCATATGTTAACTTGGTTAAGTTGAATGATACTTAATAAAATAGATGTACTATTTATTTAATTTCTATAATATACATATCATTATGAGGAACATTTTGTGTTGGGTTTGTTCGCAGTACAGTCTGATAGGTACCATGCTGTTTGGGTGCAGGTGGTCACGGCTGTAGTAGCCCCCTGTGATAAACACTGCTCTGACCAGGCATGTTAAAACACAATCAGTGTGCCCCAGAGAACCGCTCTGTTCTCTCTGCCTGTAGGATACAAGATGTTAACAAGTTTCAGCCTGCCTTTTATCAGATGTGGATGTTGTAATTGCTAAAGCTCTTTGACCGGATTTTCTTTGATATTCTTTCTAAAAATACATTTTTATTTATTTAATTACCCTATATCTTTCTTTCTATGCAGTGCTCTACAAGATTCATTAAACCAGAACTTTCTCTTGGTCATCAGTCATCGTGAGGCTCAAAGGGACTACAGTCTAAACTTCCCCGGCTCCAGAACTATACAGGAGGTATGTAACTGATACTATAACATTTTATATTTATATAGTTTCTATCCCAAAAAACGGCAGACATCCTTTTTGCCCAGAGTGCTAGTCTGTCCTCAACACGGATTCATTATTCATCACAAATGATCACATTTCTGAGCACATAATTACTCTCACAGCTGCGCCTCAATACCCCCCTCTTCTCCTTACTCCTGTAGTCTGTGTCATTCTCCAATTCGCCTGACTTTATTCAGACTGAGACGCAGTCTAAATGAGTGAATATTTGGTTTAGTCATTAAGCTAGGAAGACACTGCCTATCCAGTACATTTAGTAGCTTATTAAAGATTTAGTTTCATACCTGTTATGTATATCCATCCCTAATGTAATGTTGAAGTACTTGAATTTACCCCAACCTTATTTTTCCTGCAATAATCAACTGAACAGACAAACACAGAAAATGTCCTGTCAGAGGTCAAAGAACATACTTGTAAACTGCTAAATAGAATGTTATTATTAACGTACTAACAGTAATAGTAGTGATCTAAATATTCCTCAAAAAAGGAGAAGGTACATCTTGAGTACTGTGTAAATCTGATTTGTGTTTTGTCTTAAAACTTTCAGGTTGCACCAGAAGCACTGATAAGCGGTTGTTTGGAAAAGTTATTAAATTAGTTAGAATATAATAGTCACAACCCTCACATCTCCACACTTGGATATAACTTATAACTAGTTCTCCTTTACACTCTTCTTCAGATCGTGTTGGTGTTGCTGCTAGGTGTGAGTGTTGATGATGCTATGACCATGATAAAAAAGGCTGCTTGCAGAGCGTGTAATGGTGCTAATTGATATTAGTTTGACCAATATCTGAACCAGAACAGGAAATATTCTTGGATCTTTCCTCTGCCTTCTTTGCCTTTCCCTCTTTTCTCAGGCAGATGGTTTTGATGAACACCCACTGTGAACCTTAAGTGTTTCTGCTGGGATTACAAACACTGGGGAGGTGTCCCTGCCATGTGGGAGGGGACACTGGATGCAGAAACAGGGCAAAGGACTGTTGGCTTGGTGGGGGTGCTGTAACAGGCCATAGGGGATCGAGAAGGAACAAGAAGGCTTTTAACAGCCCTTCATGTTGCGGTCTATTTCTTACGCATGCTTGTCTTTAGGCTTCCAAAGAACTCATGCGGTGTGAATGAGGCCTATGCTTTAACCCGCTTCCAGCACGCTCATCATCTCCTGATTACATTGCTAGGGCTGTATTTTGACATCTCGCAGAGCACAGCATAGAATGTGTATGTAAACTATAATCTCTTAAATTATTATTTGTTAGTTAACTGTTGATTAGTATTAGCAAACATTGCCAGATAGCCGGGATTGTATCCCAGCCAGAGACATCTTGTTACGCGAACATGTTTTTTCTGTGTTTAGATCCTTATAGAGAAAAATGCATGTTTCCCGTGGCGTTGGCCCATAGCAGTTGGGACGTTTGCATCACCGTCATCCGACCTTCAGATAACCTTAACATAAAGTGGATAAACACTGAATAGCTCAGGTTTAATACAATAAACTGTCAAACGTTTTGTATATTTCCAAAGGACACAAGACCATCAATACATTTGTGAAAGTAACAAAGAAGTAACACCATAATGAGCCAGCCACTGTGTCCAGTCATGATGCATATGGACCTGATTGCTGAGCATCTTTCTTTCCCTATTTTCTCTTTGTCTCTGCTGTAGACCAGAGGATGGGCCCTGATTGTGCATATCAATAGGCACAGTCCTGTCTTGTTGTTTGTCTTTGCCTAAGGCTGTAGCTTTGCCTTGTGTCTCTCTTGAAGCTGCCTTGGCGCCTCCCTTTCCATCCACCTTTTCTGGATCTTACTACTTTCTTCTCCATCGCTGATGCACAGTAGTGTGTAGACTCTGATTGGCATTAACAGACAAGAGTGAGGGGGTAAGTTCCTGGCTTGCTCCTCACATAAGCTGCAAAGCAAATGTTTGCCAGGCAAGTAGAGGGTAGAATAGAATAGCTGCTGGTCCCGAAATGTCCGTGACCAGACCAGTTGTTCTGGGGATTTCCTTCCTCTGCTGCCCCCCAGGCCTTGTGCTCTGCCTTGCAGCTGGGCGACACAGGGACCAATGGAATATGGCACTGCTAAGAGAATAAAAGAGGGCAGATCAGAAAGGATTCAAAGGAAAGCATCTGGTGCTTAATGGACAGAAATAATGAGAATGAGAACTTGACTCTTTAACGGAAACCTTTTGCTTCTTTTTATTTGCTTCCAGTCAGGGATTATAGGAAAGAGCCATTTATTTTCTCTTTATTTTTATTTTTAATTAAGTTGAAGTTTCTTGGAATTGAGTCACAGCTATTGCTGTTTTATAAGCATTTTAGATCTAGCCATGAAAAACTTGAAATCTCTATGTATACATATGAAATAATAATACTTTGGTTATTTGCCCTTTTGTTCAATTTATTTGAGAAGGTTGACCATCCCTGGATAAAGTAGAAGAAAATGTATCAAAGAGTTAGTTTATGTGCAAGCCGACAGAGTGCAGCACAGGGTGGTATAAAGAATCTTTAGGCATGTTAATACTCAGTTTAATTTATATATTGTAAACATGCTTTAGCCTCCAGTAAAATTTCAGATGGATGTGGCCGATGATGCTTCTGTGGGCTGGTCTGTGTTTTCCTTCTTTGGTGCAGTTAGTTTGTCTTCTGCCAGGAACATTTTATTGTCCTTCCCCACAGGTTTCTCGCTGAGGTGGGTGTTAAGTTTGTTGTTTCTGTGATGCTTCTTTAACCTCTGACTGCAGACTGTTCATTACTAGTGTTTATGCCTCTCATTCCTTGCCTCTTGTGCTCTATTCATAGGCCGGCCAGCCGGTCAGTCAAATCCCTGTAGTGCGGCTGGTCAAACAGTGATATTACACTCTGTAATAACACTGGCCACCCGCTCTGACCCCAGTCTGCTCTCTTGGCCATAGCTCCTCTTCATAAGGGCTGGGTCTCACTAGTATGCTGTAGGATTTACAATAGAAAGATGACTACTTTTTATTATTTCTGTTTATCTCAGTTTGTCCTTTTCTATTGCTTTCTTGTCTTTTATCTCTTTAAAAAAAAGTAATTTCTACAGAACATTACCTTTATGAATCAGGATCAATTTATTGTATTCTTTACATTACATTACATTCTCTTTATCTATATTACAAAACACATAAGTACAATCTCAACTCTTGGGTACATGTATCTGCTTGTGTGAAAGTCAGTGTTCATTTCTACTAGTTTGCTGCTTTATGTTTGACATTGGCTTTGACTTTGTATTTGTAACGTTCTTAAAGTTTCCACATCCATGACCCAACAGTTCTGCTTTGCTCAAGGATCCATCTCTCCTTAGTTCTTATTTCAAAAGCAGGATTTGGCCTGTGTGTGGGGATCTACACATCTACAATAGATAGTTTTCTCAGCATCAGTGTCCAGCCGTGGACGCCTGAAGGCGAGAATTCAACCAAATAAGCACACTAGAGCCACGGCCGCCAGCACTCAGACACCGGTAGAGCTTTGATCAGGCTCGGCTGGCGCACATCAGCTTGGCACTGAGGCTTTAAACCACTGTCACTGAAGAGTAATTTTGCACTCGGCAGGCTTGGAGCTGTTTGCCCCTAACTGTTTAATACTCTATACTGAAAGTAAATACAACTGATTCATGCGGATATGTGCTCTACTCCTTATTATGGTAAAAATAAAAATGCAAGGCCTGACAAAAACTACCAGAACTCATGTATTTCTCTTGCCATCTCAATATTCAATGAGGAGAATGTTAACAAATGTATTTTCTTACTTTTTCATACAGGTGAAGAGAAATATTTCAGACTTGACGAACATCCCAGTACGACATCAACAATGGGAAGGATGGCCTACATCTGCGTCAGATGACTCTGTAAGGATAAATCTTCTCCTTCAACATTTACTCCACACAAAGTAATGGTATATTGCATAAATTTCTCATGGACAATAACTTCTGAAAATATGGGCAGAACCTCCACTATATACTATATATTGTGTTTAAAGTCTAAATCCATCTACCCTCTATATGCTGTTGGAGAAAATGAAGATGTCAAAGGCAGTGGAAGGCAATGTCGTATATCTGTAGACATTAAAGCTCTCATCATTGAGTCCTTATGACCTCTCTCATCCCGGGGTCGTTCTTCCCAGCCATTCATCCTAAACACAGTCAAGCTGATCTGAAGCAGTCCTCATACTGAACCCTGGGGAACCTTTGACCCCTTTTGTCCTGGCCTTTCTTTGACAACATATGTGTTCCCATACTAATTGTTTAGTATGTTTATCAAGCTACACTCAGTAGCTTTAGTGCACACATTTTTGTGTTAAACCGTCTCCTGCTTAGGTCTAAATGGAAAACTTCAGCTCAAGAGTTAAGTTTTAACATTGCTCTTAGTCCAATACTTTGTCTACTTTTATTTCCAGTGTGGTTCCTAACCCTATTGTCTCAAATATTCCCTAATCTTTACATATTTCCAATTACCCTCACCACCTGGAGCTTTCTATTTAATATTTTTTAGGATCCAGTGAGCATCCTTTTTGCTAAACCTTATGAGTGGGAGTGAAAGAATGAATAAAACGGTGATTGCTTCTGATTATTTTATATCTCTTGATTATTTTCTCTACAAGCTATAATGAACACAATATCATGGATTTTAAAACTTATCCTTCATGAAATGAAGCCTTTTATTTTTTGTAGGGATTTTGGCATCAAACGCGTGGTCAGCACCTGGCTAATACACATCGGCAGTGTAGGTGTATTGTGGATGAGAAGATATTAAAAAGCAGTGAGACAGAAGTGTAATAATGGTTTGTGCTGGGGCCACAGCTCCCTTATTGAAACGTCTGAAGGTATTAACAGAGAAATCCTTGGCTTGGCTGGCTTGGTAGGTGGGGAGCCAGTGTTGGTGTCTAGCTCATTAGCCCTGCCGCATCTCCTGGGGCGTGCACCAATAAAATGGCATGGAGAGCCCTTTGTTTCAGCCCTTCACTTTTTATACTCACTTTACTCACTTTACTCGTTTTACTCGTTTACTAACACTCTACTGTGTACTTCATTTTTTGAGAAAATACATTTACAAATATTTGTTACCAGATATTTTGGTGTGGTCACGAGTGACCTATCCAATTTTGGTATCCAAAACTGGGCCTTCTTTGAGTATTGCATTAGTGATATTCCGATATTGATACTTCATTAAACAAATAATAGTAAATTTACTTTATTAATATATTTAGGGTTATCAAGTATCAATACTGAGCCCTTTGATCTCTAGCGGTACAGGTCCCTGGATGCACCAATAACCCACAACTTTGAAACAAGTCGGCAGAAAGAATATTGTCTTAATCTTTCTGTGAGATATCAATGACGATCCAGTATCTCTGCTCCCTTTTAACCATCGCAGTTACTTCTGAAACAGAAACCTCCTCACTAGAGATGGATCGATATGGTCTACAGTGCCTTGCGAAAGTGTTGCGCTAATACTTTGTAGCGCCACCTTTTGCTGCAATTACAGCTGCAAGTCGCTTGGGGTATGTCTCTATCAGTTTTGCACATCGAGAGACTGGAATTCTTCGTTCGATTTTGGTTTCATCTGACCAGAGCACCTTCTTCCACATGTTTGGTGTGCCTCACAGGTGGCTTGTGGCAACCTTTCAAACGAGACTTTTTATGGATATCTTTGAGAATATCTCTGATCAGTCTTCTCCTTGTTTGAGATGAAAGTTTGGAGGGACGGCCGGGTCTTGGTAGATTTGCAGTGGTCTGATACTCCTTCCATTTCAATATAATTGCTTGCACAGTGCTCCTTGAGATGTTTAAAGCTTGGGAAATCTTTTTGTATCCAAATCCGGCTTTAAACTTCTCCACAATAGTATCTCGGACCTGCCTGGTGTGTTCCTTTGTCTTCATGGTTCTCTCTGCGCTTTAAACAGAACCCTGAGACTATCAAAGAGCAGGTGCATTTATACGGAGACTTGATTACACACAGGTGCATTCTATTTATCATCATCAGTCATTTAGGACAACATTGGATCATTCAAAGATCCTCACTGAACTTCTGGAGTGAGTTTGCTGCACTGAAAGTAAAGGGGCCGAATAATATTGCATGCCCCACTTTTCAGTTTTTATTTGTTAAAAAAGTTTAAATAATCCAATAAATTTCGTTCCACTTCACGATTGTGTCCCACTTGTTGTTGATTCATGACAAAAAATTAATTTTTATATCTTTACGTTTGAAGCCTGAAATGTGGCGAAAGGTTCAAGGGGGCCGAATACTTTCTCAAGGCACTGTATATGTTGACTGATGCAGATTTATTGCCTTGACCGGCCGATATAAATGTTGTATTGTTTAACCTGTTTCAATTTCTTTTTTTTCTTCTTTTTTACAGTTTTGCATGCTTTTTTACAGAGTATTTTCCATATGCCGTATGTTACACTCCAAATATGTCATATAACATTAGTAAACCGTTAGTTTAACAGGCACCTACTTTTATTTAAATACAGAGGGAAACTTTTGTGACTGGTGTAAGCCACGGTGATTAGTTCAGAATATTACCGCGGTTTTCCTGTGTCCCTCAGTCTTGCTCCAGCCCCTCACTCAGTGCAGTGTTTACTGTCCTCTGCAGATGTATTTTAGCGTGTATGTAAAGCTTTGAGAGCGCTTCGATGCTCAGACCGTACCCCTATGACAAATATCACACAGGTTTGAGAGGACCCCTGTTGATCAGCCCATCGGCTCTCAGCCCAAAGAGTCAAATAGTGGCTTTCTCGTTCTTACAAGTATGCCAATCTCTTTTTTATTAATGTAAAGACTGCCTGCTGTGATTTGAGTTGCTCACTCACTACATTTTACTTTTGCAAGACTGTTATTTTGTATTATATGAAAAAGCTAGGTGCCCCATCTTTTAATATCAACATTCCTGCCATTCTCTGAACAGTAAAGATCTCTACTGTAACGGCTAATGGTCCCAACATTGTTTTGTTTAAAATAACCTAATATACCGCTAATGTCAATCTGATTAGTTTACAAATAATTTGCGGTTTACTTTTTCAAATTCTTGTGACCATCTATAGATTCAATCCTGTCCTCTTTTCCCATGCTGAGCTGAACACACTTTGATGGGCATTTGGGGCCACTCGAGTAGATGTGATTGACAGGTCAAGGGAGATCTTTATTAGATCCACCTTCCCTGCACGCTTTCATCCTGCTCTCCTCCAAGCCAGTAATTGCTGACATTTATGCAGTGTTTCTTGGTGTTTGCTAATGTATTTGTGCTGCATAGCCATGATGTGGCTTGCCTTGCTGAGAGCACCTCCTCTCTCCAATTCCCCACTGGCCTCTGGCATATATGCACTTGACTAACTGATATAGCCTGATATATCATGACTTTATTGAGTAGTGGTTTTATTATGTTTCTACTGCATAATCCATTGTGCTATCTTTTATTTGCCCCCTCCCTCTTTTTTAGCTGTGATATTGCTCCAGGTGAATTGGAAGCTTGAAGTTTAATGCAGGAGTGTGGAGGAGGCTTATGTGTATTTGTGAAACCCTCAAAAGAATAAAATTGTGGTCGAAGTTCCTGTAGGTTCCAGTAGTAATTATCTCACATTCACAGCTAGTTGGCTAATCCACACAGGCCCAACATAAGAGAGGGAAAAAAACATAAACTAAAAAGAAAATAAGGGAGTGAAGTAAGAGAAAAAGGAGTGTGGAGAAGGGTGCAAAGACTTGAAGAGAAAGGTGGTGGGGTCATGAACAGAGAATTCCTTTCCTGAAATTGGTTCCTGGATCCTTGAAGCCTCTATGTAAGTGTTAATTAAAAGAATCCAAGAAGAGGGGCCAATGCTTTTCTGTGGAGATGTGGGAGCGGGTCTTTCAAGAAGGGTTAACCTCACTCCCCACCCCCTGTGCCCTGCGGCGATTCAGCCTTGTTTCCACGTTTTAGCACTGAGCCACCAAGCTGCACTTGTGTACCTCAACATCAGGGAAAGCCATTGGGTCAAAGCAAAGAAGAGGTTTGAGAGGCACTCAACCAGTCCCCCACTTTTTTTTCACCTTGCCTACTTGCATACATGACAGCCCAAACCTCTCAAGCTGGCTTTGACAAGGGAAGTGATCAACTTTATTTATACACTTATCAGGCTCTTAGCCCAAAGCCCTCCTTATTCAGCTTTGGTTGGAGCAGGGTTTCTCAAGTTGATTACCACTTCAACTGCATGTGAAGAGCGAAGCATTCAAATTATTTATTCATATTGTTAGAAGTCAATTCACCAGTATTTTTAAGAATAGAATAGGCTTTCAGTGCAGGGATACGAGTCATGTGAGCCATAACCACCACATGTTATTCTATAAAAGAAACTGCACACAGTTGAGTGGAGGTTAGTGCCCATCCATACAATACATACTTTTATCTTCCACAAGTATGAGAAAAATCTTTGAAATCAACAAATGAATGGTTGAGGCTTAAAAATCTCTGGAGAGAATCTTTCGAAATGTACAGCTATTATAAGGGTTCTTTGCTTGTTAGTTGTGACTCGGACTCATGTGACCCAAAGGTTGGAAAAGGTTGGAAGTTGTGTTAAATTCTGCATTCTTATTTTCATTTTGATTTTTTGCACTCAAAACCTTTCATATGGATTGAAGGACTTATTATGTGCTGTATTTCACAAGTTACTGTATTCAAAGACTGGCCGTTGTCGTTTTATAGACAAAATCCGGAGTGTATTTTCGCAGGCCATTGCTTTATCTTCTAAAGACAACATGTGGTGGGGCCTCAGCTGGATGTTATTCATTTTTTATTTATCTGGGGAGAACCACTTTCTTCATATCCTCCATTTCATTATTGAAGTGGTGGGAATTGAAAACACAGTGGTCAATAGAATAACCCATTTCACTTTAAATCTGCTCACTTACAGGCTCAGTAAACTATTAACTTACTCCTCCTCAGTCAGCTTGATCAGGTTTCTTGTAGGGCTGGGCAATATGGCAAAAAAGTAAAATCTCGATTTTACTATCAGCTTTGGACAATTTCGATTTTTTATCGATTTTCATTAAAGTCGCCTAAGACAGACTTTGCCCGTAAAAATATTTTTTTATTATTCCGCTCAATATTCAAGTTTCAAAACTATTTCTAATTTGTTTCCCCAAATGCATATTATAAAAGTCTTGTACAGACTGCGCTGATATTGCAAGTATAATTCTTGTGCTGCTGGAACTCACAATATCCTTCATTAAATTTCACGATTTTCAAATTTTTCACAAATTAATTTTTTTTCAAAAGCCGATTAATTGCCTAAATTTGCCCAGCCTAATTTTCTTGTATATTTTGTTTGGTGTTTTTGGTGTATGCAAAAAGCTGTGTATGAACAACTTTCAGGGATACTGGAGCTGTGCCACTTTTCTTCTGGGCCATTGGGTTTGTCACATTTTTGACAATATATGTAGAGTGTTAATAGATATGCTTTCATAGACTGCTTGTCAGATCGTTGGCTTCTTATCAGCATATAGCACACAGTTGGACATTGGTCTATTCTATGTTGTTGACAAGGTTTAGCGGTTACACTGTTCTGTCTGGATAAAGATGTGAAAGCCAACATTAAGGATCCCCATTTAGGAAAGAAAAGAAGTAACTCTCCATGTAGCGCTATTCAAACTCAATTGGCGTTGCGTTTAATCGTATCTTGATTGAAGCATGTCCAGCTGTTCATTGTGTGCCATAAAGCCTCACAATGGAGCACATCACAGGACCTCTGCAGGGCACAAGAGGCTTCATTGCTTATCTCACCAAGGCTGCCTCATCTCTATTGTTCACAAGTTAATTCTCTCAGAAACTATGTGCATCTGCTTACCTTTTAAAATACATAAACTATAACTGCCTTCAATCATGTATCAAACTGGATGAGTTGTACCATGTTGAACAATTGTTGAATCGAACCTGTTTCTCAAGCAATTTATGAGCTGGGACAAATACTGTTTTTTTTGGACACTAACATCTGCACATGATGCCTGTTATTATAATGTGAGGAAAGGTTAATTTACACCAAAAAGCACAATCAGTGTTACATATGTTGTCGAGGTCCCTTCTGGTTTGACAAAGATCCTTCTCTTATAATGAGTCCCCATTGAATACAGGAATTTCCTCTTCACTTTGGATTTGCTCATTAGGCTGATGTTTTTCCCCTTATAAACTATTATATCAAGTAACATGTGTTGACCAATTGTTGGCACAGATGTATTAGTTTACTTTAGTTTATTTTGTTTCAAATTCACTTAGACAGGACACTTCATTTGGAAATCAAATCACATCAAGTACATGTCAGCATCTGTTACCTGGGAAGCTCTTTATTTCTTCTGTTACATCACATACAGTCTGCACAGTGGGAGATATTATTTTTGTCTATTTGTTGATTGTTTGAATATCTGAAGCAAATATTTATGAAGCAAAACAAAGTTAAGTGTTGGTGTTGGTATTATTAAAATGTTTGACACCTATATTTTCACTATTGTTGCAAATTAATATAGGCTCTATATCAATTATTGGCCTCATTGAATAATATCAGTATCGGCTCTGAAAAGAACATATTGGTCTACCCCTTGTTTAAATGTTACTTTTTATGGTTGCAGAATGTAAATTGGTAATTAAACCCATATTGCATGTCGTGTGGATCTGGTATTGGCCCCTCTTCTCTGACAACCTTCTTCGAACACCCCCCTCAGAGCACTCATTAGATCCATCCAAAACAAACTGTATTCTAAACACTTATGTTTATATACAATGGCAAAAAGCTAGTTTAAACGCACTCCACACTTTGTGAATATATAATTGTCTACCACTGCCTTGACCACCTGCTCTGATTAATTCCTTTTCGTACTTTGTAATAATAATTAATCAAGTATTATTATTTTTATTTTTCGATTATTAATTTAATGTTATTTTTATTGTGAAATACTATGCAAGCTACTGTGACAATGCAATTTCCCTTGTGGGTCAATAAAGTGTGTTTAATGATGACTAAATTCCCTTTTTTGTGCATTTGTAGATGACACTAGCTGCTTCGGGTATTAGTTATCCTTGCCATCACCTCAGTGTTTGTCGGAGATCATCACCAGCCAATCCTCAGGAGCCATCAGAAGAGGTAGGACAACACACTTTTTGTTCCCTAATGAAGGTGCGTTCAGATCAAGGCACTGCTAATGTGCCACATGACTCTTGTTGGATTAAAGGGTAGAAAATGGATGGATGGATTATTTTAGTAGTTTTGGATCAACAACCAGCGCACATTTTCCCTGCATGTGTTTGTTTAGTCTCTTTCCTTTCTTTATCAAAGCTGGCCAATGAATATGCATGACACAATACGAGCATTCGATTTAATGAATATTGAGAGTAGAAAAATCTTCTCAGTGTGATGCTTTTGTTTGCCTCTGTGGATTTGTGGCTATTACAAAATCATAATTAATCTCATTAATTGATTGTTAACTCACGATTAATTGTACATTTCCTTCTACTCTAAATCCCTTGTTTTGGTTTGCTTTTATTTATTCAATCCCCTCCAAAAAGAACGTATTTGGATTGTCAAATGTAGGATACTCGATCTCTGAATGCTTTTGTTGTTGATTTTTACAGTGTGTAGAACTATTTAACAGAAATATTTAGTGACTCGAATTGTCTGATAAAGGCTCCTCCTTTGTTTGTTTTTATTCATGTCAGTTGTTTTTTTTTTTTTTTTTTTTTTTTTTTACAGCGTATGTGATTATCACGCACAGTGAAAATAACTACGTTTGGGCTGTGATCGTGAGATAGTTGTGATAACTGATGGACGTCCAGTAATCAGTAATGAGGGTGACTGATTTTAAAGCGGAAAGACTTGCACAGTGCCGCACGTAGGAGTTTGGGGGGCATGCACAACGCAGCGAGCCGCGCTGCTAGGCGCCTATCAGCCCAAAATATAACCCACATGTGTTTTTGCTGCACCGTGACGCTGTTTTCAGTAACAATGCATAGGAAATATGCTTGTGCTAATGGACTTGTTTTATTAGAATTTGACAGGGATTTTGGATATTTAAATATTTTTTTTATTTTAGTCTCACATCTGACCAAACCAGCCACAGAGACCATGTGAGGACAAACGCATACATCTGACTTTTGCTGCTGTATAGTGGTCCTCTGGCATGTTCTGTCCTCCACACTTATCCATAGACTTCACTGGGAGAGGAGCTGTCGTTGTGTATGCGTGCCTCAAGCCGTGAGCCTACCATGCTTTGTTTCTGGTCCAGCTACAGTAGATTTTATAGTGTTACTAGTTGTCGCAACACCATGTGAAAAAAGTGTGCTAGGCCAAAAAGGACATTAACCGTGCAATAAAAAAATGGACGCCGTTAAAATGGCTTTGCATTAACGTAAATAATGGTGCATTGAACTGACATCATTACATTAGTGCTCTCAAACGAATACAATATATATTCGCATTAATGTCATAGTTAGCTCATGATTAATCGCACATTTTCCCCTGTTCTAAATGTTTCTTGATTTGGTTTGAAAAGGGATTGGACTAAGAGCTTATAATAATCCAAAACTCTCCAAAAAGAAAGTATTTGGATTGTTTAGGCTACTCAAAATCTCCATGGTTTTGTTATTGCATTTTATGGTGTATAGAACTACTTAACACAGTAGAAATGACTATGCCTAAAAATTAGTGCTGTCCAAAATATCGCGTTATTAACGCGTTAACGCAAATCAATATTAACGGCGTCATTTTTTTTATCGCCATTAATTTTTTTTATAATTATTAAAAAAAAAAAAAAAAAATTTTTTTTTTTTTTTTTTTTTTTTTTTTTACTTTTTATTGCAGACAAACACATATACAGAAAAAAAATAGACACAAAGAAAAGGACTAGTTAAGATACATTGTAGACAGAGATTACAAACAATATGTAGTTGGAGATACAGGGGGCCAAAGAAGAAACCCAGAAGGGCACATAGGAGGGGGGGGGGGGGACATGAAGTGGGAGATGGGGGGGAGGGGTTAATAAAAAAGGCAATACAAGCAAACAGTATACAGTCATAGATATACCGAAAGTAAACAGAGAAACACTATAGAGTATTTACATGAACAAATTTACAAAAAAATTGTTTATCATCATCATAATGACACCATGATGTTTCTATACAGTCTATGGTCTATACCCACACATACACACACCCACACACACACACACACCCACACCCATAAACACACACACTCCACACACACACACACATTGAAGGGGCTTTTTGTTACCAATTATTTATTTTGTCATCCATTTATTGATGATTTTGCATCAAATGTTAGTGTGTAATATAACACTACACATTGTTTTCAATAAAAAAAAGAAATTGCACACAGCACGCAAATGGGTGACTAATTTGCGATTAATCGCGAGTTAACTATGAAATTCATGCGATTAATCGCGATTAAATATTTTAATCGTTGGACAGCACTACTAAAAATGCCTCCTCTTTTTTACGGTTTCATTCAAGTCAGATGGATTTTTACAGTGTATGACTGTCATGCACAGTGTAAATAACTATAGCTTCAACGTTTGGGCTGTGACCTGGATAGTTTTGCCTTATGTCCCCGACACAGTGCTAGGAACAATAAAGATATTGCGCAGAAACCTCAAGCTCCCTGGCCTCTGATCGAGGACCCGAGTTTAGAGAGGGATAACCACCCGCTAAGGGCGAGGAAAAAGAGTGTGTGTGTGTGTGTGTATATATATATATATATATATATATATATATATATATATATGCAACAAAAGTGTAAATATAAAAAAAATTATAATAATGTGCGTTGTTTCTATAAAAAAAAAAATATCTAAACTAATATATTTTTTATCGTGCTACATAGCAAAACTGAATCAAATAAAACCTTTCAAAACATGTCAACACAAATCCACCTAACAAAATAACTTGTTTTAGAGAACAGCTCAGTTATCACTTAATGATAACATTTTGGTGGTTGATGTGCGATGGAAAGCCTGGATCGGCCTCGTTACATCCACTATAGACTTCCATGTAAAGCATAATGCTATAGTCTGAACGTACTACACTCAGTATCCAGGTATGTTCCCTGTCTGTGCAGTGTGCAGATGTACATATGATCAGCGACAGTGAGGGTGATGACTTTGAGGATGCCTCCGAGTTTGGTGTGGACGACTCAGAAATGTTTGGAATGGGCTCCTCCTCGAGTAGTCGAAAATCACCCATGAGTATGTCCTGCCAGTGATTCATTATGTTGTCGTATTAGGCTTCACACATTGATTTGTCATTTTCTATTTCTTAGTGCCAGAAAACAGTGAAAATGAAGCTGATGCCTTACTGCACTTTACTGCTGAATTTTCTTCAAGGTGAATTTTGATATTTTATTCTGAAATTGTTTGCATGACTGCCAGCATTAATAGTTATGGTCATTCTTTTGACTGCAGGTACGGAGAGAATCATCCCATGTTTTTCATTGGGTCTTTGGAAGCAGCGTCTCAAGAAGCCTTCTACGGCAAAGCCAGAGATGTAAGTATTATGGTTTAATAGTGTAATATTGTAGTCTCTGGATTATGTAAGGCAAGGCAAGTTTATTTATATAGCACAATTCATACACAAGGCAACAAAACAAGAAAGCATTAAAATCATAAATAATCACAGAACATTAAAAAGAAAGATAAAAGTATAAAATCCCTCAGTTGTATGCACAGCTAAACAGAACTGTCTTTAACCTGGTTTTAAACATTGTCAGAGAGGAGGCCTGTCTCACATCTTCAGGAAGACTGTTCCAGATTTTAGCAGCATGAATCTGAAAAGCATTCTCCCCATGTTTAGTTCGGACTCTGGGCACTAACAGGAGTCCAGTCCCTGTGCTCCTCAGAGTCCGGGCTGGTTCATATGGGACTAACATGTCACTAATATATTTTGGTGCGAGGCCATGGAGAGACTTGTACACAAGCAGAGCTGTTTTAAAGTCTATTCTCTGAGCCACAGGAAGCCAGTGCAGAGACCTGAGGACTGGACTAATATGGTCGTACTTCCTGGTTCTAGTCAGGACTCCAGCTGCTGCATTTTGAATGTACTGCAGCTGTTTTACAGCCTGTTTGGACAGACCTGTTAGCAGGCCATTGCAGTAGTCTAACCTACTGGAGACAAATGCATGGATAAGAATCTCCAAGTCTGCTTTAGACACTATGTTTTTGATCCTGGCAATGTTTTTTAGATGGTAAAAAGCTGCTGATGTTACTGATTTGATGTGGCTGTTAGAATTTAAGTCTGAGTCCAGTATTACCCCTAGATTTCTGACCTTGTTTGAAGGTTTTAGGGAGAGAGACTGTAGGTGACAGATGACGCTCTTTGTTTCAGATTCAAATTTGAACATTTGGTGGTGATGCTTCTATTAAAACTGCATTTCCTGAATTTTGGTCAAGCCAAGTTTCAGCCATGAACATAAGATCAAGATTATGAGAACAAATAAAATTATTGATTAAAAAAGACTACAAAGAGATCTGACATTAAGCGTAGCAAGTTTCAAAGTTTGACAATATATAGAACTTCCACATATTGTTAAAGGTTTTTTTTTCTTATCCCTGGATGGGTGAAGAATTGCCAGGTGTACTTTAGTAAAATGTTTGTTTTCTAATTACTGATATGGACATTTATGGTAATTTAGGCAGAAATCCGAAACTGATAGTAATACAATTCTTTGTAATACATATTAGATAATTGTAAACTTGAACTGGACTCTACAGACAATTCAATACAATCGTAATATTATAACAAAATGTAACATTAAGACCAGCATTGTAATATAATATCAAATCAGAAATTGTTTGACACATTATTTTTCTTAATTTGTAAATTTTCTCTCCTTCAATCACCTTTTCTCCCTTTTACTTATTTATTCAAATCTAGAATAAACAAGATAGATAATTGTTTGTCTACTCAACTAATCTTAAAAAAAGCTTACGAGGCAACTCCTAAAATATGGTTTAGTTTCAGCACAACACTAAAATGACCCATTCTGCAAAATATCCACAGTCTCACAGTAAAATATACACAAGTCTTATTATAGTTTGTTAGTTTTAATGTCTGGTGTGGTGTCGCATCTTAAGCAAAAAAGTAATTGAGGACTCCAAAAATGAGGTGAGGGTGGAGAAGATGTAAAATCAGGCTGATGCTACCCATTTACTCTTGTGGGCGCATGACATCAGGGCATGTCTTAGCCCACCAACTGTGCAGTGGTTAGAGTGGTATTAGAGAATTTTGCATGAATACAGAAGCTATTTGATCTGTTTTGTGTTTGTCCTGTTTTGTCACAGACACACCAGTCTACAGGCCAAAACATGCTGCCTTCACAGCACAGTAGCATATGTCCACCGTTATACTGACCCTTTTCTGTCATTCGAGCCATAGCTCTCAGCCCCCTTGTGGATTTGTCTGATTTTTTAATGATGTATTTGTATATTACTGGTGTTCATAAGTATTTGCACACATGAGAACATCAGTGTTAACATTTAGTGCAGAAGCCTTTTTTGCGATTACAGAGGTCAACGTTTCCTATAATTCTTCACCAGGTGCAAAACTGATTTTGGCCCACTCCTCCACACAAATCCTCTCTACATCTGTCAGGTTTCAGGGCTGTCGGCAAGCAACACGAAGTTTCAGCTATCTCCAAAGATTTTCTATCGGATTTAGGTCTGGAGACTGACGAGGCCACTCCAGAACCTTGATATGCCTTATGGAGCCACTCCTTGGTTCTCCTGGCTGTGTGCTTCGGGTCATTGTCATGTTGGAAGACCCGGCCACGACCGATCTTCAATTCTCTGACTGAGGAAAAGAGGTTTTTGGGCCACATCTCACAATCCATGGCCCTGTTCATCCTCTCCTTAATACAGTGCAGTCGTCCTGTCCCCTTTGCTGAAAAGCACCCCCAAAGCATGATGTTTCCACCCCCATGCTTGATTGTTGGGATGGTGTTCTTGGGATGATACTCATTCTTCTTTTTCCTCCAAACCCGAGTGGAGTTTATACCAAAAAGTTCTATTTTGGTCTCATCTGATTCCTTCAGATGGTCGCAGGCAAGCTTTAGACGGTCCTGAACAGGGGACAGCAGGGAAACCTTTGGTGCGATGCAGGATTTTACTATGCCGTAGTGTTCCTCTGATAGTAGCCTTGGAAACGGTGGTCCCAGCTGTCTTCAGGATCCTGCCGTTTAGTTTTGGACTGATTCCTCACTTTTGTTATCGTGAGTCATGCCCCGTGAGGAGAGATCATACATAGAGCCCCAGTCCGAGGTAGGTTAGCCTCTTCTTTTTTCTAACAATTGCTGCAACAGTTGATTTATTCTCACCAAGCTGCTTCCCAATTGTCACATAGCCTTTTCCAGCTTTATGATGCTCTATTATTTTGTCTCTTGTCTCATTTGACAGCTCTTTTGTACTTTTTTAAGGTGGACTGTCAACACTTTGATAGTCCTCTGGATGATTCTCATGTGTGCAAATAATTATGAACCCCAGTAACATACAAATAAATCATTAAAAAATCATAGAATTTGATTTTCTGGATTTTTCTTTTTAGATTATGACCAGAGCAGACTTTGCATAACCTGTGCACGCAATAAACACATTGCCCGTGTCCATGTCTCCCCCTGTGCCTCCTCCTGAAGCACTATAACTAAAACCCACTAAATTAAAGCTGCGGTAACTAAATTTTTCCTTGCATTAATAATTTGTTGGTAAATTGTGCTCAAAAGTAAAGATAAGCTACATACAGCTTTTCATCAAAGACAATATAGTCAGGGAGAGTCAATTGTTGCTATTTGTTTATTTTTGTTTTCTAGGAGTATTTTTGTTTTACTGAGACCGAGTTTGTTTAAATGTCCTCCAGTTCCAGAACAGTGTTAAATGTTTTAAGAAGTAAAAGTTTATAGGTCTTTCAAATGGTCTATTTGCCATTTGGCCTCAAAACGACCATTTTACAATTTATTGCAATATTATTGTTTATCGCATATAGTTCTGGGAGAATTTATTGTCAAGGAAAAGTTGCTATTCTGACGGGCCAATTTACAAATAGTATTTTCAGATATTTACAAGTAGATCATCCAATCAGAGAACAAAATGAGTCCTTTGGCTTGGCAGTGTGTTAGGTCTTTCTAGATATTTATATATAACAACAAGCCCACCCCATAACACCAGCAACGGCCTGTTCACATCGGCCCTATTATGACACCTGACCGATACCAATGTGTAAAAACAATTATCATTTCACCCAATATTATATCAACAGCCGATATATCATGCATCGCTATGATTTGTTCTGTTTCTAGCAGCAGGCGGTGTGCATCTGTAATCAGTGCTTTGAAGCTATGTTTCACATGCCGGGAAATTCTGGCAACAGAAGTTGGTTTGTAATTATAACAACCACCAAGAGTGTATATTACATATCGTCCCTTTTAAATGAAAGTGGAATACAGAAGATTTGACTGATGGATTGATTATTTGGTATGTCTCAAAGCTGCAAAGTTGGACTCTCTCTCTCAAAACCTGCAAGGGGCTAATCACTAAGCAAAACACTACATTTGATGAAGTGTTTCTGAAGGTGTGTGTTGGGGGACTGTGGAGATAGACCCAATCCATCCTTAATGAAAATGCTTTGGGCTCCCGAGCTGAGCTGATCTGAACTCTCTTGGGGATCAGTGGTTAGCCGGAGCATACAGAGAGATAGGCCACCCATCACTAACCACGATCCTGGCTAAATCCCCATCAACGCACTGGTTAATCACTCTAACCCCACTCTCATCGGCTCACCACCGCTCTCCTGTCCGCCACACACAAAGACACATCAAAATTCATAGCTGCACTCGAGAGGACTTGAGGGATTTATCGCCGCCAAGTATCCGCTTTAACACCCACGACAGCCCTCCAGAGTCAAGAGGAAAGAGCACCGACGGACCAGCATAGCATATGGCATATAGAAAGGCTAAAAGCTTGCAGATTTATGACTGCAAATGACAAGCTACACTCTCCCATGGATTCTCAACAGTCCCTCCAGTAATCACCGCAAAGTTAATATGAGACGGATTAAATAAATCAATTCAAACTAAACAGCCTTTTCAGATTTGTTTTAAAAGAATAATTATTTTGGTATTAAATGGTCTGGCAGCATAATTGAACTATTTCTTCTTACTTGTATTGATTGAAGTTTATTGGATAACTGAAAGTGATGTACTTGGTTAGTTTAATCATCATTCAAAGCAGAAGATAATGTGTTTTTGATGGTGGGTGGGAACAGGCTGTGTGGCTGGTCATCGATCTGAATGCGTTTTTTCCACTGTGTGTGCAAGGTCATTAGATCAGTCATTTGAGCTCTTCATTTTGAAGTGTTTGCTTTTGTAGTCTGAGCCTGCCATCTGTAGAACAATCAGTACATGGACAACTATCTCTGCAGTCCCCTCTGTTTCCATATGTGGCACATTAGTGGAGCTCTGGTAAATGCCAACACTTTTAAGTCGCTTAAGCATGCGAATCAAATACCCCTTGATACAAAAATGCATCCATGTTAACACATTCCATGCATGTTCAAATTGTATGTAATCAATCAATATGTAATAACTGTAACTATGATTCTTTAATTTATAAAGTCTTAATTTCACCCTTCCATATATGATTTTCAATTTGCACTTTATTTCTTGGATCTACCAATGTAGTATTATGTTTTAATTGACTTTTGTTTTGTACTAATTCCAGTTGTAAAAGGAGCTTCGTAAATAATTCACATTGTGTGTCTACAGGGAAAAGTCCAATGTGAAACTAATATATAACCGACTTATTACTAACTAAAGTATATATATTAAGCCATTATTTGTTATAATGTTGATAATTGGCTCACAGCTTGTGAAACCCTCAGGTAAACGTCTGCAAAATATAAATGGATAAATTTGTCATTTAGCATTTAATTAATCTTCTTCATATTGCTTTACATTATCAGGTAATTTAAATAAATATTCTAATTTTCACCTGTTTCACTTTATGTGTGTATGACAAAAAATATTGATGGTTATTGAAGTTTTTTCATTTAATAGCCTTTTTTTTGAATTATTTAATTTGTCGCTTCTGACCTACCGTCTTTTTCACACCAGCTGTTCAAATAACCCGCAAATGTCATCAAAACGTATTACTATTGATGCAGTTATTGGCCTGATTTATAATTTCTCAAAGCAGGTGAACAGGTGTGGAAGGACTATGGAGTCACTATCTTGCTCAGGTTGGACCTAGTAATTACCTGAAACGAGGGATATACTCCTCCCTAAGACAGGTCTCACAAAAGACTACTTGAAAGCGGAGCTAGAACTCGGGCATATGGACAATTTAACTTGAAGATGAAGGAGTTGAATTGGCCTGAATATCCACTCTGATTAATCTTTACACTTGCGCTAATTAAGCATGCATGTGTACGAGTTTGAGCCCTTTACTTTTGGACCAATCTTTCCATGTGTGTTTGGATGTCTGCATTAAGCGTGTATCTGGATTTGTTTTCCTTGGAAAAAAAAAGTACCCCCCTCGCACTCATTCCTCTCCCGACAGAATTTGCTTGTCTTCTCAGCGTGAGGGTTTAATCTTTTCAGGTCGTTGAATTGGCCTGAAGAATGAGTCCCGAGCTCCTTCACTCTAGGAGCCCTGGAGATTATTCTAAAGCACTAATCGTTGAGCAAACACAGCAGTGCTCTCCCATTCCCATTCTGCGCAGGCCACAGTATAGCACAACTTCTATTTCCAACTTCCCTTTACTCCTTACACCCTGCATAGATTTTTTTCCTGGCATATGTAGCCTAGATTATAGGCTCTTGAGAAACTTTGACTCCTCCTTCACAGCAGAAGATGAAAACGAACGGGCCGAAGACTGCGATTTTTTTCTTCTCCCCAGTCTTTGTTCTTTTATAACAGGAGAAGTGACATGTAATTTAGAGAGCATTATTTCCAACAATGTCCTTTGGAACCTTTTATGTTTGTGGGTGTGTTTGCTTTTTAATTAGATTGTCGGTGCGGAGATTGTGCCAGGCTTATATGATGGTGTCAATATCCTTGGATTTGGAGCTTCGTCAATATTGTCTGGCCCTGCCGCTACTAACCTGAACAGGCTCCTGGCATTTGGTGTAAAATAAATAGAGTGATTTGTCTGTTTTGTTTTTTCCATATCTCCCTCGGCTTCACTGAGAAGTTTTATTTACACCGCTCACCATTTGATTTTGCGTGGTATTTGTTGGTTTTTCTGCCCAGATCTGGCCTTCCGTTGGTCAGTCAGTCAGGCAGGCAGGCGGGCGCTGCTCGAGAAGGTCTCGTACGTCGTCTTGTGCTTGTGTAATGTGAACGCATACAGAAAAGATACAATGAGATCTCACTACATGAATATAAATGTGTCCTACAACCATAAAAGGTGTATAACAAAATAAAACTTTTAATTCTTAGTTATAGATGACTGTATGTCTGGTAATAATAGTTCTTTTTATATATTATATATGTATATTTCCCTTTGTTTCATTTTTTCATGTTTTTGTTAAATGTTTTTTTCTATTGTTTGACTCAATAATTCTTTGACTTCATGACAGACTTCTTTCTTACTTTTTCTCCTAAAAACCTTTCATTAAGCAATACCTCTTTACTTATTTGTTTACACATTTTTCCCTTTACATATTCATATTTTTTTGTTTTTATCCCTACACCAGTTTCTATTTTCCCCTTTTAAAAAGGACAAATAATGAATAACAATAAGATAATATATCTATGCACAGGTGAAACTCAGAAAATTTGAATATTGTTCATATGTGAATTTATTTTTGTAATTTAACTTAAAATGTGAAACCAATATATTACTCATTAGATGCTAAGTGACATATTTCAAACCTTTGTTATAATTGTTAAAATCCCCAAATAAAATCATACATAACAATAAACAACTGTGAGACTATTATCAACATAAACAAAAATGGCTTGAAGAATCTCCCCATTTCAAATAGTTGAATTACAGAAATAAATTGACTTTTGTCTAATTTTGTGTGTGTGTGTCAAACAATAGACAAAAAATAATTCTATAATCTAGTGTGATGTGTATTATAAAAATTAAGAAATATAGACACTTATTTGGTTTCAATATGGTTTAGTCTCTTGATTATATTTCCATTGTTTATGTTTATATTCTTTCGGCCATATGTTTTCCTTGTCTAAGTGAGCAATAATCTGGAGTAGTGGTCTTTGACACACTTTGTCCACTGAAAACCATTGAGACCCTTTTTTCACTTATCTGTGTCTTTCCTCAGAGAAAGCTGCTGGCGATCTACCTCCACAACGACGACAGTGTTCTCGGCAACGTCTTTTGCTCTCAGATGATGTGTGCCGACTCTATTGTTTCCTATTTGAGCCAAAACTTTATTACATGGGCCTGGGATGTCACTAAAGAAGCCAACAAAGCCAGGTATACATTGAAAATGTGTATGCAAAATAAAAATAGTTCTGTAATTGTCATTTCAGCTGCTTTTAACTTGTTTTCCCTGGGGTCATTCTGAAAACCAATTCTTATATTGTATGTAATTTATTATAGATGACTAAATGGTCAGGTGAATATTATTTGGCTGTAAATATTGCTTCGGTTTACGCATGGTCATCAAACTAAATAATACTTATGTTTAAGCTGTGGCACATTTTTGATTGGTTATTTGTAAATTGTATATACAAATTGTAGATACAGATAAGACATTCCCACAGTGGGGCGGCTGCGGCTGTAAAGTGCCAAACTGCCGTTGTGTCCTTAGGCAAGACACTTCACCCCCATTGCCTAGAATGAGTCTGGTGTGTGTATGAATGGTTGGTGGTGGTCGGAGGGGCCGATGGCGCATACTGGTTGCCTCGCTTCTGTCAGTGTGCCCCAGGGCAGCTGTGGCTACAGTAGTAGTTTATCACCACCGTGTTTGGAGTGAATGAATAATGACACATGTGAAGCGTCTTTGAGTGTCCAGAAAAGCGCTATATAAAACCGATGCATTATTATTAATGTCTCAATACTTTTCCTTAGAAAAAATGTAGACACTCGTGCAGGTTTGGAGCAGCTCTTTATTCATCAGTGTTTTTACACTTGTGTTAGAGCGTCTGTTGTGTTTGAAACTGACGGTGAGGTCTGAAAGGCTGATGTATTCCTCATAAAGCAGTCTGTGCTAGTTGAAGTCCTGTTTGTGGAATAAGCAGTTATTCCAGAGCAGCTGCTGATTCTACCACTGGAGGATCTGGATTCATTAAAAGCATTTTGGTTGAACTCAAGCAAAGGAAAAGGTGAAAATGTCGACAGTATTGAGAAAGAATAGCTCGTACACATTTAACTTTGAATGAAGCGTCATTCGATTCAAATGTTCTTGAGATGAGGTCGAGCGATTTTGAGCTCCGTCTGTGAAATGCTGTAGGCGGAGAAGGATTATCAACATGAGTGAAAATCTAGATAGTAGTTTTTTTTTTTTTTTTTTTTTACTTGTCTCTTCATGGTCAATATACTTTTCTACAGTGAATTTTATTTTTTGCCAATTGATAACCATTTTAGACCTTTTCTGAATGGCGCTTAGCTGACACGTTGTATCCCCATCGCTCATTCTCTCGAACTTCTAAAGAGACAGCTCAAAGGTTGCATGCTGACAAAAGGAACTATGTTTGCACGGTGAGGCCCATGATGAGGCCATCTTTATTCAACTGTCTGAATAGTGAGTCAGTTGGGAGACTGCTGTTATATCTTTATTTTCGACCACAAACAATATTTTGTAAATGATAAGTTGGTGCAACACTACTTTATTAGATGTGTTGAGAAATCTCTGTGGCCCTTCCTTCCAAGCCCTTGTGCCCAAAGCAGATTTAAGCCTGTACTCTGCTTGCCCTGACCTTACCCCTCCATTAAGTCTGTTAAAAACACTCCTTCCTTTATTCCTTCTTTTCTTTTGTTGGCCTCCTTTGCTTTTTGCCCCAGCTGAGCTTTTTATTTAACATTAAAAGACTGACAACATCTGGAGCTTTTGATCACACACAGCTAGTTACAGCTTTGCTATCGCCTGCATGCCAATCTGCACGCTCAGTGCCCTCTCCGTCTCTCACTCACTCATTCTGAACATTCTCACGCTCTCTGCTGATCCACAGCTACTCCTGATTGGCACCAATCAGGCTCTGCATTAAGGCGCCTCAGTAATTATGTTGTGTATTGGTGTTATAGAAGCACAGTACCTTCTTTAAGGCTGCAGCAATGTGTGTGACACAAAATCACAATTTTATAAATATTGCATTGTATATATACAAATATGCATTTGTATATATACAAATGCATATGTTCTTGTAGTGGTTCTAATTTGTTATTGTCATGTTCTTTGTCATTGTACTTTGAGAGGTGCTTATACTATATAAGGCAAGGGCACAACTGAGTATGTTCAGTTTGTGTTCACTTGATTTGACAACTTGACATTCTCTGCTATGACGGTTGAAATGATTTAAAATATAGTGTGCCAAGGATGTCCATATCAGCTGTGACACAAAGTGTGTATGACACTGTGAGCTGTTTAAGCATCCGCTTCCCATACCTGCTACAGGTGGCCTGTGATTACATTCCCTGCAGTGCTGCTGCATTGATCTGACTCAACTGCTCATTGAAGCAGATGCCATGTCTAACCAGTACACTCGTATCATTTTCATTTTCAGAAATGATTTGTGACAGTTCAGGGAAACATTAACTCTTTTTGTTGTGTGTGTGCGCATCAGGTGTGAAGTTAGGTGAAATTGCAGCTGTCAATCACTGCAGTAATTGATGCTCACTCAAAGCAGTTGCAAATTTCTTGCAGGTGATTTGTCTACATGTGTTTTCCCTTAGGGGTTTAGAGGCCACATTCGGAGTCACATTTTTCAGCTCAATAAATTATGGTTGAATGATATGTCACATTTATCATACAGTCTTTTTCTTAACCGCCGTACCAACTGTTTTGTTTTCCATACCGATGGATTTGGTTTGGTTTGGACCAAAGCTGGTTACTATGTGCTTCATATCGGGTTACTTTTTAAGTTGAGGACCATTGTTTAGTGGCCTTTCATTACAGGTTTGGATTTCTCTGTGAACTATTGTTAAGGGGCCAAGGCTGGACCTGTTGAAGAACAAGAAATGGCCCAAATGATTACAGGAATTTTGAGTGCCTGCTGTATGGTTCACTCAGAGATTGCCCTCCAAAAATGTGGTGTTTCATGTATTCCGCGTTAGCTTTGGAATGACATCATACATACGTTTTCAAGCAAAAGTTTGAATACTGCCACTGGCTTCTATGTTTTTAGATAGGATCACTTCACTTCCCCGTTGCCTGCTTCTGACCTGCTCACCATTTCTCTACTTTACCCGCCAGTTATTAAAGTACATCATATTAAAAGGCAGAAGAAAAATCTAATCTATATTTGCATTCAGTCTATAGCAATTCATTAATATTATGACATTTGCAGGGAGCTTGGCTGGGCCCGTCTGCCTGCTACCCTTTTCCCTACATGAAATGTTAATTTAAAAAGTTCTGTCTTTGTAATGGAATAAGAAATCCTCTCCTGCCCTATCAATTCGGTGAGTCTGGTAAGGAATACTAATTCCTCTGCTGTTCCATTGAAAAAGCATTGCCACTCTGATGGAATATAAAAATGTGGAATTGGTTTTAAAGTCCTTAATGCCACAAGTTGTGTGTATTTCTCTTTGCGCCTCGAATCATAAAAGCTTTAGTATATTGCCTCTTTTTCCCAAATGCCAAAGAAATGTTAAAGGATATAGAAATAGTCAGCTCAACAAAAAGTGAGTAAAATCCAAATTAAAGTGTGGTGTTTGTGTCTTGCAGATTACTCACCATGTGTACAAGGCATTTTGGAAGTGTGGTAACGCAAACTGTACGGACGTATAAGACCGACCAGTTCCCACTGCTCCTTATAGTCATGGGAAAACGCACATCTAATGAAGTTCTAAATGTTATTCAAGGTAAATTGCTTATTATTACATTCTATTTCATATCATGCCAACTTTAGAACAATGTTAGTTCATTTGCAAAAATCTTTTCACAGGCAATACAACAGTTGATGAGCTCATGATGAGATTAATGGGAGCCATGGAAATCTTCACAGCACAACAGCAAGAGGACATCAAAGATGAGGTAGGATTACTGGCAGTCACTTATTGGTCAACTGCAAATGCAACAGTCCCCGTAAGAGTGCCAAACTAACCAACTAAGTTAACTGCCTAAAGTGACTTGTGGACCAATGCACTCTTGTTTGGTGGTTTCACATCTCCACAAATTAAGCATTTTTTATCACACTTGGTCCCCTTTGTACTAAAGCCTCTTTTTTCTGTTCATCTCAAACCGGTTAAACTTAGAGCGCTTCTGTTCATTTACCCTTTCTATTCACTTCCTCAAGAAATACAATGCCCAACATGCCAGAGCACATCAAGAGACTGAGACAATGTTACCAACTGTGGTTTATGCAAAAGGGAAGCAGTGAATTCTTAAAAGTGTGTTCACATTTACTTTTCCCATTGCAGTGCCAACTATAGGTTTTGTAAAGGGACACAGGCCACTCTGCCAGGCTTTGATGTTAGAGAGGGTATCTTCTCAATAGCTCTTTGTTACTGTTAACTAGAGAACTAAACCATTTCTGAAAGTATTTACTCAGTAACATCAAACAAGCTCAAACATTAGTGCAGTTCAACTTAAATGAATTGCTGAGAAAGTCATGCTCTAGTTTCTGTTCTGCAACACTTTAAATTAATATTTTAGCACTAACCAGACTACATTAATGTTTGGTATTTAACCACTAAAACATTTTGTTTGTGCACTGTATCTATTCTGACACATGTCACTGGGCATTAGGTTCACCTGTTTCACATGATATCTGTTAAACAAAGAGGCTGGAATGGCGTGGGGTTTTAATGGCTTTCACTCTCTTGGGTTCCTGAACAACTTCTGTCTGATCTGTTTATTATTTGCTGCAGTTATCTGTGTAAAATATGTATTGGTGTGACAAAGGTTCAATGTGCTCGTTCACCTGGATTCAAGGTGCATTTAATGACTGATGGTGGTTCATACCTGACAAGGCATTGTTGAGCCAAAACACTTGCGTACGGCCCCTCAAAAAGAAAATCTCAAACTTGTATTATTGGTACAATTTCTCAAGATAAGACTTTAAAGGTCCAAGATTTTTTAACTCAAACTTCTATCCCTATACATAATCTTTAAATGTAAATATGCACTTCAACTTGGAAGTACCAAGGGGTCCTAATCTAACCAATAAGGGGCCCCAGTTTCAAAAGGCTTGAACTCCTGGTGTATTTAATGATATGTGCTCTTGGGCAATACCTAAATGGATTACTGTATTCCCACAGCCTTGTTTATGCCATTGTCAGTTTTCTACTTCACCTCACAGAGAAGCTCAGACTTGTACTCAAACACTGAGCCATCCCAGACATTCTTCTTCGACAGTGACTTTTGTGTCTGTCTGAAGCAGAGCAGCTGGACAGCCTGGTTTCAACCAGCATCACCCCCTCCACTCATGCTCCTGTTCAGTCAAGAGCTTAGCTGTTGGACTACATCGTAATTGTTTCTCTTAAATGGTTCAGACTCACTATTTGGTCTGGAGTCAGGTTTCTATGCTTTGTTTGATCCCTCCTTTCTGAAAATTAAAGATTAAAGGAGATGCACATAGACTTTCTTTTAACTTTCAATACAAATACCTCTGTTTCATCATCGATATGATACCCTCAGTGTACATACAGTATTTTATTAATGCTTTAATTAGTCTGTTCTAATTATCCTTTATCTTTTTCCATATTTGGAGGTATTGAGTAAAAAAATATTAAGCACGTGCAGTGCATTGTACACTGAATTACAGATCTTACAGGGCACCAATTGTGTAAAGAGCCCAACCTGAATCCTCTGTTCTCAGGTTCACTCTTGGACAGTTTTAGCCACTCATGTCTGTCTGCAGATGTTACAACATTAAATGTACCATTCGCATTCTCACAGCCATTGGTATTTTAAACCACTTTGATCGTAGGTATTGTTTTTGACATAATAAAAACACATTAATTGAACCTGGAACTTATGCCCGTAGCCATGATCATGAAAAGGCTCTCAGATAATCCTTGTGGAGATGGGAAAAGGCCTATATAACAATATATAGAGCTATGGCTGCCAAGAATCATTTCTTGTGGTGATGTAGCAACTTCAAAGTCATTTTAATTACTTTGACATATTAGATAATGATCTATAAACAAACATTGTTATATATTTCTTACTATAGGCTAATGTTCAAATGAAACAGCTTGTTGGACTGAGCAAATTGAAAATTGGTATTTTAAACTTCTTACAGACTGTTCAATCTTTGCCAACATATTTTGTTGCTCATCCAAAATATATATAGATGCAGAATATGGCGTGAATGAGAACTTTCCTAAATAAACCACAAGTAATTTATAGAAGACAAATGTTAATTTAAGGTGTAAGTGTTTTGATGCTAAATCATGACCTAAGTGCGTGACTTGAGTCAGGTCACTCAAGGCAGGGACTTTTGATGTCTTTGTCCAACCTCTATTCTGTTTACTGTTTCCTTTCAGTGTTTCACCCTTTCAGGGCACAAATGTATCTTCTGCTTTTTTTTTTATATTCAATATAATGCAACAATACACACTGTCCTTTTGCGGCAACCATAGCTTTAGCAGCACCACGGTAAGCGCTCTTGTCACACAATGAGCTTTCTTTGGCGTATCCGGCCAGACACACACAGCATGGGCCTTCACAAAATACAAAACTAATGGCTGTGCAGTGGTAACACAATGGACACTCGTATTTAGTTGCGGTCTTTGTACAACATTTTGTAGCCACAGCAGGTATAAAGAAAAAGGCTGGCTCTCCCCTTCTCTCTGTACAAACAGGAAGAGTGGGGCAAATGAATGAGCCAGAGGGAGGGTGATACCAAGGGCTCTGGTCAGCTATTAGCAGCCGCCACTCAGTGAATTCTGCTTTGCTACAAGTCTTTCATAACTGCTGTTTGAAAGACTTGTAGCAAAGACTTGCTACAAGTCAAAAAAGAAATTCATGTGTTTTCCTTTGTTTTTGTCTAAGGATGAACGAGAGGCAAGAGAGATGGTGAAGAGGGAGCAGGATGAAGCCTACCGCTTGTCACTAGAAGCTGACCGCAAAAAGGTATCAGATTGAAATCTAAATACAACATCGACTCTCTATCTAGTATTTATTACTGGCATGTCCAAACTAAGGTCTGCGGGCCCCACTGCAGCCCTTTGTGATAGCACGGCAGAGAGCCACATAAAATTACACAGTATTATTTGAGATAATAAACACAAGTTCATTGTCACCCAGCCAACTTCAGCACAGCCAATATAGGCATTCAATGCATAGTTGTAAAGCTCCAAAACTTTTTTTATAGTGTCACAAAATTCCATTAATGGAATTAATAAAGCTGGTGAGATGATCATTTATACAGCCAACTTCAGCTCCATCATAGCTAATTATAAAGCTCAGAGCATCCCAAATCCAGGCAAAACAGTTTTACAATCTAGGTTGTTGGCTCCTGGGCAGCCTGATTAACTAAAGAGTCCTGCTTACCAAAAAGTTAGATTTTTCCTATATTATGCTTGTCAAACACAAAGATTAAAGCTGCACTAACTGACTTTGGGATTTTGAAGCCGCGGACTCGCTGGCCTCGCTCTTTCTGCTCCCCTCCCCGCACCCACGAAGCTATCGCCCCCCACACACACACAGTGTTGAGACGGAGCTAGCCTCTCCCAATATGGATAATACATGGATATGGATTTTCACGTGGATGGCGTGACCATAGAACGATAGAACCGGGAAGCGCGGAGGAACGAGACTTTCTTTTGGATGGCTGTTTCGCTGTGTAAGCAGTATCCAGTGACGAAGACGAGAAAGTTTCAGGTTAGCTCCGCCGCTTGTTGTGCTAACTCAGCTGTCTGTGCTAACGGACCTGGAGATTTCTCACGAAAGTGGGGGCTAGTGGTGCGCTGTGATTGGTCACAATCTGCGACCCGAAACACATTCTCTTCCTTGTTTCATCAAAACTCGATCTAAAATATAATGTCAGGCCAGCACAAATCTGCGCTACTTTTTCTTCAAAAGGACGTATATCCCAATGCACTACATGGACATGGATAGCATTTTCGTAATTAATACGAAAATAAAGTCAGTTAGTGCAGCTTTAATACTACACTGAAACGTGTAGCTGAGCAAGCAAGACTCAAGCAATTAGTACTGAAGTTAAAAGCAATCATTCCAACTTTACAAGTACATAGAACTGTAAGATCGACTGCAGAGTTTCCCACCCCGCTCCTGAAGCGAATGGCTTGCAACAAAGGTTTTACTCATGGTTTAAAAAGAACAAAAAGAAAGGGTAAAACCCCATGCAACTCATCAACTATTTACATGTTATTTGTAGTTGTTGCCGTTCATGTGTATTAAAAGTATTCATGTGTATATTATAGGGCTGGCAAAAATATCGTGTTAACGCACGTTAATTAAAAAAAAAAATTAATCGCGTAAAAAAAATTAACGCCTATGCATCCCATAATGATACTTAGAAGATGAAATGGTACCAAAGCAACGCACTGCTAAGGAAATATACAGTACAATATCTGAAAGCTAGTTTTGCGTCCAAAGTTAGTCCGAGGCGGTCCGCACCCGCAGGTCTCTCCCATAGACTGTAAATGTTAACGGACGTAGTCACGCCTATCTCCGCCGTTCAAACAAATGTGCCAAAAAATTTGCTCTACTGGAGCTATCCAAAATTGCCGCGAGGGGTCCCACCCACAAGAAAATTGTGAAAAAATTGTGTGTCTGCGCATGCGTCAGCCGGCGCGAGCCCCATTCATTTTACGAGGGCCTTCAAAAATTCACAACAACTGAACTAGAGTGGTCCAAAGAAATTCACTCCCCTCAGCATTGACACACATGTGGAACGGAGCTTTGGGCCAAGAGAGAACTTTTGGACCATCCTGTAAAGACGTTTTTGAGAGGTAAGAAGATGCTTTATGTTAGCATAGGCTAATTCTTATTCCGGGTCCACCCCCATCGGCCCGGGATGGTATTGAAAGCATGTCAGCGCACGTAGTTTTTGGCCACTATTCTAACCGGGACCCGCCCCCACTGGTCTCTCCAGAGGATACAATGCCAGCTAGCTATGTTCACCTGGGCTTGATTTCTTTTTATCATTTTTTTGTTTTAGTTCCCTTTTCTCCTCCTCACGTTTGCGTCTTTTGGGCTGTTTTACTGCTGTGTCTGCCGTTACAGCCAGAGGAGGCTCCTCCTTCGCCTACCATGCTGCTGTTGTTTACATGTGCTGCAGACGCTAGAGGGGGTGTGGCCTTGGAGAACGAGCGTCGCGCAAAGTTTTTATTCAGCACTTTTTATGGCCTGAATTCATGCCATAGACTGTAAATATTCATACACAAGCTGAATCAATGAGCTCAATTTTTCAATTAAGTTACAGGTTTTAATACTTTTAACACAACTTAGTAAAAATGCTGTCTACTACAGAAAATGTTGTCTACTATAGAAAATGTTAATAATGTTAATGCCGTTTTATGTGGATTTATTGTTGGAATAAAAAAATACAGTACATACTGTATGTACCTTATGTTGTCATATTTTTCCATTTAAACTACAATTTACAAAAAAATATGGCATTATTTTGCCGTTAGTTTAATATGTGATTAATTACAATTATTTTTTAAGCTGAAATTAACTTGATTTAAAAATGTTAATCGTTTGACAGCCCTAGTATATTGGTTTTCATACTAAAAGCCCTTGGTTAAAGTCAGAGCCCTGCATTTCTGGTCTCCCCATTCAGACCACCGAGGACTTCATGCCTGGGCTTCCTATATGCATACTCAGAAAATTGCTGTCAGCTTTCCCATCAGCTATGCTGGGTGGGACATTGATAAATGGTCTAGTCCAATTAGAGTCGATTCATCAAAGCTCTCCAAAATCATGAAAACAAACTTGTCGGGATTATTGCCCCATGTTTCCACATAGGCTGACAGAAGATTGACAGCTAAGCTAATAGACGTACATTAAAGGCACACCGTGTAACTCTTGGCCACTAGGGGCGCTAGACCTGCAACTTTCACGTTTAGCGCCCCTAGTGGCCACAAGCAACTCAGCACTGTCGCAAAAGTCAACAAACAGTCAGCCGGTGTCTTTTGAGTGTGTATTCAGACAGCATGCACTGGTGTGTGTGTTCAAACTGTAGAGACATGCCTACAGATATTGAGAGACTCTGCTGTGGTCAGCCTCCAGACCGCTGCATTAGTAATCTACCACACATGGACTTCTATATCCTGGATGAGGGAGTTCTGCGTCTAGCTCGTGCTGCGTGGAATGACATCTTTGCAGTCGATGACATCCAGGAACCAGGTGAAGAGCAGCGCTCATACAGACATGCAGCTTACAGCACGATCCCTTTGGCGTTTCCTCTTTTTAGCCTCCTCCGAAGGTTTAAAATTTTTCCTTGCCTCAGCCATGACCAGGAGTCGAGCAGGTGAAAAATGAGTAGCAAAAGCCTTAGCTCCATGAGTATATCAGCGCCTGTAGCCGTAAAGCAAGTCTTTCTTCCAAGTCACGTGACCTGGTGGCAGACGGTCCGTCTGCTCGAAACTTACATGGGCGGTATTTCAAGAGGGCAGCCCCGCTCGGAGCATTGCAAGTGTCAAGCGCTGTATATTGGCCCAAGTATTCATATAAAATAACTCATATGTGTCAACTCTTTAGGTCACAAAGTCCGCGGTGTGCCTTTAAAGAAGCTATACTCGATTTTTTTTCTGAGTTCATAAAATCGCGTATTACTACATACAAGTTGTATTATAATCCGTTAATTCCTTGAAAACTTGAGCTCATTGATTCAGCTTGTGCATGAATTCAGGCCGTAAAAAGTGCTGAGTAGAGGCTTGGCTTGGCGTGACGCCCGCTCTCCTCCACTCACAGAACGAGGGGTGAACAAGCTGGGTACGCTAGCCTCTACTGCGCTACTAAACACTAGGGCTTTGACTTAGAAATTCAAATATAATTCAAAAGTAAAAAAATATGTATACTGTATATACATTCGAACAAATATTAGACAGCCCTTAATATTCAAAATGTATTTAATGACTGCAAATAAAACAGTTAGCTCCCAAAGGTTTCGCCGTGACGTGCTAGGCGGGTAACGGCTAAGCTAGCTAGTTCAAGAAATCTCTGGAACTACTCTTAAAATGTTCGTTTTTCATGTTAATAGTTACTTTTTCCCGACCGCTTTTTGTCACATTAAAATAGTATTTTTGTCATGAAAATGTTAACAGATCATTCTGTATCATTCATGTATTACAAGCAGATATTGCGTTGCCAAAGGCCAGCTGTCATTATTGGTTTGAGAGTTCTGTTATCAACCAATTATTGGTAGAACGTTTTGAAATTACTTTCAAATCAATGGAGCGTTTTTCTGCTGTGAGGAACTGTATAATAAATTATAATTAAGAGGCACATTTCCAATATGGGCACAATCAATTGCTCAAAGTAAATGAGATGTTGCTCATCTATGTTTACCAAACGTGTAGTGTTTTTTTTTTAATAACCATAAGTGCTGAGTAAATCAATCTATGTTTTCCTCTACATGAAGACTGGCAAGAAAGACGTGAGTGACCTTGGAGCAAAGAATGATTGAGTTTGGTTGTTTAGTCCTACCCAATGTTGGCATGTTCTGTCCGGTATAAACTATGATACCGATTTTATTCACTTTTTTGTCTTGTATTATTAGATTTTGTTTGTCTCTTATGTGGTTTTGTTTTTGTCTTGTTTCAGAGAGAAGCCCAGGAAAAAGAAGAGGCTGAACAAGTCCGTCTTGAACGGATGAAAAAGGAACAGGCAGAGGAGAAAGAGGTGAGCAACGTGCACTTTGAACACACATTAAAGGTCCATTGCAGGACTTTCCTGATGAAGGGTCTGCTTTTTGTTCAAGTCTATCTAAACACTGTCATTTTGCCTGCCTCCTCTTCAATGGCCAAGGTACAGGATATAAAAGAATTGTAGTTACACCAGACACCGTTTTTTTAGAAAAAATATCTTAGTTTATTGTGGACGGTCCAAGTGCAGTAATCATGCTGTTTCATCAGCATCTTATTGTGCCACACCTATGAGGTGGTGTGGATTTTTTCACAATGTGCTCACTGAATACATTCCGACAAATCTGTACTTGCTGTAAGCAAATAAATTACATCTCTATAGCAACACAAGTGTGGCACTTTTAATTCCATCTTTTTCGAATAACCTTTCTCTCAAGCACAAAAAGGAAGGCATATGTCTGTTTACTTTGGCCTTAATCTGACTACAACACAAAGAATTAGATTGGCAGGTGTCACAATAACCGCAATATTTTGGGTTTGAGCCCTGTGGTGTTTGGGTCAACAAGCACACAGCCATTTGAATGTTCTAATTACAGTGAGGCCCTGTACAGTCACCTTCAAAATGCAGTTATTGTTCACTTTAAACTGCTTGAGGTCCATGTAAAACATATGCCTCATATTAAAATGGACAAAAGACTGCGGCAATTCAGGATCACAGGCTTGCCACCGGTGCACACAACCTAAGCAAACACACACATTGACTTGAAAACTATTGTTGTGAAGCCAGCGGCAAACACATGCTCCTATAGGCAGACACACTGTCACGCATATACAAAACAATTATTGTCTACAAGGATGGACCCAATGTTGTAATATAGTCTATAGTAATACAGTGCTCAGTGATTGTTGTTTGCTCAACAGCAGAGGCCCCGGGGCTGAGGGGTATTGGGTGTCTGGTTCAGTACAGGTGATTTGTCATTAAAGTTAAACACACAACAAAGAGCCCAGCCTTCATAATTATATCACTGTCGGTTACTGAACCAAATGTAAACGTTGTTCATCATACTTCAAATCAAACATCTCTATTCTTTTTGTATTTTTTATCATTTCATAACATGCTCGTGTCACCTTTTGTTTGAGAAAGACTATTAAAGTATGCTCATGCACTAATGCCTCATCCTCAAAACATGACATCTGTATTTGTACATGTTTCTACTCTTTCTGACCATGTTGGTGCACAGAAATATACAGTATCTCGTTATTTTAGTCCTTGACAGCACAATTGCATAAGGCACTTATTTCCAATATTGTGCAGCCCTACTAAATACAATGGTCAGAGAGATACTTTTCACTTTTTGTATTTTCTTTCTCTTGCTTATTGTTTACTTGACTATGCAAGTCTCAATGTGGTAACCTTGTCTATGAGTGAAACTTCAGACTCAACACAAACATGGGTTGCCACTAGAGAGCAGACAATGCAACAGGGAATGCTCAGTGTGATTTTGTGCCTTTGTGCTGAGGGCTGAGATTAAAGGAGGAGTTGGGTTGGGGTGGGGGTCGGGCCAGCCAGCATGCATGTGCCTGTTTAAGATGCCATCCTTTGGGGGTGTATGCGCTGTACATGAAGGTGTACTCTTTCCCACTCATCTGTTTGCTTTTTGTGGTTAGGAGGTTTGTGGTGGAGCAGCAGACGAGTGGAGGCCCAAAGCAGTAGCAGACGCGTGTCCTGTGTGTATGTGCTTTGTAGTGACGCCACATTTGTGTTGGTGTTTATGCTTGTATTTGTGTGTCCGTCACCACACACACAAGCTCCAGCTTCATTTAAGTGTGTGTTAGCTAGCCTCATGAGACCCCTTTAACTCAGTCAGCATCAGCTCCTACACCTGAGGGAGTACTGGCGGTGAGGCACGCGCCCGACCTTGCCCACCCAACACCAGAAGCTGCTAATGAGCTACTGTTGTACACTCTTATGAAATATAATTGCATTAAGGTGTGTAAATAAAGCTGGGGCGTGTTGTCACAGCATATGCTCTATGCCTGGCCAAACAAGAACAACAAGAGGAGGTGAGGGGCTGTGGACGGGACCTCTTGGGAGTGGAGAAGTGTGCCTGTACTATCGCTCCATGTTTAAAGTGACTTTTCCCTCTCTCAATTTGAATTACCCATTAGTAACTTACAAAAACATATTTTCAGTTGAGCCATGATGCTGTGACAAGACTCTATCCATAAAAGATTGTTTATTAGGAATAAGTTCTTTCTCTGTATTTTGGTAAAGAAGTATTTAAAACACCAGTGAAAACATCTGCCAGCAGTTGTATGTAAAGTGAAAGTTGACTTGTTAAACCTGCCAGCAATTGTGACTTTTTCAGGCAATTCGTCTGTCACTGGAGCAGACCCTACCACCAGAGCCTGAAGAGGATTCAGGAGAGCAGATCAGCAAACTCCGGATCCGTACTCCGAGTGGAGAGTTCGTGGAAAGGCGTTTCCTGGGCAGCTGTAAACTGCAGGTCCTTTTCGACTTTGTGGCTTCTAAAGGTTACCCGTCAGACGAGTTCAAGCTGCTCACCACCTTCCCTCGTAGAAATGTGAGTATTTCAGATCTGCATGACCTTGTTGGAGATCTAGCTTTGCAGTTTAAACACTACTATCCATACACCATGTGTATAAATCAGTCAATATTAATTAGGTTAGGCCCTTAGTGACTATGGTACTCTGGCTGTATTAAGATACAGTTGTCAGCACTTACAATATATTCTCTATGGTTCTGCTGCCTCTCGCAGCCTGCTACAAACAGTCATTAGAGGCCTCGGCCGCTGCGCTCGTTGCAGTGAGCTAATGAGCACCGCCCGTTTAATTAACCATGCTGCTGGAAACAAAATGGGATTTCTGTTCATCAAGCGCCTTGCACATGAGAAGATGTGCTTTAAGAGGTGTATGGTGTGTGTGTACGCGTGTGTGTGTGTGTGTCTGTGTGTGTGTGTGTGTCTGTGTGTGTGTGCGCGTTTGCAGGCCTGCCCAGGCAGTGTGCCACAGGCGTCCATAGAGACTCCTCCCTCCGACACACACATTAACGCATAGCTCACACTTTTCATTTCGTCACAATCACACACTTCAACACATGCACAAATATTTTCAGGCAAACACATGCCCCACTCAAAACTTTGTCACTTAAAGGATTCACAGTTGTCTCTTTATAATCAAGAGTAAACATGTGTTTGAGACACAGATAAAGATGTGTCTGCATTGCAGATGAAATTCGGGCGAAAACAGGACGGAGGGATTAGAAGGGGAGAGAAGAGGAGAAGATAGTGAGTGCCGAACAGAGGAGATAAAAGCCTAAACAAAGAAAGATTTAATTAGAGAAACAGTCTGAAAAAGAAAAGGATTGAGAGACAAGTGAGAAAGATATTAAATTGAAGATGATGGCAGAGAATTCCAGAAAACAGAAAGAGCAGAGCTTTAGGAAAAGACAGGAGGAAAGGAGCTGAGAGGAAGTGCCAGTGCGAGGCTGTGAACACAGGCCCCTGTCTAATCCTGCAGCTCTGTGTTGTAATTAAATGAGAGGAGCAGAGAAACCCTCCATCCAGCCTCCACTGTTACTCTGCCAGGATCAGAGGATCCATTGTAGACCACTATTGCATTTGTAATACGCCTTTCCCTGTATCATGTGAAGTGTCTCTTTCATTGTGTCATCCTTCTTTGACTTAATCTCATTCAATGACAACTATGATAATAATTACAGTTGAAATGCAGTTTTGGTTATAAGTAATAGTTGGAGGAGAGACTTTGTTTGAATGACTTACTTTTCTAAGCTGATGGTTTAGAAGTGTTTGTGGATAACTGATAGATGATTTATGAAAGGACATGAGAGATCTCACTTGTGTGTTCACCACCTTCCTGTAGATTTTCCAATAAATGTCAATTAGTCTGTTTTTGGACAGTGTGTGAATCAGCATTTGGTATCAGTGGCTTATGTCTTCAGCTCTACAGCAGGCCTTACACTGGCATCATTTGTTCTGGGCTTAGCCGTGCTCAGGAAACTAACCCTTGCTGTGTTTCTGCGAGTTTGAGGAGTCTTTTAGTGTTGCAGTTTTTGCTTTTCTGTTTCGCACTCTTGAGTTTTAAGCTTGAACATCTTTCGTCTGGTTGTGAGCATGTTTAGTCTGGGAGCGAAAGCATCATTTTTTATATATATATATATATATATATATATTCTTCATTTTTTTTGCTTTTAGACATTTTCAAACTGTCTGTGACGTATTTGGGTGTCTCTGTGATACTGTTCCCTCTTTCACCTTCACTTAATCATTTCTCCAGCTCCAATGCTGTATAACCCAAATAATTCTTAGTGAACATTTGAGAAGCAGAGAAAATAAACAGCGCCACAGAGGAGGTCCTGTGCTGCGCTCAAATAGATTTTACATCTGTAAAAGGCCTTTTATTGTTTTGATAACTTTATTGGAGATGGAACAACGTTATTTATTATGAACATTTAGTCATCGGCATAACCACTAGATATCTTTACTATTCCTTATATTAGTTGCCAGCTGTAACTTTATCCCTAAATGTTAGTACTAAATGCAGATGCTTTATCTATTACTTAATGCACTTTATTGGAGGTATTGTGAAATTAATGCTTTGGTCTTTACATGCTTTTTGAATACTTGAAGACCTATTCATTTACTGTCACCACATTCTGTCGTGGTGAACTACTGCTGCAGCCACATACACTAACAGGTGCTAGACTGCACTGACCGTCAGTGTTGGGTGATGTGGACTGAGCATTATATCTTGATATCTCAGCGTATTCGCACTCTACGAACCTTTTGCAGTTCCTGGTAATTATTCCTGTTTTGTGCATATCCACAAATGGGAACTAGGACTAGGCAAAAAAAAATCTTTTTGGTTTAAAAATTGTTTTCAAGCTCAGAATCTGCAGAATTCATATTAAAGTCCACACATTAGTTACATAGCGAGAAAATAAGCAATCGTCACCTCGAGCTGGTACACTTTTCAGTGAAACTAGGAACGTTTTGTTTTTTTCTGGTCTAGTTATTCTTCGATTTATTCACTTATATTTCAGAGTAATATGAACCCCATGGGCCTATACAATGACCAGTAGGTTAGAACAAACGGTAATCCAAATACAAGCTTTTAAATAACCAAATGTTTTTTTATTCAATGAGAAATTCATTTCAGTATTAATTAGGTACTAAGTAGTTGTATGTTTTACACATACAAATGTTCTCCAATGCTTTACCCTTTTTCTGTGAACGCAACACGATTAGGGTTTTTGTCTGACTGAATAGGAACCGGGGATTAATGAGCTCCAGATACTGGTATCTGTGAAAACGTCAACTATCTTGATACAATATTATGCACTTACATATGTACTTTTACAATAGAAAGAACCACACATAAACTGCAGCATTATCTGAATGTGACATGGCACTTTTATTGAAGTGCACTATAAACTACTATGAGATGGTTATATCGTGGAGTAGTCCACTCGTACGGATACAAAAAGAGGACATTTCAATTCAATAAACTAAAGGGCGATGGGGCGAGCACCTGGTACCACAGAGCGGACAAGAGAGGGAAGAAATCAGTATTATAGACGTATACAATATGTCAAAATATATCACTTTTAAAGTAATATCAATATACGTATAAAGTACCCTGCCCTAATCAATGCGAAGCACACACAGGTTCATAGCATTGATAGTTTCCTGTGAGGACTAGTTTTCCTTCCCACTGTCTGATTTCCCTTCTCCCTGCTGCCTCAGCAGCTGCACTTTGGCACATTCATAGTGGTCAATATAAAAAGTTTCATGGCTGGTTTTCTCGTTTGTTCCTGAGCCCCTCCTCGTCCAGTTTGTGCCGTGCTTCATCCCTTTGAAGTGGCATATTGGACTCTGTTCTTTTCTGTTCACGCCCGACTCTACATGCTGTCAACACTCCTGGCTGTGGATAATGATCTCCCACTGCTTTTGTAATTGGCCAAATAAACACTTCACAACACTAGTTTAAAACAGACAAGTTATTTGGTTTTAATTAACATAGTCAGGCCTGTAATGGCTTCATTAAAAATGCGTTATTTCAGCTGCGCACTGATTGTGTTGGAAACGGACATCTCAAGGCGCAGTGTTTGTTTTCCCCCTTCATTGTTTAGTGTGGCCTTCCCAAATACTATTCATCTTAAATATAATATTTATTTAAAAATGTACACAAGTACTAATTATTTGGTTTTAGTTTATTTCAGTCTGATGCCCAATAATGCCAAATACATGGGGGTGATATTAGCAGAATGTTTTATGTCATAGAATTTTTCAAAATGAAAGAAAGATAAACTATCAAACTGTGCCTAGAAACACCATCTGTCTTTAAATTTGGTTCCAGTTTTAAAATTAGAGGCACTGTGGAACTCCCAGCGATGGTCTTCAGTCTTGCTTTGAGCTAAGTGTTCTAATCTGTAGGTGTTATTATATACACACATTTATTTATTTATATATAAATGTGTTTATATAAATGTGTGTGTGTGTAATATATATATATATATATATATATTATATATATATATATATATATATATATATATATATATATATATATATATATATATATATATATATATATATATATATATATATATATATATATATATATATATATATATATATATATATATATATATATATATATATATATATGTGTGTGTGTATATGTGTGTATATATGTGTGTGTATGTTTATAAATCTTTTTTTAAATTATCTTTCCCCTTTTGATTACTATGCCCGAAGATAAAATCAAACAAAAAGACTGAGGTCTTTTGAAAGTATATGCTCGATGCACAACAACGACTGGAGGGGAGAAAATGGTTTATGCTTATGCAGAGGAAAAACAACAGCTTTGTTTGTTGACAGATGCCTTCATACTTATGGTCTGTTAATTGGATAACAATGTAAACAATCACCGATGGTGCCCGTCTCTTGTGTCAGTGTGGCATCTTGTTTCCCTACTTTCTTTTTCCGAGTCAGATGCTACTCCGCCTCAGTCGCACTCCCTGGTGCAGATTGTGCATCACCAGAACAGACTCCCAATGAGTGAGAGCACACACACACCTGCTCCACCCTAAAGCCTCATTTATTCTACCTGATGCCACGGTGTCACAACAGCCTGTCGGGTTCATTAGCATGGCAGCCATTGGCCATGTGCAGCTCCTGAGGTGGGAACAGGCAGCAGCCCTGTGCTTTCCGCAGGGATAGAATATGTTTGAGGCAAACACCATTTTCCTCTCTCTTCATGGCGCTTGGCTCCCTGCCGTGCTCCGATGCAGTCGCCTAGGTGAGGGGTGCAAGGTTGATGTAACAGCCCCTCCCTGCTCGAACAGAGCTCACAGTGACCCGCTGAGAAGTCAAGAGTTGAAATGACACGTTGAAATGAGGAAGGGGACATAAAGACATGGAGTCAAAGACCACTGGTGTGTACATGGTGTGACATTTTCAAAGTCCCATGGGAGCTGAGAGGTGGCTGGTGCTGATCTGTCACAGGCATCTTCTCCTAATTTACTCAGCTCCCCTGGTCTTTTCTCACCATGCCTTTCAACCTGGGGTGGTGTAGTTAGCACGAGTTTAAATGTGTAGATTGTGTTGGCTGTAATAAAGTCAGCATTTGAAGGATTAAAGAAAAATGTAATTTACAATCCAACAATTTGTATTTATGTATACATTACTTGGTTTTTTTTTTCTTGGACATATCACTTTCCCTGTTGTGAAGAAAACCAGTTTGGCCTTTAGCATGCACTCTGACCTTTTACAGCAGGTACAAGGAGGTTAATTATCCGTGGTGCGCTGTAATCAGAGGGCTGAGCGCCGTCAAAGATAAGCCCTGCATGGCTCAGTGTCACACAGCAGCTTCTGCCCAGGTGTGAGGCAGCCCCTGTAACACAAGTCCACTCTGATTAGCTCACATAAGCTGAGGGCCCACTGCAGCACTGCTAGAACCAAACACACAAATTGTCCTGTTGTGAAAAAACATGGGTCAGGCGACCTAAATGTCGGCTAATGCAATCAGCTCCAATGTGGGTGGCACGGCATTATTCTTGAGTTCTTTACAACAATTCAGCTTTTGTGTCACACACATATTGAACAGTGACATGTTTAAATTCCCAGGGCCTATCAGCAAAGATGTTGCAGCTGTTTTTGCTCAGTGTTCTGGACATATGCTTTGAATTAGCAAGTAATTAAGTAAATCATCTTTACTTATGTTGTGTTTTTCTCTGACAGGGTTTGACTTGTATGCCTTTGGCCCTGTTTGATTTTGTATTTACTATTTATTCTTCATTGTTTCTTGTCACAGATCACACAGTTGGACCCTTCCTCGACACTTGTGGATGCCAAGTTGTTCCCGCAGGAGACACTGTTTCTGGAGGCAAAAGAGTAGGACACAGACCCTGGACTGGACTGGCTCCACACACTAGTCACTGAGCATGGGCCCTGCCACTCTCTCCTACACTCACCCAGAGACCCACTTGCATCAGCATGCACATCCAGTGACCAAGTGCGTTGAGGCTTGCACTCTGGCCATGAGTGGAGCCCTGGCAGCACCACAAGCACACAGCCAAACACTTCCCTGATCGACCCTCCTCCACTCACATTCAAAGACCACCTTATGATGGAAACGAGCACAGCGCTATGAGACTGAGTGGACTTATTGTTGTCAAACTAAAAAATAATTCAGAAATACACAACGGCTGCTTTTTTAAAACCTTTTGTTTGGAATTTAAAAAATGCTAAATAAAAATAAATAAGAAGAGACGCTCTACAACAGAGGTCAAGCGTGTCTTCACTTTCCGGCCCGCACCCCTCGCCTGGTGTGGACTCTGCAGTTTTTCTCTGGAACGCGCTCTTGGATTTATCAGCTTTTCCAAATGCAAATAGTTCTGTTTTCATTTTTCTTCGATGATATTGATCCTTTTAAGTTTGATTCTGTGTTAGTTTTAGTTGAATTTACATTATATAAAAGATATAAATAATACATCAAACTGTGTTGCCCCCAAATCATTTTGAACACTGGACGGAACTCGGCACCTCTTACTTTGTTTAACTTTTAGTAAGTTTCTCTCTTCTTCCTCCTGATTCTTTTGAGGATTAAACACAACACAATGTAATGAGAATCTCCATTTTGATATATTTTTTACGTTATCCCAGTTCTTTTAAAAAGCCTTTTTTGTACATTTTCCCTTCACATCTGTGTTTTCACACAGACCTTTTACACACTCCTTTTACTTCTCTTAACTAATTAATGCCTTAAGTCTCGCCTTCACACACCACCTGCTATTATCCACCAAACAACAGCTCAGCTCCAGTCTTCACAGAGATCACAGGGCTTAAACCTCCATCTGCAGCAGGGCTCCTCTATCAACTAAATGCAAAGTTTAAACCTGGGGCACGGACAGCTCCGACTGACATTTCCCATACCAAAGGAAATAGATTTTAATTCAAATTCAAACTCCTCCACCTTAATGATAAAGTTGCCGAACAAAGCCTAATTAAAGCTATAAAATATACATAAATTATCACATTTTTTTGCAAGATGTTTACAATGGTTTGTCCATTATAATGAGGCGACAAGTAATGATTATTTTGACAATACATTAATGTAGTGTAACATCCTTCAATTAAGAGATTTGTTTTATAGATATGTGACGTTTATCTAAATTTGACAAAGATGAAGATGAAGCCACTGGAAGACGTTCTAATATATTTACAGACATTATTACTACTACTTACAGCTAAACTAAATTCAATTGAGACATTCTTGTTTTAGTTTTTTGAAATTGCTGATCTGTTTGAGTCTTACATGAGTCTGTATATAATCGTGATGAATTGATTACGAAATAGTCAATCGGTTTTGACCTATCGTCTTTAAAAAGCTAAGAAGAGGTTTTTTGACTCGGATGATTAGTTTATTTTATTATTATTAATCAACCCAATGTGTAACTCATCTATTGAGCTATGTTTGGGTCAAGTTTAGCAAATTCACTCAGCTTCTGGCATCTAAACAACTCATGGATTATCAGAATGAATGTTAAATACAGCTCTATATAGAACAACTAATCAAATGCTAAAATAGTTGTTGATATTGAAAAACCTATTAATCAATAAATTGTTATGGCCATGCTTGTTAAACTCGGAAAATTAGAATATCGTTCAAGCCTTCATGTTTTTCAACTTAAAATGTGAAACCAACATGATCATCACATGCAAACAAAGTGATTTATGCTAAGCCTTGGTTCTTCTCAAAATATTCTAATTGTCTGAGATATTTTGTTTGGGAGTTTTACAAGCTGCGAGATAATTATCAACAACAATATAACGGATAAAGACTTCATATATCTCACTTTGCGCCTCTACACTGCAACATTTGGAAGTCAGGCCTGCAGACAGGAAGAAAACAACCATCAATAATAATGATATGTGTTAAGCTAATGTCATTTTCTTGCGTTGTGGCTGTGAGCAGGGCTTAAGCTGGACTGGAGGGCAGAAAGAGGCGTCAGACGGACAGCTCCAGGCCAGGGTGGTGACAGGCAGGTGCATCCCTATCTCCCGTCACATCTCATCTCCGTTAGGCCTGGTTGAACATACTGGAGCTCCTCTCATGTGTGACATTACAGTTTCTTACACTGAGCGTTTCCAACTTTATGTGCACGGGCTTGTTCTGCGCTGCGGCGGAAACTTGACAAACAATATTTCGCACTTGTCATGTTAATGTGCTTTCTCAAAATGGATTTTCACACCAGCGGTAGTATTTAGTAGACTTCCTCAGATTAAACTGCCACGAACTTGTAGAAAAGGATTTGGAGATGAGATTTTTTTATTTTACTATTTAGGTATTGGAACATCATTCAAAAGTGTGTTATTCAACTTCAGATGTGAATCCAGTATGGCAAGCCTGTTTGGTATAGTTTAATAATTATGGCTTGCCCGTGACATTTTCAGCAGGGAGTTGTTTTATTTGGCCTTTACGAGCTCAGAGTCGTATAATTATCAACATCATAACAAAGAAAGGCTTGATATATATCACTTTGCGTATAAGAAGTGTGTCTGTAAAACAGCAGAGTTGTAGATCAAACTGAGATATTATGTTACAGGTTAAGAGATAATTTAGTTATGATGAATTCTGAAATGTTGCTTTTAATAATGCTTTTCTGTAGTCGATCAATACAGCCTCTTGGTGTGATTTGATTTATTTCTTCTATCATGGACCCAATCACGCGCCCGGTTTAGTCTCACGAAAAGTCTCTTCCCTCATTCGTAATATTTTGCCAAAATTTTTTGTGTGAAAAATTCAAACACAGAAATAATAAGCACCATCATCTAAGTTGGTACTGTGTTGTAATTCAAAGACTGAAATTATAAAAATGGCATCTCTGCAAAAAATGTCATAACAAAGTGTATGTTTGAATGAGGAAATGGCTTCAATACGGTCAACACTTGAAAACAGTTACATTAACTATATTACATTAAAACTATTCAATAATTAATGTAAGATCAGCTTTTTCAGACGGAAAAGTGAAAATGAGAGGACCACCCTCAGTCAGCCAATCAGCTGCCTGTAGATGATAAAATTTCTAATAAGATAAAGACAGCATGTTGTGTTACTGAAACAATACTTTTTTTTTGTTAGGACAAACAAAATGTATTTATGAAACATAAAAGTTGCCTCCTCCAGCTTGAATGCAGTGTAAAGTTAGTGATTTTCCTCCACTCTCGTGCGTCATTTCTGTCATCCAGAGAGATGTCTTAATCAGCAGTGGGCCTGTGATGTGTCGGGGAAGGATGAGAAAGTGTTTGTGTGCTAATGAGCTTACTGCGTCTGCCCTCACACAGCCACAGATCCAGTAGCGGGGCATCAGGTTCTTCTGTCTTGGTTTTGGGATGACAAAAGGAAAAGGCGTCCATGATGTTTAACCAGCTCCTGCCGGGGTCAAGAATGCAGCTCACTGAATCCCTTTTGAAGTGTAGGCGGCCCGGCGATAGTCACTGCTGCAGCATCCCCAGACGGAGAGAAGTTTACTTTCTCATAGTGCCCAAAGCAACAGATTCTGAGGCTTAAAAGTGTTGGGCTGCAGGGTACAATGGCAGGGTACTTTCTCTCAGGCTGCACACACCATTCACACTGCTGTTTGTCAATGGCACAATGGTCACTTTGGCTGATTCTTTGGGTTTTAACACATTTGGACTTTTGTATTTACCGTGTTACATAAAATCTTGCTTTTAATTGTACCCATGTAAAGTAGATTTTTATTAGCAAAGCAATTATTTTCAGTTCCAATAAAACATGGCAAAACAGGGACATGAATGAATGCATTAATTGACAAAAGTTTTTATTTTTTTTAATTGAATTAGATTGAATCATGCAAGGGGTTGGCTACACAAGGTTTTAAATAATTGTATCATTGTTTTTCCCCAATGACTCAAATTATGATTGTAATGTTTTAACCAATGCTCAAATATATAATTGTTAAAATATCGAAAATACTACAAATAACCTTCTAAAACGGTTAGACCAATAATATTATTATTATTAATAATTTGTGTATGTATATAAATAAATAATAATAAATTATTCATATTTTATTAGACTGATTGGAGTTTAGGGGTATGGGGTTGTGGATTAGGTTGTAGTTTAATTAGGATAAACAAACATACATGCATTTTTAGGCTAGTTTCGTAATATAGCCTAATAATCTTTTACTGTCACCATTGAGCCCAACAGGCCATGTTTGGGTCTGCTGTAGCTGCTTTGGTTAGCGCCTTGTAATTAAGCCTGCATTTGGCAAAAGACAAAGGAAAAGGAGGGAGAGAAAGCCGCTTCTAATAGGCCTATAATATCATATAAATATCAGAGCAGTAAAGCATTCATGGCCCAGGCCTAATTGTCTGTATTTGCGCTATATACTTTGTGTGTAGCCCTTCTAAAAGCTGCTCCTTCTAAACCTGTGGCATTCGGATTACGAGCCGCGTGGGATGGGCCCAGAGCAATAAATGGACCAGTGGGGTTCTGAATGGGCGCAGAGGCGTGAAGGGGAGTAATTACGGCTTCATATTAATTGTGTTTTTCCCCCTTTTCCAAGTCACACACTCGGGCAATGAGGCAAAGCCATGATGGTGGTGACATCTAGGAGGGCCAAGTCTTTGTACAGAACACTTCAAGTTTCAAAAACAAGGCCAATTGAAGCGGCCGAGCTCAAAGCCGGAGCTATTGTGAGCGAACACATTGAGTTTTGATTGAGGACAATGGTGTTTCTCAAATTTCTCGCAAAAAGAAAGCCATACTCCATCTGTGATCTCAATGAGCGCCTATTCATGAGCTTGCTTCTTTTTTGCGCCTTTCGTTTTCTGGAAAAAAGGAGGCAGATGTGAGGGATAGACTTGGCCAGAGAGCGTTTTAATTGGCTGCTCGTTGTGGAGGTCTTTCGCGCACACAAATGTGTTCACATTGGATTTAGGGCCCTGCAGAAGGAGAGCGAGCCATCCCAATAATCTGGCCGTGTGGATGAATACTTGTAGCCCATTCATCAAACAAAGATAATCCCTGCCAACGTACCTCGGGGGCAAAAAAGCGGTATTTTTAGTTTGTTTGTGAGAGATGGATGCTGAGCGCTGGCCAACAGGGGGTGTCACATCTTTAACATGCATCTATATATACCGTAAGGGTTATCCGCAAGTTGCACACGCAATACATTTGCTGACAATTGTGCAAATTCGTCCTATAAATCATCATATATACACTACTGTTTTCACTTGATGACGCGTATACGTTCAACATTGTTTATCTTGGTTTTAGAAAAAGCCTTTTCTGCGTCGCTGCTGATGCAGTGACGGCCTCTGCAGCAGCAGTGTTTTCATAACGCTGAAAAGAGGCTCGCCTCTTTAACATTTCACTGTGTGTGAAGTGGCCAATGGAGCGTGTAACAGTGTAGGCCTACGTGTGAAAGGCCCGTGCTGCTGCAGTGCTGGTGTAACCTGTGGCTGTTGTGGCGGCAGAACGCGGGAGGCTCCGGGGGCTGCGGGGGATCACGCACTGGTGCACTGGGGCTGTGGGGCAGCGGAAACATGCTGCTACATATGGCGGGTCAAGCATGGCCATTGTGTCCTCCTAAATGGGTGTAAAAACTCACTAGTCTGTTGCCGCCATCAAAGGAATCAAAGCAACTCATAGTTTTTGATGCATAGGTCTAATGAGGTGCGCAAAAGAATGTGGACTCACGCGCGCGCACAGCCATGGTTAATTGCACGCTGGACAGTTTTAATTGCTTTGGGAGAATGAGCCGTGCGTAAAGGCGAGACTTTGGAATAAGAAAAGGAAACTAATGCGAGTATTTCTAATACTTTAAAAAATCCTGAATTGCCCTTATAATCTGTATTTGATTTCGTTCATCGGGCTGCAGGTTTGTTTTAATAGTACAAAAGAGATTTCACTGCCTAAATGGAGAGAAAAGCGATGCTGTGTTTTTAATTAACTGTAGTCTTCGTTTTCTTTACTTTGGCTCTATACCTGCACTCCTCAAACACAATCAAAATGTCTCCTGTAATGAGGAGTGCGCCATCTCGCCTGACTCATGCCGTGGACGCGCGTATGTTTGTAACCACCACTTTGTCATCGCTTTCACTCGCACGAGAGACGCCCGCCTTTGCTGGTAATTACTCTGAATGTCAAAAGATGTACTTTTAATATCGCGTCTTTTAGCTGGTTGCACTGCGAGGTAATTAAGGTGCGCATGACAGCGGCGAGGGAACCAGATGGCATTTGCTTCGAGTGATTGAGAAAGTAAACAATGAAGATGGAAAGTGCGCACGCATACAGCCGCCTCCAGTCCCTGTCCATCCCAACCTGTTTGGAATTAATGACATGGAATTAATTAACTTTAAATTAATTTGAAAAAGTGCCTTTGTACAACAATACATTATCTACTGAAACAATAATAATGTGCTTATAACAATAAAAACAACAGTATAGGTTAATTAATAATAAAACACTGTCCATTATTATTGTGTATCATGCGGGCCTATCTGATAATAATATACAAAGTTTTAAGAATAATCTTACAAATAGTCAAATAATAATAATAATAAACACAAGAACCCACGAATTATGAATACAAAATAAACGTCAAATGAGTGCTGTGTGGTATAGTGTCTTTTTTTCATTTACGAAGGAAACTGTTGCATCAAAGGCCAATACAATCATCACGGAAATCCTATGCACTGAAAAAGAAAAAAATAAAATTTAAGCCATAGCCTTGGGCGTGCAGGCTCCAGTTTGTCTAAAAGAACAAAGTAGGGTTTAACAGATCACCGAAAACTTCCATTATAATGTTTATACTTATGGAATGACTGCATATCCATAATATAATAGGCCTTTATACAGAGATAAAGTCTTGCGTGTGCCGTGAGCGCGCTCAAAAAACATCAAAGATTTCTACTCACCTTCCACGACGTTTTCACGCACCATATTTGGAGAACTCAACCCTGAACTATGAAGACACAGATGACCCTGTTTGTAGTTATGAGTTCTTGTCAAATGTATTATTTTCGAAATGTTGTAAAGAAACTCCACTTATGGGACAGATGTTGTGCTCAATGCTACATTTAAATCAAAAGAACATGAAAGTTCCCATGTTTTCGAAACGGGCGACTGCATGAGCATCGATTTGAGCTCGTAGGGACCTCCCTTCACAATCTTAACACTTGATATTTAGAGGAGAACTCAGGTGGACACAGTAGAAATACACAAGCCAATCAGGTTCTTCCGTTTGGTCGGCCAATGACAGACGCCACATTGTTGTCAAATTTGTCTAATGAAAACGGAGGAGCAACAATAGAGAGAGAGAGAGGGAGAGAAAGAGAGCAGGGGATCTGTATCCACTGACAATCTCTGGAGGAAGTTAGTGTCTCAGGCTGCACCGTGTAACAACCTCAGCACCTCACGGACACTTCAAACTTCACCTGAAGCAGAGCTGCTCTTCAGTCCACTCTGGCTCAGAGAGGGTCTTCTTGGCTTCCGCGCGCACGCACGCACCCCAGCCCGCTCTTCCTGGACAGTATCCAGGCCTTTTATCGATCTCAGATTTTCAGCACTTGAACAAACCTGCTCTGTGCCATGACCATTGCGAAACAGAAGTGATCAATTCGCTGAACCACAGCCACACTTTCTACCTCTCCTCTTTTAGCCTAAACTTCACACTTCGACTAAATCCAAAAGCGTGAGCCATGGATTTGAGACCGGAGCTCCCCACAGTATCTTCTGCCTCTCAGGTGCACCCCGGGGCTACATCCATCCCCGTGTCCATGGCCAGTACCCTGCTGCGCGGGCCGCCGCTTCTTCTTCGTGCAGCAGACAAGTATCCGCGCACTCCAAAGTGTGCACGCTGCCGGAACCACGGCGTGGTGTCCGCACTGAAAGGCCACAAGCGCTACTGCCGCTGGAAAGACTGCATGTGCGCAAAGTGCACACTGATCGCGGAGCGGCAGCGCGTCATGGCGGCACAGGTGGCTCTGAGGCGACAGCAGGCGCAGGAGGAGAACGAGGCCCGAGAGCTGCAGCTGCTTTACGGCACTGCGGAAGGACTGGCGCTGGCCGCGGCAAATGGCATCATCCCCCCGCGACCCAACTACGAAGTGTTCAACTCTGTGAACAATGACAGCAGCTCAGGTATGTAATAACCTAGTAACTTTAACAATTACATTCTGTAGGCGAAATCACCAAGCTAATACATTTAACAGCAGTTTCTCTAAAGCCGTCTTGTTTCTGACCTGACTTCTTCCCATTTTAGAATCAAGTTTACAGAAGTATGAACTTTTCTCAAAGAGCCAGCTGTCTGCTCCCTCCACTCCGCCTCAGAGCGGGGGCAAAGGCGCATGCCCTGACGGTGACCCGGCGCCCGGTATGTCGTCCCCGGACGGGCGCCACGCGGGCTCGGGCTCAGAGAACGGGGACAGTGAGTCCCTCATCAGTTCCCCTGTGTCCAAGGCGGTGAAAGACAGCGAGGACACAGCGGGATCCATCAGCTCCCTGGGCTCAGATTCTGGCTCCGACACGGACAAGGACGAGCACGAGCCGTCTGCGTCTGCAGCCTCACGCCACATGAACGCTATTGACATCTTGACGCGCGTCTTTCCCAGCCATAAGCGCAGCGTGCTGGAGCTGGTGCTGCAGGGTTGTGGCCGGGACGTTGTGCAAGCAATCGAGCAGATCCTGAACAACAAGACGGGCTCCGAGGAGCCGTGGGCCGCGGATAAGGCGCTCCAGAACGCGCAGCCTTCTCCTGCCTCTGCTGTCTCAAGTGCGCTGACCAGACCTATGCTGCCTGGGGCCATGACCCTCAGTACCCGCTCGGCCTTTTCTCCACTTCATCCCAACGGGCCGCACTTCGGTGCTGAGCCGGGCACGTACCCTCTGGGTTCACCCTTGGGACTTAACCCGCTGCGCCTCGCGTACTCCGCGCACAGCCGCGGGCTCGCCTTCATGACCCCCTATTCCACCACGGGTCTGGTGCCCACTCTGGGCTTCAGACCCCCAATGGACTATGCATTCAGTGACCTGATCAGAGACAGGACAGTGTTACACAAGGAGCAGGGCTACAGCGGCCTGTACGGGCCTCTGGTCAACAACACTCCGGACAAACAGTGAGCGCACAGAGAACCACTGACTCTCGTCCTGTGAACTAGTTAAAATGCTCTGGCAACGTGTGTAATGTGTAATTCTCACTGGCTATTGTAAATAATAGGATTATCCGCCCAATAATCACCTTGTTCAATTGGACAAAATCACATTACTGCTATAATTTGTTTTGTTATAGTAATTTCCGAAAGACATTCCATCTCTTTGCATTTGTCAATATAATGAGAATGATGCCAAATCCAGCAAGCTGGCGAAGTGAAGAGTAAACACCAATAAGCCACTCGGAGGCTATGCATTTATTACAGTTTTCATGTGAATCTGCAGGATTTATCGTTCATTTGAACATTCCCTTCTTTCTGAATGTGCCATTCTGAGGTTTAAGTTATTATTAAAAGTGTAGCTCCAAAGTTAACTCTATGAGAGAGCGCTGTTGTACAATGACATAATGATGTGACTGGCTGAACATTCCCCTGTTTATTTCTTTTGTTTTAGTTTATTTCGAAATGCTTGGCTGTATTATAGCTTATGAAATAGATTTGCTATCTGCTCTGGCTTTTATGTCGTTGGGTAATTATAAAATGTCGTGACAAAGTGCTGAATGCTGTCTGTGTTCTTCAGATGTTGAAAGCTTTGCTGTCACATTGTATTAAATCACAAAAATAAATGTTATTTTAAAAGTTGTTCATATATTTGATTTCTTATTGTTACTACAATTGTTATCATAATCATTATAATAATTAATAATACCATTGGTCATTTTTGTTATGTTAATAGGTCCATGCCTGTGATATTGAAGTGACATTATATAACATAGAATGTTATATAACATAGAATATAACATAGAATGTTATATAATGTCAATAACATTTCTGCACATAATGAGATTATGTTCCTTTTAGTGAGGGGGTGAGAATGTTGAAAAGCTTTATACAAAAAATACATTTGTTGTTAAGATATACAGGCAAATCCGTTATATGGATAAATTGGGTGCCTTGCACAATGTCTAATTGTTTTATTTATCCGTGTCTTTTGGACAAATGGACAGACTAAAAGTCACAGTTTGTTTCATTTTATTTCCTTTTTTTTTGATAAATGTAAACGGAATTATTAATGCGGATAATTGTAAGACAGCTCGAAGAATAAGTGAAAATCAAAAGCATACGGGCCTGGAGAAGCACGACCGCTCAGTCAGAAGAATAGGCCCATATGTGTGTCGATCCTTCAGTGCATAAACAAAATATTCACAATAAAATACACAAAAAAAAAATAACTACAGAAAGTTTGTGTTTAAGCGTATTTATTCAGTGGTGCTTTAAAAGGCAACACATGGCCTACGGTATAATGCTATCCGTAACTTGAGTTTCGTTAAAACAGTCTGGATGGATGGCAGTCTTGACCCCAAATTATATTTTTCTTTGTATTAATTTAATTACTATCGGATGTTACATTATTTTTGCCATCTGCTAATCAATAATAATAACATAATTATCGGCCAAATATAAAACTAAAAAGATAAAAATATGACCTTATAATTCGATAGAACTACTTTTAAACGTGTGTCTTTACATTTTTCACAATAGTTACATGTCCAGATGTCACCTCACTCAGCATTATAACGGACCTCATCATTTACTGAAGCTTAGACACCGAGCTGATTAAAACCGACTGGAAACAGAATCTGACTTGACATTTGGTTCCCCCTGCTGGACAAGCTCGGTGGAAAGCTCACTACGAAAAGAATAACGAAAGGTGCTTGTTTTTGTGTCCTCTGAGTTAAAATCTGTGCAGACTGTTACTAAATAGACAGTTTATGGTTATGACTTAGAATGAGAGTTAATGAGTCTCACCTGAGGCCAAAACTGCAGCCTCAGCTTTACAAACAGTTTAAGCACTTCTTTGTATTCCAGGGGTTGCAAAGATGAATTACTGCTTGGCGTATTCGTGTTATTGCAGGCGTTTTAATTCCATTGTTCGGAATTGATCATAGTGGCGTATTGATCCCTGCGCAATGCGACGTGTTGGCCACTAGTGTGATATTATGTGGGTTGTGAGGCGCTTTGAGTGGCCTTGTGTTGGAAAGGCGCCATACAAATAAAGTTGATTGATTGAAAGCTCCAAATTCGGTTAATAATCCGTAATAGGAGAAAAGCAACGTCTCACTGCGTAGATTTCATGGGTCTATTTTATTAATGTAGATTATTATTTTCTATGGAGGTGACATTCCCGCCCACTTCCTGGTAATACCAAAATGCATGCGTTAATGTTCTGATCAGCTACATTATATATAAGTATTAAAGTAGCCACATGTAAGATTTTCATGTCAAGTCATCATGAAATGGCCTAATGTGTCAAAAGGGCGACAGTAGCTCAGTTGGCCTTTGAGCCAGAGGGTTGTGGGTTCGAGCCCGACTTTCATCATCGACTCTCACTGATGTCTGCTGTCGTTGTGTCCTTGGCAAGACACTTAACCTCTACACCAGCCACAGTGGGGCGGCTGCGGCTGTAAAGTGTCAAACTGTCGTTGTGTCCTTAGGCAAGACACTTCACCCCCATTGCTTAGAATGAGTCTGGTGTGTATGTGAATGGTTGGTGGTGGTCGGGGGGCCGATGGCACAGACCGGTTGCCTCGCTTCTGTCAGTGTGCCCCAGGGCAGCTGTGGCTTCAGCAGTAGTTAATCACCACCGTGTATGGAGTGAAGCGTCTTGTGTCAAAAAAAGCGATATATAAAACTGATTGTGGCAAGTCGAGGCGGCTACGTGCTCTTTACAATATAACTCAACAATATAAAAATTAAGTAAAACAAAGAAAAGGACCAATAACACCAGGGCAAAGGTGCCCAAAATAAAATAAAAAAGCGTACTAAGGCGCACAGGTTTGATAAATCATAATGAGGCACAGGCAGAAATTAAGTTACAAGTTGATTTATTACAGACCTTCGCCATGAGCTACTGCTATGTCACATCGCTGGGACTTAAACGTTTTTCTTCACAAAGTTATAAAGCTTATATTTAACATATAGTATATATTATGTAACAAACAAAAATAGTGACGTTTGTTCCACAAATTGTGACCAGGTATTAAGTATATGAGCGATCGCTGTTTTCATCTGGGCATTTGGGATGCCAAAGGAAAATTCTATTGCCATTTGTTTACAAGAGCGCCACCTACACGTCACCCGTAGTATTGAACATGAAAAAACGTCAAAAAGACAACATATATGGTAAGAGATACCATGGCGAGGCTTTGTTATAGTAGAGAGCTGCAACTTCTAGATCCTTTATTATTCTCGCAACAGCATTAAAGTTACATAGGTTCCCAATTTCTTTTTTCTATTAATTTCTATAGAGGAATAAGACGAGTTAGCTAGACCTATAGGTCACTCACATTTTTGATTTTCCTACCGTTCTGTAACTTGTGATGCAATACTGAACATTCCCCTTTTGTGGTGAATAAATTATCTCAATGATAAAGCCGTTCACTTATTTATTATGCATTCATAATACAATCAATCAATAACACATAACCCCTTTTATCAACACATTCAACAGAAAAGAGTTCCATGTCCTCAATCCGAGAGAAGACAAACTTGAAGGGCTCCAAGATGTTCTCATGCTCCTCACTGTCCGGGTCTATATTACTATAATAAAGCCTCGCCATGGTATCTCCTACCATATATGTTGTCTTTTTGACGTTTTTTCATGTTCTATACTACGGGTGACGTGTAGGTGGCGCTCTTGTAAACAAATGGCAATAAAATTGTCCTTTGGCATCCCAAATGCCCAGATGAAAACAGCGATCGCTCATATACTTAATACCTGGTCACTATTTGTGTTTGTTACATAATATATACTATATGTTAAATATAAGCTTTATAACTTTGTGAAAAAAAACGTTTAAGTCCCAGGGAAGTGACGTAACAGGAGCTCATTGCAAAGGTCACGTGACAGGGGCTCCTGAAGGAGGTCATGTGACAGGGGCTGAACAGGGAGGTCTGCGAGGGGGGGGAGTCTGCAGCCAGATGCCTCTCAAAAAAACACAGGGAGAAACAGGAGAATAACGGGAGAAACAGCAGTGGGCCAGACCCACAGCCAGCTACGACACGCTCAGACCCCAGCAACGAGGGCGGCCAGATGCCAAAGCGACCGGACAGCATGGCCATATACAAGCAGGACTCGCGGGGTAACAAGGCCTCACCGCGGCACTGGAGCAGGAGAAGGCAGGCGCAACGAAACACAGGAGACGGAAGTGCAGACGTATACAAGGACACAACTCGAGGTTATTTATACGTGTATGCGCCCATAGTGGACACAAATATGGACACAAGTCCAGCTTGCCACATGATGCATAATTATTATAATTATTATATGATTAACTGGCACTTCCGTATCGGCAAACACTTTAGCAGCACTTGTACAGACACGGGAGAATGAGAACTGGAGACATATGTTCACAAGTACAGTGTCCTCCATTGTCAGTCCTGGATTAGTCCTGGTTTAGCTCTTGTTTTGGCTGTTTTCGAGTGTTTTCATCTTCATGCTCTTAATGGCTTGTGTTCCCGTGACTTTGCAGCTCTCTGAAAAAGTGTGGTTCATGTTCATGTCCTGCTTTTGCCACTTGCATTGAGTCGCCGTACCCACCGCCTCTACTGCGCCGCAAACCTGCGTGCTGTGACGCATGCACGGACGTCACCATTGACTTGAAACTGGACGCAAGGCATGATCCCTCTCTGTGCTCGAGCTTGTGCTATATTCTGGGGCCACAGAAGGTCCTAGAAGGTACTGCAAGTAAGACGTCTTGTGTCGAGGTCTTTTCCACAGGTAATATGATGTATTATTTTGATTAAATGTCTGATATATACCTACATACTTGTATTACAGTATCACTGTTTTCTCAAAATGTTACTGAGTTACTTTGGGAAGCCACAATCCCAAACTGGGTTCCCTAAAACAAACATTGGATAGCGCGAGAGGTTATGTTGCCATTCCCACTTGGGAATGCCCCTCATAAC